CAGCGTTCCCTATCTATTCACGCCCCGTGCTCTCTCTGCACGCGGCGGCTTCCGCGAGTAACACAGCGTAGCTTGCGTCTCCACCACTAGCATTCAATCCAAGTTCCCCGGGCTAGCCTGGCGAATTCAACCCAGCGTACGTCTCCGCCCCACGGTTTGGCTTCCCATCCTTTGCTCCCCGGGCTAATCAGACGGATCCCAATCTGGCTTACGTCTCAGCTTCTGGTTTCAACTTTTCGCCCCCTATTCCCGGGCTAACTTGAGAATCCCAAAGTGGCTTTCGTGTCCGCCTTGGCCTGCCCCCCACGGCTTCAATTTCCCTAACATTTTTCTCTACCCGGTATGTTTCCCTAAGTTTTCTTCCAACAATATTCCTCCCTCATTTCTCCTGGCCTCTCCCCACAGTCCGCGTCCGAGTCTGTTTGTTCTAGCTTTCACTTTCGCTTCTGACCTTAGAGATTTCTCCCAGCTTCCCCCGTAGTCCGTATCTGAATCTATGCCTAGGCTTTCAACAGCTTCCTCCGGCACCTCTTTTGTCCGGCTTTTCCCTAGGCTGTTTGCTAGTCTCTCTCTCCGGTATTTTCCCTAGGCTGTTTGCTAGTCTCTCTCTCCGATATTTTCCCAATTCTTCCCGTTTCTTCCCTCCTAAGTTTCCTATCCGTCCTAAGTTTCCTATCCGAGTCATTTCTTCCCTCCTAAGTTTCCTATCCGTCCTAAGTTTCCTATCCGAGTCATTTCTTCCCTCCTAAGTTTCCTATCCGTTCTAGGTTTCCTAATCCGAGTCACGGCACCATTATGTCGCTCCCCCTCTTCGTGGAGGAGCAACACTGAACCCTGCGCTGTTCTTTCGTCTGCTCGGCCCTCCCCGGGTTTGCTGCTGGTTCTTCCCGGGTTGGCTACTATCCCTTCCACCTCCGTGGAAGGGCAGTTCCCCCTGGCCGCATTCCCCACTTCCGCAGGGGAGCGGCACACCGCCGGCCAGCTTTCTCGGGGGCTGCACGGGTTCCCTTAGATGTTCCCCATAGATGTTCCTGGTGCATGCCGTCTCTCTCCTCCTTTATAGTCCTCCTCCGCCAATCCTAACTCGGCTGCCCACACGCCGAGTACGCTGCTCTCCAATCAGGAGCAAGTCCTACAATTTATTAGTTGAACTGGAGGCAGCTGTGCGGAAGCTGTTTACTTCTCTCCCAGCGCCATATTGTGGGAGAGCAGATGCATAGAATAAGTCTTAATTCGAGTAACTTAGTCTAGTCCGGATTGCTCCCCATAGTAATGAATGATGATGAAGTTGTAAGGTTGAAAATGTAGGCTGGGTATTAATTAACTTGGACTTAATGCCATAGGTTATAATTTCTCAGCTTCTGCACTGTTAATGTTTTGGCAGGATTGGTCTTTGCTGCGGGGCTGTCCCGTGTATTGTAGGGTGTTCAGCAGCATTGCTGCACTCTACCCAGTAGATGTCAGTAATAACCAAAAATGTCTCCAGACGTTGCTAAATCTCCTGTTAGGGAGGCACGGATGGCAAAGTGGCCCCTGGTGGAAATCCGCTGCTCCCAGGAATGAGAAGCATCAAAAAATCTTGGCAGGAGGTGGTCTAATACAAGAGGATTTCAAATATTTGGTGGAAAAATGGAATTAAAAGATAAATTTGTTTTGATGCAAAAAATTTTTGAAATCCATGCATAGCTTTTTGCCACAGTATGCATTTTCACAAACTCCTTGAAGACTGTTTGTATAATATGGATTGTTTGTATAGTGATTACATTTGAGATATTACCTAAAAGAGAGTCCTTTTGAATTCAGTACTTGCAAATTTGGGTAATTGAATTTTTAAAAAAATTTATTTGACAGGTAGAATTATAGACAGTGAGAGAGACAGAGAGAAAGGTCTTCCTTTCGTTGGTTCACTTCCCAAATGGCCGCTACAGCCGGCGCTGCGCTGATCCGAAGCCAGGAGCCAGGTGCTCCTTCCTGGTCTCCCACACGGGTGCAGGCGCCCAAGCACCTGGGCCATCCTCCACTGCCCTCCCAGGTGACAGCAGAGAGCTGGACTGGAAGAGGAGCAACTGGGACTAGAACCCGGTGCCCACATGGGATGCTGGCGTCACAGGTGGAGGATTAACCAAGTGAGCCATGGCGCCAGCCCCTGAGTAATTGAATTTGAATTTATAGTTTTATTTGATCAAAATAATACATATCCACAGTTTTACAAGTCAAAGAGGATTATCCAGCCTCTCAAGTAGAAACAAATATTTTTAAAAATATATGTTTGTTTATTTATTTGAAAGGCAGGGTGACAGAGAGGTCTTCCATCTGCTTGTTCATTCCCCAAATGGCCACAGGGACCAGAGCTAGGTTGATCCCAAGCCAGGAGCTTCTTCTGGGTCTCCCATGTGGATGCCGGGGCCCAACCACTTGGGCCATCTTCCGCTGCTTTCCCAAGCCTTTAGCAGGGAGCTGGATTGGAAGAGGTCCAGCCAGGACTCAAACTGGCGCCCATATGGGATGCTTGTGTGCAGGGTAGAGACTTAACTCATATATTTCTGTTAGCCGTCACAGAGCACACTGAACACCGGAGTAAGGGAAAGAGTTTATTGGGGAAAACCCAGCAGGCCGGAGGGAAGGGGCAAAGAGGGAAAAGGAGAGTAAGAGAGAGAGAGGAGAGGAGAGGAGAGGGGGGAGTGAGAGAAGAGAGAAGGCTAGAGAGAGTGAGCAGGAGAGAAGAGAAGCCAAGAGAGCAGGAGAGAGGAGCCAAGAGAGCACCTGTTCAGGAACAGGCCCTTTTAAAACTTTGCCCGAGAGTGGGCAGGGAAGCAGGAGCAGCGAATCCCATTAGGTTGGGGGTGGAGCTTGACCACAGAGGTTGGGCCATGTGGCCACCTGGCTTTCAGCAATGGCAGCGGGAGCCAGGGCATAGGATGCAAATCAGGGTGTAGATTGCACCATAGATAAAACTGCACCAGTTTCCTAACATTAACCTCTTGCACCACAGCACCGGCCCCAGTAAAAACAGAGTTCCCATCCCTCCTCACCCTGATTCCTGTCCATACCCTGATTCATGGAACCTGTGAATATGTAACTGCACAGTGAAAGGATAGTAATGTCTGGAGATTTTAAAACCAGCATTGGAGGAAGATTCATTTGGAAATAGGTGTTGAATGTGTTGGGAGACAAGAGTAGTTGTGTTGATACCTACTAGGAAATGACTAGACTACTTTGGCTATAGATGACAGGATCTTGAAAAAGGGGTGGTGGCAGGTACTTCCAGAAGGAAAAACTTGAAGTATAGCCTGAGTTCCTTGAGCTCATTATCTTGGCCTAGGCATCTGGACGGGAAGCTGCGCAGTACATCTAAGGGGTTTGTTACTGAGCTGATGCAGATAGAGAGGATGAGTCGTGTAAAAGGGCGAGTATGAATGGAAAGATGGAGCAGCAGTCAGGCAGACTGAAAAGTAAATGATGCATTCCTGGGCACAGTCTTCACGTGCTCATCTCACCCTGTTCCCAATAGCACTACACATGCAAAGAACACAGAAGGTGCTCAGGCAGGTTTGTGTTCTTTTTTTGATGAACCAAGTAAGTGAGTAAGTGTGTAAATGTGCAGAGGACAGAAAGAAGAAAAGAAATTTAACAAACGTGACTGTTTGTGTTATTTCTGAGTATATGTGCACACGTTTCTTCTTTTTCAATGTTTGTAGCACAGTTACTTACAGGCAGAGTGTTAGCACTTTGAAGAAATGTATTACGAGGGTATTAGAATACAGAACTGCCTGAGTTTTGTAGATGATGCTGATGTAAAGTCACGTAGACATAGGAGTGCTCTTTGTTGGAGCTGGCATTGTGCCACAAAGGGTTAAGCTGCCACTTGCAATGCTAGCATCCTATATTCGAGCACCAGTTCCAGTTCTGGCTGCTCCACTGCCAATCCAGCTCTCTGCTAATGCATCTGGGAAAGCAGCGGAGGATAGCCCAAGTGCTTAAGCCCCTGCTACCCATGTGGGAGACCCAGCTGGAGCTGCAGGCTCCTGGCTTTGGTCTGGCCCAGCCCTGGCTGTTGTGACCATTTGAGGAGTGACCTGGAGAATAGAAGATCTCTCACTGTCTCCCTGCCTCCAACCCACCCTCCTTCCTCCTTTCTTCTCTGTTACTCTACCTTTCAGATAAGTTTTTTTTTTTTTAAAGAAGTGCTCTTTATTGAAGTCCACTGAACTTCTCATCAGGTTAGCCAATGGCCCACATTCCCCTGTAAAACGGAGTACTGAGAGTTAGCAGGCACATCTCAAACCCATGTACTTCTCCCACCCCAACAGTTGAATAGTTTTTGTAAAGAAAGTTCTTAAGATTTATTTTTATTTATTTGGAAGTCAGAGTGACGGAGGGGAGAGAAAGAGAGAGAGACAGAGAGAGAGAGGAGAGAGAGAGATCAATCTTCCATTTGCTGGTTCACTCGCTCATTCCCCAAATGGCCGGAACAGCCAGGTCTGGGCCAGGCCAAAGCCAGGAGCCAAGAACTCATCTAAGTCTTCCACGTGGGTAGCAGGGTCTCAAGCACTTGGGCCGTATTCCACTGCTTTCTCATGTGCATTAACAGGGAGCTGGATCAGAAGCAGAGCAGCTAAAACTCAAACCGGGACTCTGATATGGGATGCCAGTGTCCCAAGTAGTGGCTTAACCCACTGTACTACAACACTGGCCTCTCCTCCACCCATAGTTGAATATGGATTTACCAAGAGTCAGTTATCTTTTTTCCAAGACCTATTTATATCTAGTATACTATTTATACTAATTATACTTTGTTATCTTCAGTGAAGTATTTAATATTAGATAAACTAACAACATCTGAGTACCAAAACAGAGGGATGAATTAAGTCTCAAAACAAAGTTTCCTGTCTCATGAAGCTCACATTTATATAATATATTATATATTCAAAATTTTTTTGTTTCACATGTGTAACTTATATTTCTGTGCATTTTCATAACTAATCATGACTTATTTTTAGTGTTTGCATGCCATGGAGATTCAAGTCATGATACAGTTTCTTCCTGTAATTCTTATGCAACTCTTCCGAGTACTCACAAACATGACCCATGAAGACGATGTTCCTATCAACTGTACCATGTGAGTTCTGATGTTACAATCCAAAAAAAGTTATGTATTAAAGATGTTTTCCTCTCTTTTAAGGGGCATGTTCACTGCTAAAAACTTCCTCTGCTTTTGCTGCATGCCATCAATATGATATATTGTGTCCATTGTCGTTTGTCTCAAGATATTCTAAAAGTTCCCTATTGATGCCTTTTTTGGCCTATAAGTTGGTCATGAGCATGTTGTTTAATTTCCACGTATTTTTAAATCTTCCACAGTTCCTCTTGTTATTGATTTCTATTTTCACACCATTGTGGTTGGAAACCGTGTTTGATATGATTTTACTCTTCTTAAATTTTTTAAGACTTGTGGCCTAACACACGGTTTATGCTGGAGAATATTCCATGTGTACATGAGAAAAATATATATTCTTTCACTATTGGAAGTTTTCAACCAGAGTTTCCCCCAAAGCACACAAGAGCAAACTATATGCAAGTGTGCACAGGCTGAAGCATGGTGTAAAGGTCAGGGCAACAGCAGAGGTGGCAAAGCCAGAAACAACCAGCACTGAGCTCAAAATATTTTGGAAGTCTCCTGTTTCAACTTCAAATTTCAGGTGTATTTCTGCATTCAGCTATATTCTGCATGGAATATTGTGTATGCGCTTATTAGGTCCATTTTGTCTAAGTGTAGTTCAAGTTTAATATTTCCTTATTTATTTTCTGAGTGATATATTGATATATCCATTATTGAGAGTGGGATATTGAAGTCTCTTGCTGTTTTATATTACTATCTATTTCTCCATTCCTGTTCATTAATATTTGCTTTATATAATTCAGAAGATACATATACAATTTCCTATTAAACTTTCTTTAATGATATAAATGTTCTATACTTGCATTGTCCAATATAGTAGCTGCTAGCCCCATGGAATTTGGCTAATTTGGTTGAGTAACTGATTTTTAAATTATGCTTAATTTTAACCAAATCATATAGTCACATGTGACTAGTAGCTCCCATATTGGGCAGAATATGGCCCTAAGCCATCACTTTTTACTGGAAAGAATAGAGAGTGTTATTTTTATATTAAAAAATAAGATATATTACATAATAGAATGCAGAAATACACCTGAAATTTGAAGTTGAAACAGGAGACTCCCAAAATATTTTGAGCTCAGTGCTGGTTGTTTCTGGCTTTGCCACCTCTGCTGTTGCCCTGACCTTTACACCATGCTTCAGCCTATGCACACCTGCATATCGTTTGCTCTTGTGTGCTTTGGGGGAAACTCTGGCTGAAAATTCAAGATGCATTACTCTTGTCCAGTGAGTCTCAAAATGTGCTTCCCAGATCACCAGCATCGATATCACCTGGGAGCTTATTAAAAATCCTAATGATGGACTTCACCTCAGACCTACAAAATGAGAACCTTTGGAGCTGGTGATACTGATGCATCCTAAAGTTTGAAAACCATTCCTAGTCTCTTAACTTCAAAACTTCCTATGAAGTTTATGTTAATTATCTCCAATTTTAGCTGACACTGTACCTGCCCTGTCTCTTCCTTCCACTCGCTCTTTCCCCTGCCATCTGTTAACATGCTTTTCATGGAACCTCTATTCTCTTGCTTTTATTATCACTAGAGGGAGATTTCAGTATTTACCTTCCTTGAGGTCTTATACTACATTGTAGCTATGACCATACTTTAGATGCATATTTAACCAGGAAATATATTTTCCAAGTCCCTAAACATGGTAAGTGCTGAAATCTATATAATTACCATTATATCTTATGCAGTCATCTCATTTTTAATTGTCCAGGCAATGTCAGGTATTTTTTAGGGTTAGAACAATGATTTTATTTAACAATTAAACTATGGTCATTGATTGTCACAAGACATGCTAAGTTCTGTGAATCTCATTTCAGGGTCCTCCTACATATTGTATCAAAGTGCCATGAAGAAGGCTTGGATAGTTATTTAAGATCCTTCATAAAGGTTTGTGGAGTAAGCTTGCTTTCTGAGCGATTTGTTTTATGTGACAATTTCATCTTACAGTTCATTTTCTTTGTAGTATAGTTTCCGGCCTGAAAAACCAAGTGCTCCTCAGTCCCAGCTGATACATGAAACCCTGGCTACTACCATGATAGCAATACTGAAACAGTCTGCAGATTTTTTAGCAATAAACAAACTGCTAAAGGTAAGGGCACAGGACACAACCAGCAACAAAAGCAGCCCTAGACACACTTCTCTCATGCCTTCTCATGTCAGGTCTAGGCGTCCTAGCAATTCAAGCATGCGTCCTTTTCCTCATGTTCTCCTCAGAACCTCCTTTGCCCTCTCTACTCACCTCCGGCCCTCAATCACATGCATAATAGAATTTTCCATTAGATGGGTCTTAGTTAGAACCCTGTATCCACCACAGAACAGTTCTGTGACATAGGCCAGATTTTTGGCATCTCTGAGTCTCCAACTCCTCATTTCTAAAATGTAAGTAAAGCATCTACTGTATAGTTTTCTGACCCACTCCATAAATGGTAGCCCTTATTATTGCCATTATTTTATTCTTCCATTGGTAGAATTTGGGATATCTGGGGATGAATCGACCTGAGGATTCTCTCTCCCTTTCAGATCATGTGGGGCAGGCAAGCACCTAGGCCATTTAGGCTGCAAGGACAAGGTTGACACCTGCTCTGAGCATAGGGAGTAAGAACACTCATTGTGGTCTGTAGAGAGTTTCAAAATAGTAACATTGCAAACTAAAAGATATCTTGCTTTTATAACTACATGTGGGCAGTTTGAAACAAATGTCAAAGATTAAAAAAAAAAATACCTCTCTCCATGGAGGAGAACATTCCATTCGCATCTTCCCTTTGTACATCAGCGGTCAACCCTGAGGTCTGATAGTATCTTTTTGCTGAAACAATTTGAAGGTTATCCTGTGGGATTTTGATAGTGACTTGGTAGCACTGGAAAATGTTAGCCAAGTTCAGAGACAAAATCCATATTGACTTGGCAGATTTTGCAAGGCTTCAGAGATTTGGGTAACTGATCAAGGCTTTATTTATTTATTTATTTATCTATCTATCTATCTATTTATTTTAGTACTCATGGTTTTTCTTTGAAATAATTGCAAAATCAATGGCTACATACTTGTTGGAGGAGAATAAAATTAAGGTAAGTAGGCTTGAGAATATTTTTTGTTTTATTTTTAACTGACACTTAATAGTTGTGTATATTTATAAGAATACTATTTTACATAGACAAAGGAAGCTACTTGTACTCACAGCCAGGATGTACAAATCCCCTTTTCTATTCAAGGACTCTTAGCCCTTCATGTTTTCAATGTTGCTTACAGAAATAATGGATACATTGTATAAATCTGAGGGCTCACTGTTCATACTTTCTCTAGTCTAATCTGCAGACGTCTCTCCATTTTCTCCATAGTCTTTCCTATAGTTATTTGCCTATAAACTCATTACTTTTGAAACTTTGCCTTTGTCTTGTGGTTGAAAAGATTGTGTTGAAAAGATTGATTTGGAAGGTGAGCAAGTAGCACATAGCCCTCCTCTTAGAAGGGTTACAAAGTTAAACCCACTTTATGTCATACATGTGTTCCTGGAATGTGGTATATGTATTTAGTTGTATTTTTGTTTTCAAGATACAAAGAGATTTTCTTATACGAGTTGTAAAGCTAAAGGTTGTCAATGTTCAGCTGCTTTTTGTTTTTAAGAATGAATCATAGAAGGGGTTTACTGAAATTGAGACACATGACTATTCTGTGTGCCAGAATAAAAATGGAATGAAAAACTGAGATGCGTCTGTATATTGGGAACATGGTATTAAACAGTTGGGTCAGAATGACTCATTCTTGCTGATAATTTCATTTAGCTTATCAGGGGTCCAGCTAGTTCTTGTATGATCTCCAGTAAGGTACATATTGAAATAGTGATGTCATTTTTCAGTTGGGAGGAAGATTATATTTCAGTGTAGAAACGTTTTACGTAGAGAATGTGTTTGAAAATAAAAATGACAATTGCTTTGGACCTTTGGGAACTCTGACTTTTGTTCTCTGCTGATTTGCTTTAAGCTTCCTAGAGGCCAAAGGTTCCCGGAGGCGTTTCATCATGTCTTACATTCATTGCTGCTTGCAATAATCCCCCACGTGACCATTCGCTATGCGGAAATCCCAGATGAGTCCAGAAATGTGAATTATAGTTTGGCTAGCTTTCTGAAGGTGAGTTACAGGCAGCTAGAACATGGTAAGGAACTCTTCCCTGCTACAGTCTTGAAAGCCAAACATAAAAATCGTCCACTTTGCAGAATTAATTGATCAGTTCATCCAAGATTGATTTTTTTTCTCTTGCTAAAAATGACTAGTTAATTAAATAAGAGATCCCACATACGTGGCTTAGCTAGAAGATAGGGTTGGCTTCTTTCACAGGTTGTTTTTAAACATACTGTAATCTGGATGCTTTTAGATGGGGCAGATACTCCCTAGGTTGCTACAGTTTCCACCATTCCTTATTGTACCCCAATCCTGTTTATGCATTTAAATCACTTGTCTGGCCCATGCTGGCTTTTGGATTTTCTTTTAAAGATTTATTTATTTGAGAGTCAGAGTTACAGAGAGACAGAGACAGATAGAAAGATCTTCCATCTGCTGGTTCGCTCCCCAAATGGCCAAAACCAGGAGCCAGGAGCTTCTTCCAGGTCTCCCACTTGGGTTTCCCATGTTGGGCCATCCTCCACTGCTTTACCAGGAACATTAGCACTGAGCTGGATCAGAAGTGGACTCAAATCCATATGGGATGCTGGTGTCGCAGACCATGGCTTAACCCACTGCACCACAATGCCGGCCCTGGCTTTAGAGTTTTCATCCTTTGAACTTATAGCTACCCATTTGGTGATGAAACCACAGTATGTATGTATGTGAATACATATACATACGAATTATTAGTGTTGGCGAGTGAGGCTCCTGCCATCTGGTCAGCTCCGTGCGCCGGCCGCAGTGCGCCGGCCGCAGCGGCCATTGGAGGGTGAACCAATGGCAAAAAGGAAGACTTTTCTCTCTCTCTCTCTCTCTCTCTCTCTCTCTCTCTCTCACTGTCCACTCTGCCTGTCAAAAAAAATTTAAAAAAAAATACCAGAAATCTCTATATGTATGAAAGATAAACATTTATCATTGTTGTGTTCCATTATTGTCAGTCTGTGAGGGGCATTGCCAGAATGCAGCTATTCTATAAAGTAACAGTACTTGATTTGTTGCAGAAGACAGGTGTGAGTTAGTATTTCACTTAGTTTTTATTTGCTTTTTAGCCTTTCAAAATGTATCAAACATATACTAAGAACCTTCTGGTCATTACTCCAAGCAGTTTTAGTGTCTAACATACTTTTGTCTTTTGTTAAAAATTCATAATTCAGATCTCCAGGGTATCATTTTCTAACATTAGACTTCCCTTTGCCAGAATTCAAAATAAAGTTCTTAAATTATGACATAAGCCATTTTTGTGTATTCAAAAGCAAACATCCACCCTTTTAAACATCTACTCTTTTAAAAAGTAAACTAAGGATGAGATCTCTGAAATATAAAGTCCTAGTTTCTCCAATGGACTTAAATTTTTTTTGAGAATTTAATTATGTATTTGAAAGGCAGAGTTAGGGAGAGGGAGAGAGAGAGAGAGAGAGAGAGAGAGAGAGAGACATTTCATTTGCTGGTTCACTCCCTAAATGTCCACACGACTGGAAATGGGCTGATCAGGAGCCAGGAGCTTCATCCAGGTCTCCCACATGGATGCAGAGGTTCAAGCATTTGGGCCATCTTCCACTGCTTTCCCAGGTATATTAGCAGGAAGCTGGGTCGGAAGTGGAGCAGCTGGGACTTGAACAGGTGCCCATATGGGATGCCAGTGCTGCAGGTAGTAGCTTAACCTACTCTACCACAATGCCGGCCCCAGACTTTAAATATTTTTTAAAAAGATTTATTTTATGTATTTAAAAGGCAGAATTAGAGAGGGAGCGACAGAGCTAGAGAGAGAGAGAGAGAGAGAGAGAGAGAGAGAGAGAGAATCTTCCATCTTCTGGTTCACTCCCCAAATGGCCAGAACAGCCAAGGCTGGAGCCAGGAACTCCACCCCATCTCCCACATGGGTGGCAGGGCCACAAGCACTTGGGCAATCCTCCACTGCATTTTCAGGCACATGAACTTGGAGCTCTATTGGAAGTGAGGTATCCAGGACCTGAACTGATACCCACATGGGAAGTGACAAGTGGCAGCTTTGCCTGCTATGCCACAGCACTGGCCCCTTGAACAGTATTCATATCTATAGATGGTTGCTTGTCTTCTTTTTGAGGATTCAAAGATGTGAGAAGTATGTCTGTAGTCAGTTGAAGTATATGTACACGATAAAAGTGATAATGGTAATAACAAATCCAAACACAATACTGTAGGAAAACAAGAGAGGGAGGGATTATGACCCGGCAGTCTGAACAGAGACAAGTTCCTCAAGACCAGTGCTGAGAGTGTTGCAGGTTGAAGGCCACTGAGCAAAGATGAGATAAGCATTTTCAGAAATTCTTTAGGGATGAGTGATGTTTTTTAAAGATTTATTTATTTATTTGAAAGGCAGAGTTACATTCAGGCAGAGGCAGAGAGAGTTCTTCTGTCCCCTGGTTCACTTCCCAGATGGCTGCAACAGCCGGAGCGGGGCCAATCTGAAGCCAGGAGCCAGGAGCTTCTTCTGGTCTCCCACGCGGGTGCAGGGGCCCAAGGACTTGGGCCATCTTCTACTGTTTTCCCAGTCCATAGCAGAGAGCTGGATTGGAAGTGGAGCAGCCGGGACTCGAACCAGCGTCCATATGGGATGCCGGCACTACAGGCAACGGCTTTACCCACTACGCCACCATGCTGGCTCTGAACAAGTGATTTTTAAGAATAACAGTATTGCTGGTACAATGGAAGAAGTTGTTCTGGGAATATGAATCATAATTATATTCCAAGTTCTTGCCCCCACAGAGATAAGAATTCAGAAAGGAGAGGCATGAATACAGTACACAAGTGAGAGCAGGATTTATTTAAAAGTGAGAGAGTGAACATAAATTTATATGTGAGTGTGGACAGCTCCACACAGAGATACCTGCCATGAGTGAGCCAGACAGTTACCTATTAGCAGGGAGCATGGGAGGAGGCCAGATAAAGACTCACAGCAAGGGCCAGAAGCCAAAGGCAAAAAGGAGTATTCCCACATATAACAGACCCACTTATGGGGTAAAGGGTAGTGCCCTAATGAATATACAGATAGGATGCAGAGTCTGGGTGGGGTTTAGTGTACGTGGGGCTTTCTAGGAGTTTCATGGTACCTCCAGGTGGAGCATAACTTTCACGTGTTCATCGTGGCATCTCCTCTTTCCTGGTATCAGATGATATAAAAATGCAGCCTGGGAAAGTCGGCATACTGGATTGCCATGTAAGGGGGTAGAGTTACAGTGCAGTGCTGGCAGAAATCATGAGAAAAATCTTAGAGCTCAGTGAGCTCTATCTCCTCTCCTGTCTGTTTCTCCCATGTCAAAGTGACTTGAAGACCAAGTCGGGCTCAGCTCTTCCCTAACCTTCCCATGCAGTGTTGATCTCCCTTCTGTTGTTCCCCATCCTTGACAGATTTCTATGGCACATCTTACTATGTGTGTAGTATTCTAATTATGTGTTCTGTCTTTACCATTTGTCATGAGTAAGAACATGTGTTATTCAACTTTGTATTTTTATAGAACCTAATGCATTGTCTCAAATACAATGGATTCTTCAAATGTTTGTTGACCAAATGAATAAATGAGAATCAACCTAGCTTAGTAATCCCAGTGAAAGGTGATGAGGGTATGACCATAGACAGTTGCCGAGGAAAAGGGAGGAGAAGCATAAAAGCTGGCTAATCAAGAATTGGGATTTTTATTTCACAGGAATATTCTAGGTGCTATGGAGAATACAAAGAAAAGTATATTTTTTAAAAAATAGATTTATTTATTTATTTGAAAGTCAGAGTTACACACACACACACACACAGAGAGGTCTTCCATCCTCTGGTTCACTCGCCAAATGGCTGCAATGGTCAGAGCTGTGCTGATCTGAAGCCAGGAGCCAGGAGCTTCCTCTGGGTCTCCCACATGCAGGTGCAGGGGCCCAAGCACTTGGGCTTTCTTCTGCTGCTTTCCCAGGCCATAGCAGAGAGCTGGATCGGAAGTGGAGCAGCCAGGACTTGAATTGGTGCCCGTATGAGATGCTGGGACTGTAGGTGGCAGCTTTACCTGCTATGCCACACTTCCAGCTCTGAGACTGTTCTTATTGTTTTATGTAGGTGAGAACACAGGAAAATCAATGAAATAGACACTAGTGTAAAATAATGTATTTAAAGAGACTTGTGGGTGAAGGTGGTTGAGGAAGATGGGACTTCTTAAGAACCTTAAAGAATGGGGCAGGATTAGCAAGAAGTAGCGATAGAATTGCTGGGCCTGGCTTGAGTAGGGACCCAGAGGTGCCTGTTGAGGAGATAATAAACCAGCGGGCTCCACAGGAAGGTAATTCTGGAAAAGTAGGTTGGTACAAGATCATGAGTGTCCTTGAATGTCAAGCTAAGGAGTTTGAAATTGTATTATAGGCTATAGGGAAGTATTGCAAGGTTTGGGATAGGAAGCTGACATAATTGGGATAGGATTTAGATGTTAATCTGGAAGAGTTAAATGGATGGAGAGATGAGAGGCATGAAGACTGGCGAGTCAGCCCACTGAAGTTGTCCAGTTCCAAGGTGGCGAGAGCCTTAGCTAGGAGAATGATGCAGACAAATATGAACAGTTATTAAGGCTGATACAGAGGCAGAATGTTTTAATAGGCCAAGACTTCACACTGACCGCAACACAACCTTCTCTTTTGGTCTGAATTGTGTACATGGGGAAGTCCCGCTTTCAGTAGCTAACTGAACACCCTACTCTAGGCTTTAAGGTTTAACCAGAATGAAACAATGTAGCCTAATAAATCACAGGTATGTGTATCTTGTTTTGAAAATTGTAGAGCTGAGGCCCTTGAGTTCCAATTCCAATAAGTCACTTGCCCTTTATCTTTTTCTTTAAAGTCATCTGAAGTTCTGAAAGCTCTTATTGTATTATCTATAAAATTAAAAATGTCACCCCCTAGTATGGAACAAATTTTAAAAATTTTCAAAACATATACTTGACAGACCTTTAGAATCATGTACCTAACTGTTCCTTTTCTTTTGGCCTCTGTAGCGCTGTTTGACACTAATGGATAGAGGATTTGTTTTCAATCTTATAAATGACTACATATCTGGATTCAGCCCCAAAGATCCTAAGGTAAGTTATAAAGACATAATTGTAGTGGAGGTCAGACATGAATGCATGAGACCAAGGGTGACATTTATTCTCTTCTGGAGGATTTGGAACTGCTGTTTTCATTTAGCTACTTTGAGTATAGCTTGACTTCAAAGAAGGGAATAGCAGGACTCAACATGCAGTCATCCTCGTGACTTGAGATTCTGAGTGACATGGTGAGACTACTCGGCGGGCTCACACAGGACAAAAGACATCCACGCAGGGTCTAAAGCAGTGCCTATGCAGTAGCTTTCACCCTCCTGTGAGGGTTCACACAGAGCACACTTGCCCTTCAGCCCTTAACGTGCAGCAACATGAGCATGACATTTCTATTCAAGGAAGCTTGTTGGACACTCAACATTGAGGCTTTTATTGGGGGCTGGTCATGTATGAATATTGGAGCCCCGTCAAAATTCTAAACTCTCAGAAAGGAAAGCAAAACAGGTGTTCACCATAAATCATATTGTTTGTACAGTAATCTAAGCAGGCTGGCACCAAATGCACAAACTTATTGCGTAGGGAACATGTCAAAATCCAACTTCCCAGAATGCCAGCCAAAGAGCAACCTGGGAAGCATGCCTTTGTGAGGACGGTAGTCTCAGGCCTGTTGTGTTAACTCTTGCTGATACAAGTCCTATCTCAAGGTATACACTTGGACTACTAGACACTTCTGTTGTGAAAATTGATGCCACAGATTAAGTTACTAAAATAGTAAATCCTTGCTAACTACAGAATTGGTGTATAATTTCTTTCTGTTTAGGTTCTGGCAGAATACAAGTTTGATTTTCTGCAAACAATTTGCAATCATGAACATTACATTCCTCTGAACTTGCCAATGGCATTTGCGAAACCTAAACTGCAGAGAGTTCAAGGTATGTATTGGCACTTTCCATCAATTGGAATGCCCCTTTCCCTTTGTTTTTGCTAGTGCTAGTGTAGTGTAATGCTGTCTAGTTAAACTAGTCATCTTGAAGTTGACCTCAGAATTGTTAACTATGTGACGCTACGTCCATTAATGCCATTTCCTTCATGGTATCAAGGGTTGTCTTCATAGCATGATGAAATTGGGTGTGTTACATAAATGGCTGCTTAAACGCAGATATTGATACTAATAAAATTGCTCTATGCAGCAGTGGTTGAAATATTACATGAGACGAAATTAAGAAAAAATGTAACTGCACTTCTGCTGAAAGCATCAGGAAAATAATAAAGGCAGATTAAAATAGGAATATGTATGTACTAACTTTATGAAATGCCTTCATTATCTCCATTGCTATTTTTATTGAATGCTTTGTTGTGTAGCACTATTCTTATGTTACTATGTTTTTTATTTGTCCCCTTTCTTTTTATATATTAATTAGATTTTTTTTCATTTGCGGTGGACCGTTTGACTTCAGTAGGTAGGTTTAACTCGGTTCACTCTAAAGTAGCTTGCTGTCTCTAAGCACAGTTGATTTGATGAATGGCTAAGATGGATGGGGGCTTTGTTTGCTTTTCAAATCTTCTCTTGCCTAAATGAGGCTTTCGTTAAAGTACCCAGCAAATCCAGGAGGCAGTGTGTTTACTTTGGAAGTAAACTTGAATATTGCTAGATGAATCAACTTGCAAACAGGTTCCTGCTGCAAGCTGGCATGGGGGCTGGGGTGGGGCTGAGCGTATCTGTTCTAGAAGGCGTGGTATCCTTCAGTCATGCTTTCTTCTCTCTGACCCTATTTAAGGACTGCTCAGCCAAAGATTTGAAGGTGTGGCTGAAACTGCCTGATTGGATTTAGTCAAATCACTGAAATAACAAAATTCATTCCCACTTGCAAAATCTGCCCTGATAAGGCCACCTTGCTTGGCCATAACTGACCCATATGTGTACAGACTGAGTGGAATTCAAAACAGCATGACCAGTGTAGGAAGAAAATCAACTGCCTTGGTTTCTAGGAGAGCATCTACTGAATGATGGTTTTAGTGATGGAATCACAAGCAGTAGAAATGGAGAAAAATACTTAAAAACCATAGCAGCCCTGTTCAGCCATTGCTTAATTATATTCTGAGCATGTGTGGCTCACCTACTTCCTCCAATATTTATTCATAGCTATGAGGAAGTCAGGAAGAAGAAGGGGTGAGCAGATCATCAGAATTGAGAATTCAATTAGACTACTCCCAGCATTTACTAAATCCTAACTGGATACATAGAATTATATTACATGCTAAAGAGGCCAAAGAAGAAATTACAAACTATGTCCCTCAGCTTTGTGGCCAAACAAAATCACATGGTAGGGAAGAGGATAGAGAGAGTAGAAATATACTGTAGAAATTACTAAACCTGATCACCATCCCCTCTGAGTAGTTACAAGCAAGGCAAAGCCCAACCAGGATATTAACATCTGGGATTTCAAATAGACTGAGAGTATAAAAGGGAGCGAAGGCATAATTTGGTGGTGATTTTATGAAATAAAAGATTTGTATTTGTGTGGTGATGGATTGGAGAGAGATGAGCCTGGTTTTATTCTTGTATCTCACATATACATTCAGGCCATTATGTGATGCTTACTGAAATAGTCAATACTGTTAGAACAGTTCAGTTGTTTCTAGTTTCTCTTCCTATTTTCAAGTATAAATGGATAAGTAGATAAAGAACTGTTGAACAGAGTTATTCAAATGAGTAGTTGTAATGAAATCTCTTCAGATATAAAGAAACGGGTTAAGACACTACCAAATATAGAATTATTTCATTCTATGTTCTATCCTAAGACTTCTAAGAGTTTAAAAGAATCCAGGGCGGGGGGTTGGATGGAGCAGAAAGAATCTGGGGACTTACTTGCTGCCTGAAATTATCATTAAAACTATCATCTAGCCCTAATTAGGAGGGCTTTTATAAAATTTTGCATGCTTATTCTATATGATAAAAAATTATTCAGATTCTTTAATAATAAACATAGTTCTAGCTAGCATGATTACAGATTCTTAAACAATAAATACAGTATTTTAATTGTATACTGATTTTTGAATATTTTTATAAATGGGCTTTCAATTTCATTGTACTGCAGATTCAAATCTTGAATACAGTTTATCAGATGAGTATTGCAAGCATCACTTCTTGGTTGGCCTACTTCTGAGGGAAACCTCCATTGCTCTTCAAGACAATTATGAGATCAGATATACAGCTATCTCTGTCATAAAGAATCTGTTGATAAAACATGCATTTGACACTAGATACCAGCACAAGGTAAGGATGTCCGCATGACTAGTGAATTTCTACTAAGATTTTTCATTGGGATAAAGTTTGTAGGAAGGAGCACATGAGCATTGATGAGAACTTATTTTTATGAATAAGATTTTGTTTGCATTTCTAATCATTAGGTTTCAAAAAATGCTGCTGTTGAAGAAAAATACTGGTTTCTTAAATAATTTTTAATTTTATTTTTTAAATAGTATTTAAAGAACAGTGTAACTGCTTCAGGATATATTACATAAACTGATTATGAATTTTTAAAACATTCTTATAGGGTTGTAACCATGCATATTCTGTTACATATGTGAAATATATTATTGATTATTAAATCAATAAGGCATGTTAAGTATATCATATATAAATATGTAATATGAACATTTTCTTCTCACTGAAATGGTGATGTGGTAATGTTACTATCATTAGCTGTTGGTGAGGCTGTAAACCCTACATATATTACACATTGTCTGCGTGGTGTAGGCCATAGCTGTAGTTGCTTGCTGTTTATTCGCACTTCTAACAAATGAGTGGACTTTAAAAAAAAACTTCATGAAAAATGGAATTAAAAGATAAATTTGTTTTGTTGTAAATTTTTTTTGAAATCCATATATATGAGGGGTCTTCAAAATTTTCATGGGAAATGTGTATGATGACAAAATTATGCATGCATTTCAAGTTTTCTGCACCAAAATCACTTTACTGGTTTTGTTCTATTTTCCACATACTTTTTGAAGTACCCTCCTATGCAAGTCTTTTGACGTTAAATCCTATGGATTTCGAATAGCCTGACTTAGTTCCCTGGTATCAGATGGCTCAAAAACACTCATATTGTTTCTGAATTATAAAATTTCCCCTTTGCTTGTACATTCAAATATAAGAAAATTATGATTTCATTTATTATTGTGATCATTTTGAAAATGATCAGAGGTGGATTTTGTTCTTTCTTCCATGGTATTCCAGCTTATTTATAAGTAGAAAATGCCTGCCAGTGACATCTTTTCATACTTTGATTACAATGATTTTTTAAAATCACAAGTCTTACTAGTTTTCTTTGTGTATTTCTATCCTAGAGTTGATATGAACTCCTTAGCTTTAAACTGTAATTTGCTTCCTGCTGTTTGCATGGTTTGCTACATTGTAACTATAGTACCACAGCCCCACTTAATGTAGTTTGCTCTGTGCTATTTGCTTTTTTTGGAATGTTGATATCGACTTAACACAAGTTTCCTGGTATAATATGTCCAAATTAGAAAGATATCTTAAAAGTCATTCAGTCCAACCAAGCTTAGTCAAACTTAAAGAAATGCCAGGTGTTACTAAGCCCTGGTTAACTGCTCAGTAACAGAGGAAGGGATCTTATGTGATGTGGAGGAAAATGTCTTTAGCTGAGATTTTAATTGATTCATGGGAAAAGTACAAAATGCACTACCCCTCAATGAAGCAGGAAGATGTATTTTTCTCTACTGTCTCTACAGATGAAAATGAATAAAAATGTGATTTCATTGATGGCTTACACAGAAGTGGAATTTTAATATTTTATATCACAAATTTGAACATTTTTAACTTTTTAAATTCTGAAAGCAGTATATAAACACACAACACACACACACACACAGAGCTATTGGTACCTGTAAATATGCTAAACACTATACCTGTTTGAGATTTTAAACTATGGGAAAGATGAAATGCCAAGCTCCATCACCCTTCCAGTAACTTCTAAAGCCTTTTCCTCTTTGTTCAGAAGCTTCATACAGGCATTAAATAAATATGGGTTTCTTTCTAGAAGAACTTAGTTTGCTTCACGGACCTGGTTAACCAAAACTTCAATTCTGTTGTATTGAATGAGGATATTAAAATGTCCTTTCTGCCTTTGGTGCAAAGAGTTCACAGGTGACCTGGGTAACAGGTCATTTGTCAAATACATTTAAGTAAAATATGTTCCCCACTAATGATGATGCCAAAGTAAGAGTTGAGAGAGAACTTTAAACTTTAATTTCCACTCAGTCCCCCAAAGTGACCCCAAATAAATAGCTAAGTTTTTAAAAAGAACGTTTCCTTGGGGCTGGCACTGTGGTGCAGTGGGTTAAAGACGCGGCCTACAGTGCCAGCATCCCATACGGGCGTGGATTCGAGTCCCGGCTGCTCCATTTCCAGTCCAGCTCTCTGCTATGGCCCAGGTCCTTGGGCCCCTGCATGTACGTGGGAGACCCAGGGGAAGCTCCTGGCTCCTGGCTTTGGATCAGCTCAGCTTTGGCTGTTGTCATTTGGGGAGTGAACCAGCAAGTGGAAGACCTCTCTCTCTCTCTCTCTCTCTCTCTCTCTCTCTCTCTCTAACTCTGTCAAATAAATCTTTAAAAAAAATGAATGTTTCTTATGGACAGAATGTTTCCTATGAAAATCCTGGTTTAAGACTGGACTTCCTGGTCACCTCTCCCCCTTCCATATGACCAGTCCTAAATCTGACCTCTAAGGAAATTCCAGATACATCACTGGCTACCTGTTCCGGATTTTCACAAACTTCTTGGAGCAGTCTCATGTGCTGGCCCCTAGCAGGCTCATTTTAAAATTGATAATTTTATAAGGCCCATGAATGATATCATAAATATCCAAATGGCCCATGGCAGAACAATGGTTCACCATCTCTGAAAGGGGTTGCCATGCACTGTGGCATACATCCCATATGGGCACCAGTTCAAGACCCAACTGTTCCACTTCCAATCTAGTTCTCTGCTATGGCCTGGGAAAGCAGTGGAAGATGGCCTAAGTCCTTGGGCCCCTGCACCCACGTGGGAGACCTGGAACAAGCTCCTGGCTCCTGGCTTCGGATTGGCCCAACTCTGGCCATTGCAGCCAGTTGAGTGAATCAGCGGATGGAAGACTTCTGTCTCTCTGCCTCTGCCTCTCTGTAATTCTGCCTTTCAAGTAAATTAGAAAAAAAAAAGGCTTTCTCTGTCTTTCAAATAAATAAAATTAATCTTAAAAAATACTCAAAGAAATACAAGAGAATGGCAAGACAGCTGACCAAAATCAGTAAAAAACAATAAAATATATATATATATATATATTTAAAAAGGGGGTTGCCATGTGAAAGTAGAAGCCGATTTACCCTTTCTAGCTCTGAAGAACAAAATTATACCAAGGTGGTTGAACTATGTTATAAGAATATATTTCAACTCTTGGGCCTTCCTAATAGAACCCACAAAAAGGCCAGAGTTTCTAAGAAGGTTTAAGAAGTAGGTATTTGTCAGGGGTGTATGGAAGGTCCATTCCAGCCCTGGGCAGTGAGTTAGACGAGGTTAGTGCTTCTTAAACCTGTATGCAGTGCACATCAGCAGCAGCCAGGGCAGCCTGGACCTACTGAATCAGAATCTCCTGGTGATGGAGACGGCCATTAATGTGTACTATGGTAGAAACAAATCTGTTAATGTTAGCGGAGATGGGTGGCATTGGTTCTTGTGTTCGCCCAAGAAAGAATTCAGAGGTGAGACAGAGAGCAGTGGTAAGCAAGGTTGAATGGGGTAGGGCATCCGTCAGAACAGATGGGCATCTCTCCAGACACAAGGCAAGAGTGCCTAGTTTACATTCAGATTGGGGTTTTTAAGAGAATTGGTCCAGTTCTTCGTGCCATTTCTCCTTCCCTTCCTCCCCCTTCTTCTGGACAAGAAGTGTGAATTATTTAAAATGCCTCCGGAGGTTTCACTGCTCAGTGCTATCAGACTGGGGAGCCCTCCTGGCTGCCTAGCAGAGCAACTTCCCTTGGGTGCGTGCATTAGGGGAAGGCTGTGAAGGTTTTATTTCTCAGTGTTAAAAGGCTGGGTAACCTTTTGGGGTTGAGCAGAGAGGATTCTCCTGGGGCCCTTTCATGGAGGGTGGGGAGGCTGGGGTATGGGCAGCACTTTGTATTGTAAAATTCTGGGCTGCTTCCTAGATGCGCTTTGAGGCTGTTAATATTCCTCTCTGGGAGAAACTTGTTTGCCTCAGTCCCCCCGCCCCCCCCTCCCCAGGCTAATTTCTAACTTCCTACCAAACATTAAGAAGGAGTTCCTGAAATTCACAAAAGGAGTGCAGATGGCCAATTAACATATGAAAAAATGCCTGGCCTCAGAATAAATGCAAATTAAAACAACAGTGAGATACTATTCAGCTATATTCTCTGTTTCACCTTAGAGGCCAAGTCTTGAAATAGGACTAGAACCATTCCTCTGATTTGAGTAGACATAGGTATCTGAGGAGGAATGCCTGTAGCTGAGGAAAGCAATAATGTATGTAACAGGTAGCACTTTAACAGTGCTAGGGGTCCACTGTATTTACATATTCACAAATGTATCAATCTCCCAAGATCATGTTATTCTAATTGCAGCTTTAATTGAAAAAAGTCCATTTATTCTCAAATGAGTACAGTCATTCACTGTTGGTTTTTTTTTTTCAACTTCTTCAATGTATTCATTCATTCAGCTAAATGTATATTGACCATCTATGTGTCCAGGTACTGGGGATGAAGCAGTGAACTAGACAGACATGGTCCCTGGTCTCATGAAGCTCAGTTCTCATTGGAGCTAAAAGAACTAATACTTTCTGCTTTATAGGTCAATTGCTATTAAGAAATATTTTACTTATTAAGAAATATTTATGGGGCTGGCACAGTGGCATAGTGGGCAGTGCCAGCATCCCATATGGGCACAGGTTTGATTCCCAGCTGCTCCGCTTCCAATCCAGCTCTCTGCTATGGCCTGGGAAAGCAGCAGAGGATGGCCCAAGTCCTTGGGCCCCTGCACCCACGTGGGAGACTCAGAGGAGGCTCCTGGCTCCTGGCTTCGGATTGGCCCAACTCCGGCCATTCCAGCCAGCTGGGGAGTAAACAGGCGGATGCAAGACCTCTCTTTCTCTCTGCCTCTCCTACTCTTTGTGTGTAACTCTGACTTTCAAGTAAATAAATATTTTTTTAATTTACTTATTTTAACTAGTTATGTTGAGGGATGAGATTTGACTCTGTATCATGTAAAAATCTAAATGCCAACAAAGTTTTGTGGAAATTAGCTTTGAGTTAAGTATAAGTGAACTTGTGCTTCATGAATTTCTTCTGGATAGTAGTCCACTCTTGGTCTTCAAACTGCTATAGGGAGCCAACTCTGTTTATCTGTAATATATGTATACTATATACCTATTAAACTTTTGCGAATTATTTTTCAGAACCAGCAAGCCAAAATAGCACAATTGTACCTTCCATTTGTTGGACTGCTCTTGGAAAATATACAGCGATTAGCAGGTCGAGACACCTTATATTCCTGTGCAGCCATACCTAATTCTGTAAGTAGTCATTTGGAATTGGGGTCAAATGTCGTATGGTCTCAAACTTAAAATTTCATGTTTTACTCCATTTTAAAATTTATGCCATTTCTCCTTGAGCAGTGTTTCTCATACTAATGAACCTATCAATCACCAAGGGGAATTTTAAAAATATTTAGCTAATTATTTGGAAGGCAAGGAGATAGTTCCCATCTGCTGACTCATTTCCCAAGTGCCCACAACATACAGGGCTGGGCCAGGCAGAAACCAGGGGCCTGGAACTCAATCTGGGTCTTCCATGAGGATGGCAGGGAACAAACCACTTGAGCCATCATCTGCTGCTTCCCAGGGTAGACATTATCAGGAAGCTGGAATGCAGAGTTGAGCTGGGATTCCAACCCAGGCACTGCAGTATGGGTGGGATGGGGGCATCCCGCGTGTCAGCTTAAACTGCTATGCCAAATGCTGGCCCCTGTCTTTAGGAATTTGTTGAAACACAGATTCTAATTCAGTAAATCTTAAGTCAGGGCTTAAGCGTTTTGTGTTTCTAACAAGTTTTTGGCTGCCGTTGGTCCAAGGACTACACTTTGAATACCAAGGTCCAAGAGAACACCAGGAATTCCTTTACTTGTTGTTCTTAAGAGCTGTTGTTATTAATATTCCTTTACATACTTATTCAACTTGGAAATTGAACAGAAGATTCTTTACCTCCAAAATGCTAGGCACTGGGGATTCAGCTGTGTCCCTATATTACTCCCCTCACTTGGTGATCTCCTTTCAGTACTACTTGGTGAGTCCCATTTAGCTTATCACAGTTCATCTGTGCTTCCTTTTTCTCTCCTTAGGATATATGTGTGTGTGTGTGTATGTATGTATGTGTATACATATAATTTTTTTTTATTTTAGAGGTAGAGAAGCACACAAATAAAGAGCTTCCATCTGCTGGTTCACTCTCCACATGCCCACAGCAGCCCAGCTCAAGCCAGCCCAAAGTCGGGAGCCAGGAACTCAATCCAAGTTTCTCACATGGGTGGCAGGGACCCAATCACTTGAGCTATTACCCCTGCTCCCAGGGTTTGCATTGGCAAGACTAGAGTCAGGAGCTTAAGGTAGTTATCCAACCCAGGCACTCCAATATGGGATATGAGCAACTTAACAGATAGGCTAAACACCTGTTTCCTCTAGCCCTGGGTCCCCTGCCCCCCAGCCATATTTTGTACAGCCCAAGGCCATCCTTGCACCTTGAACAGCCATGGCATTTTGTTGGGTCACAGGTTAAATTATGTCCTTTATAGCTTCCTCTGGAAGTTCCCCCTATCCAGTGCCCCTGAAAATTTGTCAAGCCTGTCCTGGAGCCCTGAGGAAGCTGCTTTTAAGCTTTCCTGGGGCTCCTGATCTTGTCAGTTAGCTGAATGTGAATACTACATCATCTACCTGCATGTCAGGATGGTTTTTCTTAACCAACACAGAGTAGCCCATACTTAAGCTCACTCCATATTCATTTAACAATGATATTTGGAAATACTTCACTAATCTGTTCTTTCCTTTGTAGCTCAAGTACACCTAGGGCTTTCGGTCATACCCACTACTTCTAGAATTTCCCGATTCCAAAAAAAAACTGAATCCTGTTGATAATGGCAACAGTTAAAGCCATTTAGAGATATGTCATTGGGCCAGAGGTCATGTTTACAACATTATGCTAGTAGCCATATATTTTTTGAAAATCACCTAAATTGCATTTAAAAAAGAAGATTTATTTACTTGAAAGAGTTACAGAGAGGCATAGGCAGAGAGAGAGAGAGGTCTTCCATCCGCTGGTTCACTCTCCAGTTGGCCATAACAGCCAGAGCTGGGCTGATACGAAGCCAGGAGCTTCCCCCAGGTCTCCCATGTGAGTGCAGGAGCCCAAGGACTTGGGCCATCTTCTACTGCTTTCCCAGGCCACAGCAAAGAGCTGGACCGGAAGTAGAGCAGCTGGGACTTGAACCAGTGCCCATATAGGATGCCAGCACTGCAGGTAGCTGCTTTACCTACTATGCCACAGCACCAGCCCCAAGAAAGTCACCTAAATTCCAAGTACTGGTAATTGATTTAGACTTTCACAATGAGCTTCGTTTAAAATCAGGGTGCTGTCTTATTCTGTTAATTTGCATTTCCTATTCTAGTACACATTTTGTTGAAATGACCCAGATATCATATTCTGTTTGTTACAGGCATCCAGGGATGAGTTTCCATGTGGCTTCACTTCACCTACAAATAGAGGGAGTCTGAGTACTGAAAAAGACACTGGTAATTAAGCCCTTTAAAGATCATACATTTTATGAGTATTTAGAAATATGCCCTATAGTTTTTAGTATTTATTAAATATTTTGTATTAAAAAACTATACATAGCATGATGTCTACTAAAGCTTAGTTCAGATTTTACAATTGCAGCCACATTACTTTGCTGATTTTTTTTTTTGTCTAAGCTTGCTTAAAAGTCTGGTGATTTTTATTTCTTTTTAAATAAAGACCTAACGTGATATGCTGAGAAAATAAAGGATAATGAGAACACTGTTGGTTTCCAGTCCTTTTACCTGTCACCAATTTGGGGCCACACACTTCCCTTTTCTGGGCCCAAGTTTTCTTATATCATGTGGCTTTGTTTTATGAGTTTCAAGGAATTTGTTGTAGTTGTATGTATTATAATGTGTTTTGAGAGGTAAAAAAAAAATTGGCTTAACCTTTGCTTGGTATCTTATGGTATTTTGATATTAACCTTACATTTTATATGACCAAGATCTATTCCCTCCAATTTAAGGGGTCTTCAACATGTTCATGGGAAATACATATTATGAAAAAAATCATGCATGAATAAAAAATATTTTGCACCAAAACTTATCTTTAAGTTCCATTTTCCACACCTTTTTGAAGTACCCACATATCTTAAGTCAATTCGGTACTTACTTTTCGTAAAATGGTTTTTGAATGTTCCCCTTGTTTCTAACAATAACTTGGCTTTTCCCCCCAGCTTTTGGGTCTTTTCCAAATGGACATGGAATTAAGAGGGAAGATTCCAAAGGTTCCCTCATCCCAGAAGGAGCAACAGGATTTCCAGATCAGGGCAACACTGGTGAAAATGTAAGATACTAAATACATAGGATAACCATAGTGATGTGTTAGGCCACAAGTCTTTCTTTTCATATACATGAGGAAAAAAAAATCTTTCTTTTTGCATACACCTACTCTCCTATAATCCATCTTAGAGCTATAAAAAGCATTCCAGAACTCTTGCATATATTAACAATCCCATTCTATCCTGGCAGCTACTATTTGGATATCCCAAACTATTTTTAGAGAATAAGGCATTTATCTTCAATAGTTCTAATTCTGACTCTTCTTTAACCCTGCTACACTGTAACCCATTCTAGAGAGGGAAGGCTCAAGTTTAAAATATCCAATGGGGGCTTTTGGCTCAGTGGCTAAGTTGCTGCTTGGGCAGCCCACATCCCACATCGGAGTTCCTGGTTGAAGTCCCAACTATCTGCTTCAGATCCAGCTTACTGCTAATGTGCACCCTGTGTAGCAACACATGATGGCTCTGGTATTTGGGTCCCTGCCACCTATGTGGGAGACCCAGATTGAATTTCAAGCTCCTGGTTTTAGCTTGGTCCAGCTGTGACTGTTGAAGGCATTTGGGTAGTAGACCAGCAGATGGACGATCTCTCTCCATTTGTCTCTCTATATACCTTTTATATAAAATGAAAAGTAAATGAAGTACTAGGATATGTGACCTAGTACTTAGTTAAGACATTGGTTAAAACACCCATATCCCTTGTGGAAGTACCTGTGTTTGAATCTCTGCTCTGGCTCTTGACTCCAGCTTCTTGCTAATGCAGACCCTGGGAGGCAGCAGTTGATGGCTCAAGTAGTTGTGTTTCCACCACTCATATAGGAGACCTGGGTTGAGTTCCCAGCTCCTAGCTTCAACCTCTCCACCGTCCTAGGCATCTGAGGAGTAAACCAACAGATAGGAGCCCTCTGTATGTGTGTGTCTGTCTCATAAATATCTAGTGTGCCTTGTCATTGAAAATGAAGCACATACTGGCAGGAGTGATTTAACCTTTCTTTTATAATGACATTAACTTGGGAGAGAAAAATAAAGGTCCTCAAATTGATGATCTTAGCATCCCAGCATCACTTAATCAGAATACTCTCCCATGAAGTGGTTTCAAGAGTAACATTAAAGTTTGAGATGTGTCTGCCTTGAGGCAGAAATCTCATTTTAGATCAGTGTGTGGTCATGTCACTCTGTAAAATCATAGAATCATATAAAATTAGGGAAGGACCCATAAAAATAATAACTTCCAAATCTTGATTAGCAAATTAAAGCTGAGATTGTAACTCGGAACTTCCTGCTATGGCAGGACTGCGCTTGAACCCAGATTTTCTAATTCCAGCATTTTTGATCCTGTATCATATCACTCTTAGGATACATCACGGTCACCTGGAGGGCTTAATAAAAATAGATTATTGGGCCGAATCCCCATGAGTGAGATTCAGTAAGTCTAGAATAGGGCCTGCAAATTTGTATACAAATTAGCTGATGCTGCTAGCTGGGAAGTGCTTGCAAACTACTATATATACTTCCTTGAGCCTTTGAGTGAATAATTTATCCCCAAAAGTTCCTATTTCACACAATTTATGACACTGTAATAGGTAAGGCAAATAAAGATTAGAGAGGTTAAATGTGTATCCCTAATTTATCTCCATTGAAAGTATTGGTTCTTGGCTGGCGCTGCGGCTCACTAGGCTAATCCTCCGCCTTGCAGCGCCGGCACACCAGGTTCTAGTCCCGGTCGGGGCACCGGATTCTTTCCCGATTGCCCTTTCTCCAGGCCAGCTCTCTGCTGTGGCCAGGGAGTGCAGTGGAGGATGGCCCAAGTGCTTGGGCCCTGCAACCCATGGGAGACCAGGAGAAGCACCTGGCTCCTGCCATCGGATCAGCGTGGTGGGCCAGCCGCAGCGCGCTGGCCGCGGCGGCCATTGGAGGGTGAACCAACAGCAAAGGAAGACCTTTCTCTCTGTCTCTCTCACTGTCCACTCTGCCTATCAAAAAAAAAAGTATTGGTTCTTAACAAAGATAAATACTTTAGGTGATTAGCTAATACTATTCATACAAATCCCCAAATAAGTCCGATCTTATAACTTATAACTTAATTTCTTACATTTTAACAAAAGGTATTAAATAATAGGAACATCACTATGTTGTAAAGTTAAAGGTCCTTCTTAGTATAATTATTTTATTGTAATACCAATAACCCATTTTAGACTTTTTAATCTATAATTTGGAGATTAGATTTTAATAAACTTTAAGGAGCTATTCTAATTAAAGGGTTTAAAGTGTTTTTTACCCTTTCACTTGCCCTAAAGTCCTTTTCCATACAAAAGTTACTGTTATATTTTACTGAAGAAACATAATGCTTATGATAATGAAACCCACAGTATTATGGTCTTTATGAAGATACCACTGTAATTCCCATTGGTTTTACTAAATATACTAACAACAAAGGTTCAGCCTATTTACCTTCCAGATGTGATATAAAATTTTTATTTACATTTAGAACTTCCCTAAATAAGACTAATGATAAAAAGCTACTAAGTTAGAGGCTAAAGACAATTGTAATACTAGTTCACAAACATTGGGTCCTTGTATTACAGACACGACAGAGTTCTACAAGGAGTAGTGTCTCCCAGTATAACCGGCTGGATCAGTATGAAATCAGAAGTCTCTTGATGTGCTACCTGTATATAGTAAAAATGATATCTGAAGGTGAGTTTCCAGCATATTGAGTATGGACTCTACTGGCCATAGACTCTAAGTTCACAGGTTTGTGCATGTATTTGACCATTTTCTGTAAGTATAAAACATGTACCTTCAAAATAGATCTTTGAATACTGACCATACACTCTTCCTTAAAATGAACCTTAAAAGGGTGGGCATTGTGGGGTTAAGCCTCTGCTTGGGACACTAACATCCCCTACTGGAGTCTTGGTTTGGGTTCCCAGCTGCTTCACTTTTAATCCAGCTTTCTGATAATGTACCTGGGAAGCCAGAGGATGATAACCGAAGTGCTTGGATCCCTGCCACTAACATGGGAGACCCATATGGCATTCTGGGCCCCTGGCTGTTGTGGGCATTTGCAAAGTAAACCAGTGGATACAAGATCTGTGTCTCACCCTCTCTCCCTAACTTTCAAATAAATTTTTTTTTTAAGATTTACTTATTTATATGAGAGAGAGAGAGAAAGAAAGAAAGAATCTTCCATCCACTGGTTCACTCCCCAAATGGCTACAATGACGGGAGCTAGGCCAGGCTGAAGCCAGGAGCCAGGAGCTTCTTCCAGGTCTCCCATGTGGGTGCGGGGGCCCAAGCACTTGGGCCACCTTCTACTGCTTTCCTAGGTAAGTTAGCAGGGAGCTGGATCATGGAGCAGCTGGGGCATATACTGGCACCAATATGGGATACTTGTGCTACAGACCACGGCTTTAACCTGCTGTACCACTGCACTGGCCCAAAGAAATATTTTTTAAAAATGAGCCCTGCAGCTGGCATTAGGGGTATAGTGGATTAAACTGCCATATCGGAGTGCCAGTTCGAGTTCCAGCTGCTCTGCTTTCCTTTCATATCCCTGATGATGTGCCTGGGAAGGCAGTAGAAGATGGCCCAAGTACTTGGGTCTTGCCACCCTCATAGGAGACTCTGATGGACTTCTGGGCTCCTGGCTTCAGCCTGGCAGACCCCTTGTCATTTGAGTCATTTGGGTAATCAACCAGCAGATGGGAGATCTCTCTTTCTGTTCCTCCCTCTGTCTCTGTAACTCTGCCTTAAAAAAAAAAAAACTTTAAAAATAAACCTTAAAATAGATTTGTATCAGTTGTATGTGCAAGTTTGCTTATTTAAAATAATTGAAAAACAAATTTTCTAAAATAAGGCGATAATCTTAGAAGTATACAGATATTACAACTCATTAAATACCAATATAACCAGAAGGAAACAACCAGCATTCATATTTAACACATTAGCTTTTATTTGACCCAAGATTTAGAAAATCACAAGCAAAAATACAGGAAGTATTTGCCAAAGGATAGAGAATGTCATCATTATCTTCACAGCATCACTCTCTGATATGGTGTAGTGTCATGTTCTTTCAGGTGATGTTTTTCTCCTTGAGGTAGAACTGTATTATCGGTGTTACCAGTTCCTCTTTACACCATATGATGGAATACAACTGCAATACTTTCATGAACTGCATAGCTTCTGGAAGTAAAATCAGATTATCTTATTCTCAAATACCACATTTAGTTAAACAACCCCCCTTCCCTCCTTTTCGCAATATTTTTGCTGAAAAATATATGCAAGAATGAAAAGCATTACAAAATTAATGAAAAACATAAACGTACCTGGATTCCTGTCATCACAGTCATTCTAATATCCATTTTCCATTCTGTTTTTTTTCTTTTTAGTAAATATTAACCTGCTTTAACTATTTTTATAATAACAGATATAAATATTAAGTTAATAGCTAATTAAAAATAAATCAGACTATAAATTAATAGTAAATTCTAAAGTATAGTAATAAAGAAAATAAAAAAAATCTTTAAAATATACTAATACAGCAAATATAAAATCTAAGTTCTAGGAATATATGAATTAAATTCAAAGTCAAATATTATATTAACAGGCTATTGTTATGGTAGAGTAGGTTAAGCCGCCGCCTGGAACACTGGTGTCCTATATGGGCACTGGTTCAAATCTCGACTGCTCCACTTCTGATACAGCTCCCTGCTGATGCACCTGGGAAAGCAGTGGAAGATGGTCTCAGTAATTGGGCCCCTGCCACCCATGTGGGAGACCCTGAAGAAGCCCCTGGCTCTGGCCTCTGGCTGGCCCACCTCCAGCCATTGCGGCTATCTGGGGAGTGAGCCACTGGATGGAAGACCTCTCTCTGTAACACTTTCAAATAAATAAACCTTAAAAAAATAAATTACAATGTTTATGAGGTCTATTTATAAGGCAATGAAAATGTTATCAAATATTTCATCATAGTTGTGATTCACAATTAGGTGAATATTGTAAAATTATACAAATGTAAAATATATAATTATAATTTATGTTATAAGTTGTCCATTTTTTAAATGGGCCACTTTGTGGTGCATAAATTTTTTTAGCAATTTGTTTTAAAATAAGAGCTCCCCCAAAAAAGAGACCAGAAAGATACAAAGGGTTAAAAGGAGCTGAAAAACCAAGTGTTTGAATACCACCTCAGCTAAAACAAAGTTAATATAGGGGAGAGAGAGGAGACAAGGGAGAGAGATGCATTAATAACCAGTATTCCACTCTACAACTTCAGTATACACACACACACACACACACACACATACAGTGCTAATCAGTGACAAGCCTCTGGCTGCATATTTTTTACATCATGGATAAAACCACGAGTATTACAGTTCTTAAGAACTTAATAATAATTATTGTTCTTCTTATAGATGTTTGTAGATGCTGACCTTGCTCAGTGGCAGGACTCTGCGCTAAGTACTTGGTCTTTCTTCTGCTCTTGCAATTTGCTTTTTCAAAAGTATGAGTTTGATTACTAGTACATAGCCTGTGTCACATGTCATTTTTATCTTTTGTATGTATAGTCATGCTATTTATCTGTAAAGTCATATTCATTTTATTCTGAAAAATGCTTCTGGATTCTTCTCAATGGATGCCATCTAGTTAACTTGTCTGGTAAATATTCTGTTTTAGTTACTCTATATACATTTAAAGTTTCAGCTCTTACAAGTCCACACCCTTTGCCTTCTAGTTAAATTGTCTTGTCTGGTAAACATTCTATTTTAGTTACTCTATGTATATTTAAATATTAAGTTTTTACAAGTCCACACCCTTTTGGTTCTCTATTGGCTTTCTCTTTTATTGGGTCATAACAGTAGTAACTTTAGTGTCAAGAGAACGGATGGTCTACCTGCACATTTTTATATGGAAATAGAGGGATTCTGAAGAATAAATTCCATCTATTTATAGCTGTATTTTAACAGTAGTTCATTGTTTCAATTTTAGAGTCATCTGCCACTATTCTAACCATATTAGCATGTTAATTATATCCTGAGAAAAGGAATCAGAGTCAGATGTTACCTACTCTGAATTGACAGGAAGACTGTCCTTTTGAAAAACAATGAAATTCTCCTTACCAGATGAGGGAAGCTACATCCTCTGCCTTTTTAAGTTTGTCTTGGCTTTTCTCTTTATTGAACTGACTGGAAACATAGTTTGATAGTCATCTTGAGGCTTATTAGCACCATACCCTGAATATGTAGCTTCTTGAGTGCTCAAAGCAGCTTCCCCATTGGAAGATTTCGGGCTACTGCTGAGTTTCGCTGTTGATGTTGATTCAATATTATAATTAGGAATGCCAGATGATCTTTTCTTCCCATTAGATTTGGAAGTATAGTCAAAATGAAATACATTTGAACAGTGTTTTTCCTTGCTCTGTGAAGACGAAACTGAGCTTGTGTCACAACCAAGCAGGTTTTCCTCTGAGGTTTCAGATACCACCTGGGTAGATACCTGTTCTGAGGAGACACTGGAAAAGCTCCAAGAGGAGTCATGCTCAGTTTCATACTTTCGTGTGTAGGATTTTTTTTCACGTTTCTTTTGTGGTTGGCTAGGCTTAGCAACAGGAGACTTTGACCTGCCTTGAAATCTGAACTTCTTTTGAGGACCAAGTGCAGATGCCTTCTGGTTGGCAGAGCATCCAGGAGTAGCCGTATTGTCATTAGAGGAAGTTTCCTCCATCGAGGTCTCTGGCACTTCAAAGAGCTCTTGACTACAAGATGGAATTGGAAACTCTGGACTTTGTTGCTGTTGCTGTCCATGTGCAGATCCGATCTTTGTAGTATGTAACCTTGGTCTGCGTCTGACAGGCATTTGGATTGTAGCTCCTTCTGGAGGCTCCCTGAGTGTAAAGACTGGGATAGTCTTTTGAGTACAAGAAATGAAATCATCATCGCTATCAGAAAACGGAACAGGAAACTGCTGCTGTGTTAGTTTTAGTTTTTCAGAAAGCTTTTTATTTTCTTCTATTAATTTATCCTTCTCGGCAGTGAGAGCAGCAATACATTTACGATTAGTTTCCTGTATTTCAGCTATGTCTTGCCGAAGCTTCTTGCTAAATGCTTCATTCATTGAACAGCGGACACATACTCTCGAGCTTAACTGTCTTCGTAACTCAACGATGATGTCCCTGAGAACTTTCTGCTGTTCAAAGAATTCTCTCTCTCTGGCTTTCGGGGCTGCTCTCCTGTGTGCCAACCGCTCTTTCTTCAGCCTCGCTAATTTTGACTTTAAACGCTGGAGCTCTCTTTCATGGATCTCTTTCAGCAGCATCCATGTACTTTTAAACTCCTCAGATGACGCATCACATTCAGTAGAGTGTGACTGCTCTCTTCCGAAAGACATATCACTGTCTTCCCTGTTGTTTCCACCCATGTCCCCCGCCTGCATCATGGCTCAGAGACTGAGATTGGCCTAGCGCGCCACAGAGCCGTTGACGAAATGGCAGAGGAGCCAGGGACTAGAACTGCGCCACTACCAAGACGAGCCCCTTCAACCCTTTAACAGACCTTCTTCGAAGCCGCCTGAGGTCACCAAGCACTGGCAGGCCTGAACAGATGACCCCAGCTTTTTGGCCACCGGCTTCTGAGCGGGAGAGGGAAGCAAGCGCTGTCGTCAACAACGGCGCGGAAAACGGCTCTCAGCGTAGGGGACAGAAACGCAGGGACTTCTGGGAGAGTGGCTTCTCCCATTTGAGCGGAGGGGAGATCAGAAGTCACGGCTACCGTTTTTGTGAAACTAGTCGAGTTTGGCTCCATTTCAGGATTTTTATTCTTGATGAATCTTTTGTAATCATCGATGCCTACCGATTTTCTCGGTCATAAACAATTAGAAGTGGCTCAGCCAAAACCAATACACTAACTATCCCCCCACACTTGTCGTAAAGTCAACATGGGCTCGTCTTCCATCTTGAACTTTGATTGGCTCTAGCTCGTTTGAAAGATTCAACTGTGGGCTGGCATTGTGGCGCAGCGGGTTAAAGCCCTGGCCTGCGTCCCTAATGGCTTCCAGCTTCAGTCCCGGCTGCTTCACTTCGGATCCAGTTCTTGGCTAATGTGTCTGGGAAAGCAGTGGAGGATGACCCAGAAGAAGCTGCAGGCTCATGGCCTCAGATGGGCTCAGCTCAGGCTGTTACGGCCGTTTGGGGAGTGAACCAGCTGGTAGAAGACCTCTCTCTCTCTCTCTCTCTGCCTCTCTCTGTAACTCTTTTCAAATAAATGAAATCTTTTTTTTTTTAATTCAACTGTTTGTGTATAGTTTTGAAATGTTTACATTTCAAGGAGAGTGTGCTGACACCATTAGCTATAGCCAAATAGGATAAAAAAGGAATAGAAATGGAGACAAACATTAATAGTTTAAATTTTTTTCTAAAGAGTAAAGCTTAGGAATTTAATCTGGGTCCCCCACATGGGTGGCAGGGACTCAACTACTTGAGCCATCACATGCTGTCTCCCAGGGTACTCACAAGCATTGGAAGCTGGAATCCAGAGTGGGACCCAGGCATTTCGCTATGACACGGGAAGTGAGTGTCCCAAGCAATGTCTTAACCCCTGGTCATGCCACCCATGTGGGGGACCCAGATTAAGTTCCTATCTTCTGGCTTCAGCCTGACCCAGCAGGATCTGTTATAGACATTTGGGGAGTGACCGCCAGATGGGAGAAATTGTGACTGTCCCTCTCCCTCTTGAATTAAAAACAAAAACAAACAAACAAAAAAAAAAACTCAGTGTTTTGGGAAAGTAAAGAGAAAGTGATTAAAAGAGAAGTAAAGAGAAGTATATATGATAGATATAAGAGATAATCATAGGGACTGGAACCGTGGCATAGTAGGTTAAGCCTCTGCCTGCAGTGTGGGTTTGAGTCCCTGCTGTTCCACTTCCAATCCAGCTCCCTGCTAAGGGCCTGGGAAAACAGAAGATGGTCCGAGTGCTTAGGCCCCTGTACTCACGTGGGAGACCCAGAAGTATCTCCTGGCTTCACATCAGCCCAGCTCTGGCCATTGCAGCCACTTGGGGAATGAGCCAGCAGATGGAAGACCTTTCTCTCTCTCCCTCTCTCTGTAACTGCCTTTCAAATAAATAAATAAATTTTTAAAAACATTATTGTATTTGAAATCATTGTTCAAGACATAGATGATACACAGTACATCAGAATTTACAATCCAAAAATAAAGAGGGAAAACAAAGAAAAATGGTGTCTAAGAACCAGTGCTGTGGCATAACAGGTAAAGCCGCTACCTGCAGTACCCATTCAAGTCCTGGCTGCTCTACTTGTGATCCAGCTCCCTGCTAATGTGCCTGGGAAAGCAGCTGAGGATGGCCTGGGTGCTTAGGCCCCTGCACCCATGTGGGAGACCCAGAAGCAGTTCTCAGCTCCTGGCTTTGGCCTGGCTGAGCCCTAGCTATGTGGCCATTTGGGGGAGTGAATCAGTAGACAGAAGGTCTCTCTCTCTCTCTCTCTCTGCCTCTGCCTCTGCCTCTCTAACTCTGCCTTTCAAATAAATAAAATAAGCTTTTTATTTTTTTAAATGATCTTTAAAGTTCTTAAACTTTTTTGGTTCATCAAGCACTTTGAGAAGCAGGCAAAGGCACTTGACCCTCAGAAAGATGCACATAAAGCAGCATCTTGCAAAAAGTTCAGAGTTTATTAAAAGCCCCAAGTCTAAAGTAACAAGGCAATAGCTCCCTTTCTTTTGTCTTCAGCGATGATATAAACATTGGAATATACCATCCAAAAGAACATTAAAAAATAAGAATTGTTGAAACTGAAATAATTATAGATTAAATGATAGACTTGCGATTAGTTGAGAAGAAAAAAGTGTGTTGGGTGGTGGGAGGGGAAAGGAAGACGCAGATAAAATAGGTTTGGCCATGAATTGATGGTTGTTGAAGTTAGGTTATTGGTATTTGGGGGTTCACTGTGCTAACTGCTGTACTTATTTCAAAATCTAATGCTGTCTTTATTCCTTTTTCAGATACTCTCTTAACTTACTGGAATAAAGTATCTCCTCAAGAGCTCATAAACATTCTTGTACTTCTAGAGTAAGTTACATTAATTTGTATTACACATCTTATTTGAAGGGAAGTTAAATGTTACCATTTTCCTGGCTTTTACAATTTTATATTAACAATAATTGTACATACTTACAGGCTACATTGTGCCATTTCAATATGTGTAGACAGTGTGTACTGGTCAATGTAATCAACAGTCCCCCTCTTTGACATTACTGCAGCTTCTTTCTTCCATGCACAAAACAGCTTATTTGCTAATAATAAAGAAACCATTAAATTACTATGTGATATAGAGGCTGACATACAGGTTCTTCACCTGCAGGTAGAAAAAGCTATGGAGATGTATACTTGCCATGTTACAGAACATTTTAGCTAATGAAAAAGCCATCTGTACAGTTCAGAAGCAGTCTTTCTGTAATCTGGAAACCAGAAGTAGCAAAAGCTGTCCTACATCATTCATTTGAGGGAGGTGCTGGATCAATGGGGCTTGTTAAATGATTAGAACTTAGAATTTATACTCTTATGTAGGTTGAGTGAATCAATTTATAAATGTGTGTGTGTGTTTCAAGACATTTGGGGAAAAACCTAAAAGAAAATTTAGACATAAAATGCAAGAAATTTTATATAGATGATACACATATGTGATTTATATGTGCATTTAAAAATAATCAATAATCATTAACATCTTCCAAAGTTTTGCATAAAATGTCCGTAGAAGAAACAGTAATTAAAAATTGCTAAAAACCACTATAATTATATTGAAATATTTAGTAATGAGAATATCTGATGTTAGGAATTTGCTTGAAAAAAGGACAGGGCCAGCACCGTGGCGTAGCATATTAAGCTGCCACCTGAAGCGCAGGCATCCCATATGGGTACCAGTTCAAGTCCCAGCTGATCCACTTCCATTCCACCTCCCTGTTAATGCACCTGGGAAAGCAGTGGAAGATGGCCCAAGTGCGTGGGCCCCTGCCCTCACAGGGGAGACCTGGAAGAAGCTCTTGGCTTCTGCCTGGCTGAGCCCTGGCCATTGCAGCCATTTGGGGATTCAGCCAGCAGATGGAAGGCCTCTCTCTCTGTCTCCTGCCCAGTAACTCTGCCTTTCAAATAAATAAAGCCTTTATTTATGTATTCATTTATTAAATATTTATTTATTTATTTGAAAGTCAGAGTTACACAGAGAGAGGAGAGGCAGAGAGAGAGAGAGAAAGAGAGGTCTTCCATTTGATGGTTCACTCCCCAATTGGCCACAACGGCTAGAGCTGTGCTGATCCAAAGCCAGGAGCCAGGAGCTTCTTCTGGGTCTCCCATGCGGGTGCAGGGGCCCAAGGACTTGGGCCATCTTCCACTGCTTTCCCAGGCCATAGCAGAGAGCTGGATTGGAAGTGGGCAGCCAGGTCTTGAACTGGCAGCCAGTGCTTCAAGCCAGGGCGTTAACCCGATGCGCCACAGCGGCGGTCCCCAGCTTTTATTTTAAAAATAAAAAGATAGTAGGTATAGAGAGTAGAAGGGATCAGGGGACCTGTTTGGGGCAGAGATTAAATAAAAATGGCCATGAGTTGACTGTTGAAGTTGGAAGGTGGTAGGTATTGGTGGTGGGGGGGTGTTAGTGTGCTACCTCCCCTGAATTCTTATATGTTTCAGATTTTCCATAATAGAAAGTATTTTGATTCCATTATTAAAAATATAACAGCCTCGATTTTTAGGGCTTAAGACATTTTGAGGTGTTAATGACTGCGCTAGAGATCTTTGCTATTGTATGTTACAGAAAACAAAGGATGATTTGTATTGACAGATTTTTTTTAACCTGTCATTTTAGAATTGTATATAAAGACATGAATTTTTTGATGCTGGTATAATTGTGCCAAATATAATAGATACAGTGTTGCAAGCCTATTAAGTAGTTATCTGCATCTTTATATTTGTACACTAAAATACATATTATCGTAATATGATTTAAATAGACTTTTTTGATAATTCATAACTTTTTGGATGGTTTTTAAGTGGCAGAGGATGGAAATATATTACTAACGTGTTCTTGTTTTTGTTTTTTTTTCCTAGAGTGTGTTTATTTCACTTTAGATACATGGGAAAAAGAAACATAGCAAGGTAATTCCCATAACATTTTAATTTTGATTTTTTAATTTTTCTTCCAACAGAGGGCAATGTCATACATGCCATCTAAAACCCAGACTATTAATTTCAAGTTATCAAGACAGCCATGATTTATTTAACATGTCCTAACTCATAGTTTAAACGAATGTGAACTGTTAAGCTTTCTAATCATAATGAGTAGAATGATATGCAAAGTTTCTATTATCTGTTCATTCTTTTTGCAATTTAATTCCTAGTGAAAGAAACATTTAAAGAAACATTTGAGGGACCCTAAGGCAAAGAACATTATTTGTATAAATATATTTTAGGGGCAGAGTTAGTCATCAAAGGAACTCAAATATAGTTTTTCTTTTAAAAAAGTTAAAATCTATGCTGCTTCAAAAACATAAAGATTACCACTGGATGGAGTTTTTCGCTACATCTCTAGAATGTCTTAATAACAGATAGGTAATGAGGGTTCAAATTTCTACCATCTTTGCCCATGACTTGGAGCTTGACCAAGTCATTGTTACAATGAGCCTTAGCCTCTAAGATTCTGCATGCTATCCCACTATGTCTATTAGAGAATAGATAAGCTTTTTCTTCCCTTATTCATGCATGACCCAGTTGTAATTTTTAAGTGGAATCTTAATATTAAAGAAAAACAATAAATCTTAGCCATAAATATGTTTCTTTTTAAGATTTATTTATTTGAAAGTCAGAGTTACACAGAGAGAGGAGAGGCAGAGAGAGAGAGAAAGAGAGGTCTTCCATCCAATGGTTCACTCCCCGGAGCTAAGCCGATTCAAAGCCAGGAGCCAGGAGCTTCTTCTGGGTCTCCCACGCGGGGTGCAGGGGCCCAAGGACTTGGGCCATCTTCTACTGCTTTCCCAGGACATAGCAGAGAGCTGGATTGGAAGTGGAGCAGCCAGGTCTCAAACTGGTGCCCATATGGGATTCCAGTGCTTCAGGCTAGGGCATTAACCCGCTGTGCCACAGTGCTGGCCCCTGTTTTTGTTTTTTTAAAGATTTATTATTTATTTATTTGAAAGAGTTACACAGAGAAGGAGAGGCAGAGAGAGAGAGAGAGAGAGAGAAAGAGACAAAGGTCGTCCATCCTCTGGTTCATTCCACAGATGGCTGCAACAGCAAGAGCTGAGCTGATCCAAAGCCAGGAGCCAAGAGCTTCTTCCAGGTCTCCACATGGGTGCAGGGTCCCAAGGACTTGGGCCATCTTCTACTGCTTTCCCAGGTCATAGCAGAGAGCTGGATCAGAAGTAGAGCAACCAGCACCCATATGAGATGCCAGCACTGCAGGTGGTGGCTTTACCTGCTACACCACAGCGCCAGCCCTGTCATAGATATGTTTAAAGAGTATAATTTTCTGATACAAATTTAACTCCAGAAACAGAGTTTCTTAAACACCTAGCTTCAGGTTTTCACCCCTGATTTCATGCCTGAGCATCCCTCTGTCTTCTCTCACTCTTCTTCACCTGCTGTGAAAAGATTCTTGTCGGAGTATTAGCCACTGAATTCCAGGCTTTTTGAGGAGGAGAGAAGTCCGTTCTAAATTCTATAAATTGTATTCTTATTATTCAAGCTATTTTAAGGGTACATTAAGACATTATACAATTTTTAGTGGTACTTCATTTAATGCAATTAATAGTGAATAGAATAGTGAGCACAGTACCATATTTACTTGAAAGTCTAATTATGTTCTGGTTAAAAATTCTAACAATGAGATATATTATTAGAGCTTTTCAGTTCCTAATTTTAAAATTTATTTTAGGGTGCATGATGCTTGGCTATCAAAACACTTGGGAATAGACCGTAAATCACAAACTATGCCAGCTCTTCGAAACAGATCAGGACTAATGCAGGCCCGGCTTCAACACCTTAGTAGCCTGGAAAGTTCATTTACACTGAATCATAGTAAGTAAAAATGTGTGTGTGGTATCCGTTTGAAACAGCCATATAATGATATTTAATCTTAAGTCTTGGTTTACTTACTTATTTATTTGGGGGAGAGAGAGACTGGGAGAGGGAAGAGAAAACATTCTCATCTGCTTGTTCTCTCCCTAAATAGCTGCAATAGCTGTTACTGGACCAAGCTAAAGCCAAAAACTCAAAATCCAGGTTTCCTTATGGATAGTAGGGCTCCATCTACTTGAGCCATCACCTGCTGCCTCCCAGGGTCTGCATTAGAAAGCTAGTGTCTAGAGTATGGCCAGGATTCCAACCAGGTACACTGATGTAGGGTGCAACAGCATATTAAACACTAGGCCAAACCATTACCCCTTAAGTCCTAGTTTAAAACATCAATATTATTGGAAATTATTTCCCATACATAGACATACTTACATATCTCTCCTATGTGTTTAAATACAATCATTTCATCATAAATGACTAATGATAAAATGTGCATATATATTTTAACAGCTTTATGTAATGGTAATTAAAATTTTTTTCTTAGTATTAAAGAATTTTTTTCCTCATGAAATATGTTATCATATTTTTTGTATTGGAAATCCTTCATTCCTGCTGTTAAACTTCAATGCAGATACTGACATTTTAATATAATAGTGTTTGATATAGTGTTATTTATTTAGAGTTCCTGTTACTCTTCTAATGATTAGGGAATTACACATGCTGAATGCTCTGAAGTCTAAATACTATTTTGGCAAAGGGGTGTTTCAGACAGGTTAAAATATTTATTGGTCAGGCAAATGGGAAGAGGGGAGAAATCTTACCCAGCTGGGGAATGTATAGGTTTATATAAAGTGAAGCTATCCACTGGAAAGCAAATATTAATAAAACTCAGAGTGAAAAACTTCTCATTTTCACGTAGTCCTCTGGAATTTGAAGACCAGGAAGCCAGCAAAACTGGCTATAGGGTAAGGTCTAGTAAGAAAAAATAATATTTTGAGCAGATAGACCCTGAGCTAACAAATCCAAGACTTTTATTTATAAAGATTTTAATTTATTTTTTTGAAAGGCAGAGTTACAGAGAGAGAGGGAAAGAAAGATCAATCTTTCATCTGCTGGTTCACTCCCCAGATAGCCGCAAAAGGCTGGAGCTGATCCGAAGCCAGGAGCCAGGAGCCTCTTCTGGGTCTCCTATGCAGGTGTAGGGACCCAAGGACTTGGGCCATCTTCTGCTTTACCAGGCACATGAGCAGGGAGCTGGATTAGAAGTGGAGTATCTCGGACTCGAATCAGCACTCATACAGGATGCTGGCACCACAAGCAGAAGCTTAGCCCAGTACGCCACAGCACCAGCCCTCAGACTTAATGGTTTTTTTTAATTAATTAATTTATTTGAAGGTAGAATTAGAGAGAGACAGAGGCAGAGAGAGAGAAAGAAGTCTTCATCTGCTGGTTCACTCCCCAAATGGCCGCAACGGCCAGAGCTGAGCCAATATTGAAGCCAGGAGCCAGGAGCTTCTTCCGGGTCTCCCATGTGGGTGCAAGGGCCCAAGACCTTGGGCCATCTTCCACTGCTTTCCCAGGCCATAGCAGAGAGCTGGATTGGAAGTGGAGCAGCTGGGACTTGAACCGGCGCTCATATGGATGCAGGCACTGCAGGTGGTGGCTTTACCTGCTATGCCACAGTGCTGGCCCCAGGCTTTTAAAATAGTACAGGGGACGGTGCTGTGGCATAGTAGGTTAAGCCTCTGCCTAGGGTGTTGGCATCCCACATGTGCATGGGGTTGTGTCTTGGCTGCTCCTCTTTTGATCCAGCTCCCTGCTAATGGCCTGGGAATGCAGTAGAAGATGGCCCAAGTCCTTGGGTCCCTGTACCCCTGTCAGAGAACTCGAAGAAGCTCCTGGCTTCAGATCGTCCCAGCTCCGGCCATTTGCAGCCTTTTGGGGAGTGAATCAGCAAATGGTAGACCTCTCTCTCTGTCTTTTCCTCTCTCTCTGTAACTCTGCCTTTCAAATAAATAAATAAATAAATCTTTTTTTTAAAAAAAGTTATAAAGCTTTATGCTTCTTGTACAAGTATAAATAACCTACTTCAGTTGGCCCAGATATCTGTTTCCCTTCTGATTTAGAAATAAGTCTCATATCATTAGCATAATTGAAAATGTCTCACCTTAGGGCACCATTGTATATTGGTAGCTAAAATTCTCTGGATTTCTCATTTTTGCATACATAATTAGTGGCATGGCCTAAAACGACTTCTACATTGTTTCCTAGTTAGAACACAATAATTTATTACTGAAATCTTGTGTTCAAAGACGTACACACCTAATTATATGCTGCAGAGCTGTTGATAAAGAGCTGAAGTACAAATATTTGAATTGATTAACCTAGACCATATTTGATTAAGGAATAAATGTAATGAAACTCAGTAGGTGTGCAGTTATTGTGAGTCTCCTTTCTTTGTGCTTTCTCTCTCTCTCTCTCTCTCTCTCTCTCTCCGTTTCTCTCTCGTCTGTCTTTAGGAAGCCATTCCACATCACTATGTGAATCTCTGTTTGGCAAAATTTAACTTGTGTTCTTAATCCTAGGTTCTGCAACAACTGAAGCAGATATTTTCCACCAGGCACTTCTTGAAGGCAATACTGCTACAGAAGTTTCCCTAACAGTACTAGATACCATATCATTTTTCACCCAATGCTTCAAGGTAAAGATGAAGAGGTAGAATTCAGTTGGCATCACTGCAAAGAAAATATGCAGAAACTGAGTCATCAGGGGCAGGCTGGTATACTGAAAAAGGCTGCCAGGAGCAGCCGATCCAGTTTGGCTACTCTATGACCTTGTGATGTCCTGAAGCTTATTTGTTCATCCATAAAGTAAAGGGATTAGATCATTTTGCCCTTAAACTCCCTTCTGCCTCTTAAATTCTATTTTTATTTTCATGTTGGAAACAGTTTTTCTTTCACATGTGTATCAAAATAGCCACGAATTTGTAGCCCACATCTGAGTGGATCAATTAGCCAGAATGTCTGTTGTGATGAGGCGCCCCAGTGTCTAGGCAGGCTAGCTGGCTTCCCTACTCAAGGCACTTCATGTTTTTTTTTTTTTTTTCTCAGATTTTGCCTCTCAGTGCAAATCATCATCAATATGATTTTAAACAGAAGGGTAAATCTGTTTTCTTGCAGAGCTGTTGAAGGTGGTAAAATTGATAATGGATGTGAGAGTGCTGAAGAGTTAAAAACCCTATGACTTCTGTTAGGCAGCATCAGCGGGAAGACTCATAGTGGGAAGATCTTGCTTGCTTTTGCTTGAGTTGTACAGGTGTTTTGTCTTTCTGAACCCCTCACTAAGTAATTTAGTTCATCACTTCAGCCACTATTATGGAAACCTGGCATGTGTGTTTTAAAGAGGCTTAAAAAGGAAATTGAATTTCATATTAATAAAACAGTCTACAGAATCTTTTTATGATGTGTTGTGTTTGTTCTCATTCAAGTGCAACCAATACAAGTCAGGTTTTCATTGGCCAAATAAGAAGGGCATTTGCTCTCATGATTGGTATTGTATTCCTTCTTCCTGTTCTAATATTTATTTAACAAACACTGTCTCTTTGTATATAACTGGCACTATCCTAAGTGCTTTACAAATATTAACTCACTTTCTTATTGTGAGGCTAGAAGTGGGAAAGGGGATTGACTGCAAATGGACATGAGCAATCATTTTACGGTAAAGGAAATCTAAAATTGTACTGCAAACTTTTTTTTGATTTTAAAGATTTTATTTATTTGTATCACAAGAGTCTGTGATCACAACCAGTCTTCCATGCTTAGAAGTAGACTAAGGAAAGACCCAGAAAAATCAAACACCATTCAGGGATTTTTTAAAAAGATTTATTTATTTATTTAAAAGGCAGAGTGACAGAGAAAGAGGGGGAGGGGGAGGGGGAGGGGGAGGGGGAGAGGGAGGGAGGGAGGGAGGGAGGGAGGGAAGGAAGGAAGGAAGGAAGGAAGGAAGGAAGGGAGGGAGGGAGGGAGGGAGGGAGGGAGGGAGGGAGGGAGGGAGGGAGAGAGGGAGGGAGGAAGGAAGGGAAACTTCCATTCATGCAATCACTCCCAAAATGGCTGCAACAGCCAGGGCTGGGCCAGGCTCAAAAAGCCAAGTGCCAGGGATTCCATGTGAGTCTCCCATGGAGGTGGAAGGGCCCCAATCTGTGGGCCATGATCTGCTTCTTTCCCAGGTGCATTGGCAGGGAGTTGGATCAGAAGTGGAGCAGCCAGGACTTAAACTGGCACTCTCATGTGGGATGCCAGTGTCCCAAGTGGCAACTTAACCTACTGTAGCACAATGCTGGCCCCTTCTGTATTTTGCTGAATTGCCTTGGAAAAATCAGTTTTCTTATCTGTTTAAAGTGCTGGGCTTCAACAGTCTAGATGTAGTTTTTATAGTATTTTGAAATTTCCAAGTTTAAAAATGGTACAAATATTTTAAAATTATATTTAAGAGCCTTTTATTTTTCTGAAACTTTCAAACAGTGGTGTCATAAACAGATATTGGTAAAGTCAGTTCTCTAATTCTTAGTGGGGTATAAGTTAAGTGTTTCTATAAACTGTATTTGTTTTCTTGTTTTCTAGAGTCAACTTTTAAATAATGATGGCCACAACCCGTTAATGAAAAAAGTATTCGATATTCATCTTGCATTTCTTAAAAATGGACAATCTGAAGTGTCCCTGAAGCATGTATTTGCCTCGCTGCGAGCTTTTATCAGTAAGGTAAGAATAGAAGCTTTGGATCTGCTAGTGGCTCTCTTCATGGCCAAAAGGGAAAAGACATCATGGTGCTGATATATAGAGGAATTGGCTAGCAAAACCACTAAGTACTGCCTCTGTAAATATATATACAGAACAAATACATACAGAGAGCCTGCACAAGCATGCCCTAAATTCAGAACATGCTGTTTGACTTCACCCTGTTTTACCTTGTCATTTTCAGTAAGCGCTATTGAAAAGCGTCATTTTCAAATTCCCAACTTTGCCAGTTTCTCTTCTATTTTGCTTCTTTGAAGAAGCACTCTTAAGTACTTTGAAAGGCAAGGGCAGATTTTACAACCTCAAGGTCTTGTCTAATACCTTGCAAAGGATAGGCACTTAGTACATGTTCCAATGAATGAATCCTTTCAAGCCCAATTATATCTGAAATTAGAAATCAGGTGAATTAGAAGCTTGTTTGTTATTGGCATTCCTTTATACAATTTATAAGTGAAGAAAGCTATGGAAAACTTAGTTCACAAGGATGTTCCAAGAAACTAAGGGAAGGTGATTCAGAAATAGTTCAGTTACTAAAACAGTGACTGAGTGGGTACTTACTGGATGTAGTCTCTCAGGACTTACTGTCCAGTAGAAGGAAACATGTAAATACCACAGGATAAAAGAAGACAGTACAAAGAACTGGTGGTGGGCAGGACAAAGGGAAGAAATACTCTGATTCAGCCCAAGTTTTTCTGCAGCAGTGGAGTTAGGATTTAGTGGGGGTTCAGCAAGAGGAGAAAACTGAAGATGTAAGTAACGGCCAGATCTTCGTGTTCTTGTCTTAAGGGTTGGACTTTATCTTAATCATCTGGTAGCCATGGCAGGGTTTTAAGCAAGAAAGTGACACAATTACATTAGTAGTAAGAGACAATCAGTGTGGGCAGGGGAAAAATTTTTTTAGAAGTAGTGTTACAGAGGAATTAGTGGCAGGAAGAAAGGCTTATTGCATTAGGCATTTAATAGAGCCTGAAATAAGGCAGTGACAGTGGATATGGTGAGTCAAAGGCAGCTATGAGACATGTCAGAGAGATGCAGCCCATAGGAGGACTTGGCCATCAGTCCTGTGGTCATATGGTGGATGACATGAAATATGAGCACAGTAGAAAGACTACATTTGGGGTCAGAGTTAATGAGATCTGTCTTATAGACCTGTTGAGTTTAAGTTGCTTGTGCAATCCACCTGTATCGCAGAGTTAGACTTGGAGGCATCCTGTATTCATCAATGCCACTTCGATTGACTACTTTCTGCATGTCAAGTGCTGTACTGGGTACTGGAGAAATGGTGAAGATATAGAAGAAGTATACTTTCTGCCTTCATGTAGTCTTGTGGCAGGGGAAACAAAATAAATAAATACAATAATTAGTAATTATGATAAGATTTGTGGGAGCGAACTTCTTTGGATAGGTTTTTCACTTTTAAAATGAGACTTGAAATATGACAAGGGGCTAGGCATATAAAGAGTTGACCTAGGAGGATAGGCATGTGCAAAGCTCCTGAGTCAGGAAAGAGTTTGGAGCATTCTAGTATCTAAACGTCCAGTATTCCTGGAGCATAGTGAACTAGGGGGAGCATCAGCATGTAAGCAGTAGTCAACGTCATGGGAGTCATTGGATTTCCCTTGGAGCGTGTATAGAGAAAGAGCGAAGTAAAGGTCAAGAGTAGAACAGCAGAGAAAAGTAACATAGGATGGGGTTGGAATAGGGATCTGTAAAGGAGATGAGAGAGCGGTCCCAGAAGCAGGAAGAAAGGCAAAAAAGAATGCTATCACGGAAGCTAAACGAGAAAGGAATTTCAACATTGGCATGAGGTACAGAATAGTCAAATAAGACAACGGGGAAAACGAGTTAATTGAAACTGGCAGTTAGGAAGCCATTGATGATTTTAGGCATTGTCCACTTGGAGAAGTCTGAGTGATGTGCACAGAAGACTTATTGTAGGGATTAACTGTGTTATAATTATGTCTTCTTCCCTGAAATGCTTGTTTTCATACTAGACTATCTTATCCAGCAAGAATTGGTTTAATCTGGAGAAATGGTTGCTGAAGTTTCCCAGGTATCAGTCAGAAAACATTTATTAAACATGCATTTGCTGCATAGCAATGGACTTGGTATTAAAGTGAAATAAAGGAAGCAGATTCCTATAACATGGATTTAAATTCAGGGTTTCCAAGAAACAATATTTTTAAAGGGTGGCCCTCTAGCTTTGCATTCCCTGAAAAACATCCATTGTGTACCCTGAAGCAGCTCACTACTTGCTTGTCCACACATGTAAGCATGGGATATTTTCAGAAGCCTGTGTGATACCTCCATGTGTAGTGTCTTCAACAAAGTCGACTAAACACATTCTTAAAGTCCCAGCCAAGTACTTAGATAGTCACTTTTGTACTCCTCTTCCATGACAAAAATAGATCTTAATTCACACTGTTTATTAGTAGGGGACGTGAGGGTGTATGTGTGTATATATACTTCACGTGTGTGTGTGTGTGTGTCTTTCACTTGTATCCAATTTTTTATTAAAAGATCAACTTTAACTGTTGGGTATGTTTCAACTGTAATTTTCTCAGCATTTCGAAGTTCATAATACAAGGATCTGTTTAAATATAAAACAAAAGATAACGTAATGCAGATTACCCTTCCCATTTGAGGCCCATCATTTGTCATTTCAGCCATTTATTCATTTAATACATATTACTGAGAACCTACTTACTGTATGTTTCAGTCTATTCTAAGCTCTTCTCATTTCTACAGCATTTATACTCAGTCCCTTTACTTAAATACTGACTTGAATCTGTCATTGACACATGTTGGTCTTTCTGTTAATTAGTTCAGTAACTCTCAAGAGCAGTGCCCCTGCTTATATTGATTTTGTATCTTCCAGGCACGTCACATAGTTTTAGGTGAGGATATGGGAGGCATTTGGTATCTCATTAATTTTATGATTGGGTTTTCAGATACTTATTCCCTGTTTTCCCTGTTTTTAGTTTCCATCAGCCTTCTTCAAAGGTAGAGTAAACATGTGTGCTGCATTTTGTTATGAGGTTTTGAAGTGCTGCACCTCAAAAATTAGCTCAACTAGGAATGAAGCATCTGCACTTTTGTATCTTTTGATGAGAAACAACTTTGAGTACACCAAAAGGAAAACCTTTCTGAGGACACATCTACAGGTCAGTGAAAAAAATCAAAGCCTTTTTTCTCTTCAGCCTTTAGCCTCCTATCAAGATCAGGCTCTCATGCTACCTTGTCTAGTATAATACCTATTAGTCACCTGTGGCATTCTAGCACCTGAAGTGCCACTAGTTGGAATTGAGATGTGCTGAAAGTATAAAATATCCATTGGTTTCTGAAGACAAAGTATATAAAAACTAAAGTATCCAGGATAGGCGTTTGATGCAATGGTTAAGATGCCATTTGGGGTGCCTGCATCCCATATTGGAGTCCCTGATTTGAATCCCAGCTCCACTCTCGATTCCAGCTTCCTGCTAATGCGCACCCTGGGAAGCAGCAGGTGATAGCTTAGGTGTTTGGGTCCCTGCCACCCACGTGAAAGACCCAGATGCAGTTCTGGGCTTCTGGCTTCCATCTGGCCCAGTCCTGGCTTTTGCAGGCAACTAGGGAGTAAACCAGCAGGTGGAAGAGCAGTCTTTCTCTCTTGGGTTAAGAAAAAGATTCAAGATCTTCAAAAAGTTCATAGAAAATGTATATTGTGAAAAATTGCACAGATTTCAAATTCTTTGCACCAAAATGAATTTATTTTTATTTCATTTTTCCATGACCTCAAAGTTCTTTAATACATTAAAATAAATTTCACCTCTCTTTATTTTTTCCATTTATTTTATTTATTCAAGAAATAGGGGAAGACAAGCAAACATTCAGAGAGGTCCGTTTGCTGGTTCATTTTCTAAATGTCTAGGAGCTAGGAACTCAGTCCAGGTCTTCCAGTTGGCTGAGAGGGACCCAACTTGTAGAGCCATCACCTGCTATCTCCCAGGATATGTATTATAAGGGAGCCAGGAACAGGAGCAGAACCAGAACTCAAACCCAGGGACTTTTACGTGGGATGCAGGCATCTCAACCAGTGCACCAAAGACTTGCTCATCTCTGTCTCTTTTTTTAAAGTGGCAACACTCAATTTTCAATTACCTATATGGCTTACATCATATATCTTTTGGACAACATGCTCAAGAACATATATGTTTTAGAGGTATGGGCTCTAGATTGCAGGAGTAACACACAACCTGTGACCTGGAGCAAGTGACTTCCTTAGTCTCTCAGTGACTCAATTTCTTCTAATGTAAAATGGGAGAAAATATTAGAAGCTATTGGGTTAGCATTATGGGACAGTAGGTTAAGCCACCACTTGTGATGTTGGCATCCCATATCAGAGCACCAGTTCAAGTCCGGGCTGCTCTGCTTCTGAGCCAGCTCCCTGCCAATGTGCCTAGGGAGGCAATGGAAAATAACTCAAGGTGCTCTGAGGCCCCTGCCACCTTCGTGGGAGACTTGGATGGAGTTCCAGGCTCCTGCCTTCCCCCTGGCCCAGACCTGGCCTTTATGGCCATAGGTAACAGTAGGTAACACTGTTTGTGGTTAGACTTACTGTTTGTTATACCCACTTACTAAAAAATGAGAAAGGCCTCAAGCTTTAGTGGAAAGCATGGACTTTCTGCCTGGGCTTAATCGTAGCTCAGCTACTTAATTTCTGTGTGACCATAGAGATATTACTCAGTCTGGCTGAACCTACCTCATCTGTAGAAATGAAGCTGAGTATTTCACCTGCAGATTAACATGAGGGTTAAAAATAACATATGTCTAGTGCCTGTACAATGCCTAGCATACACTAGGCACTTATTATATGATAGCTATTACCCATCCTCTCTGTATTTTTGTGTTTATTTGGTGAAACAACTATGAGCCTAACCACAATTGGAACTTCTTAGCTCAACAGGACTCTGTAGTGTAGGAAATCCCCTGTCATAGTGATAGCTTTACTGCTATGATCTGTCCTGATAGAGTTGTTTGTTGGAGACAGAATCATTAATGAGCAAACTACCAAAAACAACTTGTTGAAAAATGTTATCAGGAAAGTGCAAATCTTAGCCATCTGTTTCCTATGAATGTGCTGTATGTATTTTTGTGTATTAGAGCCAGCCAGCATTACACATTAGATCTTTTACTATTTGTTTTTATATGAGATATCATTTTAATACCCACCTTCCCCAAAACATGGTTCTAAGTGATGTGCCAGTATGCCTGAAATTCCCCTTTTAGAATCCATTCTTTGAGGCTGAAGTTTCAGTTCTTTCAAGTCCTTTATTGAAATATGGATTAATAAATGTGATGACTTAAAACAGTGTCTGACACATATAAGTACTCAATAAAGAGTCCACTAGTATTATTGTGATTATGATCTCTTTAATCCTCATAATAACTCTAGACACTGTTATCATCCCCATTTTTACAAATGAGAAAAGTGAATCAATTACTATAGTAAATAATTGATAAAGTCAAGATTTAATTATTTATTTATTTGAAAGGTAGAATAACAGGAAGGAAGAGGGAGGGAAGGCAAGAAGGAAGAGGGTGGGGGGAGAGAGATCTTCTATCTGCTGGTTTATTCCACAAAACCCTGCAATAGCCAGTGCCGGGGCAGGCTAAAGCCAGGAGACAGGAACTCTATATGCTGCATCTGAGTCTCTCAGTTGGGTGACAGGAATCCAACTACGTGAACCATTATCTGCTGCCTCCCAGGCACATTAGCAGAAAGCTGGCTCAGAAGTGTGGAGTAGCCAGGACTTGAACCAGCACTCCTGAATCCAAAGCTTTGGCTTAATTTACTGTTCTACAATGTTTACCCCTTAAGTCAATATTTGAATCTAAGGCAGTTTGACTCTAGAGTCCTCACTTGACTCCTGCTGTACCATGCTTCTAGGATCAGTGGTAAAGCATCCAGCCATTAACATGCTAGCATGAATTTTTGCCATGTAAGAAAGCCTGAGAGATTAAAATGTACCATAAAAGGCCATTGCATAAACTGCTGTGGGCCCTGTCCAAAAACAAAGAGGGAAGCTGAGGCACTGGACTTGGGAGTCCAGCATACTAAAAACAGCCTAGTGAAAAGGATTGAGAAACTCTGTCATTTATTTCCAACTTTGCTATAGCTACTACCTAGCCAGCATGTTCAAAATGAAGACTTGACCACTTTTGTATCAGATTACTATTCTGGAAACAGTTGTAGATCTAACTGTGCTATGAGCTTTGAAAATTGCTCACATCTGACCAAGAAAGATTCTAGTAAAATTTGAAAGTATGACCTTTGAAGTAGTTGATACTTCAATAGAAGATTTAAAAATCCTCTCGTATGAAGACAACAGATTATGTTAGTACCATTTAGAATTTTTTAGACACATTTCTTGAGTATTTTTATGCTTATAACATGATGAGATTAAACAGCACTGGTTCATAGGCCATTTAAAAAATGATGTTTGTTTCTTCCCACAGATAATAATTGCTGTAAGCCAGCTGATAGCTGATGTTGCACTAAGTGGAGGATCAAGATTTCAGGAGTCTTTATTCATTATCAATAATTTTGCAAATAGTGACAGACCTATGAAGGTATGTTCTTGCATTGAGTAGTAAATTAGAACCTCCTTCACTACCAGGACGTTTACAGTCTTGGAGTGGAATTGTCATTGGATTCACAATTTTTAATGGTTCAGTTTAAGTATTGTTATCCAAAATGCTTAGGACCTCTTGTTTGCAACAAAGTGGATGAAACTGGAAAACATCTTACTTAGTGTAATAAGCCAGTCCCAAAAGGACAAATACCATATGTTCTCCTGACTTGTGATAACTAATAGAGCACCTAAAAGGCAGTCTATAGAAGTGAAATTTACACTTCAAATGCAATGACTTTGAACCACGCTTGACTTGACTGTTGAGGAACTATTTTTTTTTTCATACAATTTGTTGAACTCTTTACTTAGTATAGAGTTAATCTTATGTGTATAAAGTTAATTGAAAATAGATTGTGGTAAAAAATAAGAATGGGAATAAGAGAGGGAAGAAGAACAGGGGTGGGAGTATGGGTGGGAAGAATCACTATATTCCAAAAGTTGTATTTATGAAAAGCATGAAGTTTGTATTCCTTCAATAAAAGTTTTCTGGGGAAAGAAATGCTTAGGACCAGAAGCATTTCACATTTTGGAATATTTGTGTATATATAATGTATATATGTAATACATATAATAACTTGAAAACCAGTAATAATAATTTAGGACCCAATTCTAAACATGAGATTCATTAATTTAAATATACCTTATGTGCCTAGCCTAAAGGTAATTTTTCTCTAATGCTTTTAATACACCTGTGTTTTCACTTTGTGACCCATCACATGAGATCAGTTGTGTAAGTTTCCACTTGTGGCATCATGTCAGCGCTCTGCAAGGTTCAGACTTGGGGCATTTTTGGATTTTGGAGTTTCACATTAGGGATGTACAACCTCTGTAGAGTGAGTAGAATGTGAACTTCATGAGTTGAGGGTTTTGTCTTGTATACCACTGTACTTCTAGCAGATATCAGTATTAGTTGAAAAGATGGGTGGATGGTAGAATAGCTAACAGCTGCCTGATCCTTGGCCAACAGATAAGGAATGGCACAGAAGGGATTCATTATTTGATGGTTTGTTGTGAATTTTGGAAAGCATCTGTTAGCTGATTGTGGCCTGCCATTGCTACTTATTGGCATATCCAAACACAGGCCTGTCACTCTTAAATACCTGTTGGCTGAGGCCAGACCCAAGACCCTGATCACCATTCCTCTTTCTTACCTACCTCTGGGCTTAAAATTATAGCAATGTAAAAATGCATCTCTTGCTTCATTGCATGGAGTGCAGGTCCTGTTCATCAGTGGTAAATGTGTGCAACAAAGGAAGAATCCTTTGCCAGTAGAGGACTTTTCCTCCCTGAGGAATGAATCATCTCCATTCTTGGGAAAGGTCATGGTTTAGCATAATTCGACTATATTGTACAAAATCTGAAAAAAATTAAAAGCTCCCAGTCACAGCATACTTGATGTTTAGGACATGTAGAATCTGTGTACCAAAAAGATATTCCCATAGGAATGTTGCTTACACTGGGGGGAAAAAAACAGAAAACACTGAGTAGTGCCAGGCGCTTTCAGGCTGGGAAAGTTTGCTTTTCAGCCACGTCTGCTGGTTCCCCAAGGGAACAGTATATATTCCAACTAATCCCATGAACACAGAAACAATGTATGCTATTTGTGTTCTTTTACTCATACTCATTTTGCTAGCCATTACCATTGTTAATACCATGTTATCTTGATAGATGAGCAGATTTTTCTACATAAATGGGGCTTGTTGGCTCTCCATGACAGGAAAGCTTTTTCCCTTGACTCATTTCTGAGACGACTTAGTTCTATTCTGTTAAGAGAATCACTAACAAATTCCATTACAAAGTGTATCATTGCTCTACTAAGTAGAAATAACATTATGCTGAGTGAAATAAGCCAATCCCAAAGGGACAAATACCATATGTTCTCCCTGATCGTTGACAACTAACTGAGCACCAAAAAGGAAACCTGTTAAAGTGAAATGAACACTATGAGAAACGGTGACTTGATCAGCCCTCACCCTGACTGTTGATGAGCAACTTAATATGTTATCCCTCTTAGTATTTTTGTTTGTTCTACTTAATACTTTTGGTTGAATACTGTAATCAATACACAATTATTCTTAAGTGCTAAAACTTAACTGAAAAGTGATCACTGTTAAATATAAGAGTGGGAATAAGAGAGGGAAGAGATGTGCAATTTGGGACATGCTCAAGCTGACTTACCTCAAACGCTAGAGTTAGAAACATACCAGGGGTTTCCAATTCAATTCCATCAAAGTGGCATGTACCAATGCCATCTCACTAGTCCCAGTGATCAATTTCTGTTCACAATTGATCATAATGATAGGACTAAGAACCAAAGGGATCATATAAACAAGAATAGTGTCTGCAAATACTAGCTGATAGAATAAAAAAGGGAGAGAACGATCCATCATGGGAAGCGGGATACACAGCAGACCCATAGAATGGCAGATGTCCTAAACAGCACTCTGGCCTCAGAATCAGCCCTTAAGGCATGAGGATCCGGCTGAAAAGCCCATGAGAGTATTTCAGGCATGGAAAGCCAAGACACTCTGGCAAAAAAAAAAACTAAATGAAAGATCTCCGCGAGTCCGCGAGTGAGATCCCAGTGGAAAGAACGGGTCATCAAAGAAGGAGGTACCTTTCTCTGAAGGGAGGAGAGAACTTCCACTTTGACCATGGCCTTGTCTAAATATGATCAGAGTTGGTGAACTCAGGGGGCTTCCATAGCCTTGGCAGCTCATGACAAGAGCCTAGGGTGATTACTGATGCCATAAACAAGAGTGTCAACTTGTTAAGTCAACAACAGGAGTCACTGTGCACTTACTCCTCATGTAGGATCTCTGTCCTTAGTGTGCTGTACATTGTGATTTAATGGTATAACTAGTACTCAAACAGTATTTTTCACTTTATGTTTCTGTGTGGGAGCAAACTGTTGAAATCTTTACTTAATGTATGCTAAACTGATCTTCTATATATAAAGAGAATCGAAAATGAATCTTGATGTGAATGGAAGGGGAGAGGGAGTGGGAAAGGGGAGGGTTGCGGTTGGGAGGGACGTTATGGGGGGGAAGCCATTGTAATCCATAAGCTGTACTTTGGAAATTTATATTCATTAAATAAAAGTTAAAAAAAAAAAGAAAGTAGAACTTCTAGGCAATGAAAAAAAATAAAAATATAAGAAGCATCTTAGTGTATATTATATATACATATATTTTATATATATATATATAATACATATTTATATTTAAAGAGGTCCAGAAGGCAGTTTTTAAAATCGTTGCATCCACATTTTATTATTCACATTAATATATATAAAGCTTCCTAACCCTTCTACCTGCCCCTACTTCATCTTCTTTGAATCACACAGATACTTGTGATTTCTCCAGTGAAGGTTAAGAGGAAGTGATAGGAATTTCATAGGGCCAAAAACAATACTTGGAGAAGTTAATGATCTCTTTAAACCCTTCGGAGTGTTCTGTGATTCATGCCTGCTCATTTGTGTCAACAGAAATGTCTGCAGTGTGGTTTTCACCTTAGCATAGGTGGCAGGTGGCAGAGGCAGTATGCCTGTCAGCATGAAAGAATGACTCAAGAGTACTAGCTCTGCGGCCAGAGTTCCTGGGTGCAAATCCTGTCTCTCCCACTTACCAAACATGAGACTTTGGCCAAGCTGTGTAACTGCTCTGCGCCTCTGTTTTCCCATTGGTAAAGCAAATTATGGTAGTACTTAACTCATGGGTGAGGATGGTTGTAAATATTAAGCCAAGTAAAGCACCCAGACCAATGCCTGGTATGTGTATGCTGTCCATAACTTTTAGTTACTGTTGGAAGTAAACAGCAAACATAGATCACTCCTGTGGCTATAGAGTTCACAAAGGAAGAGCTGAGGTTCAAAGCCAGGTAGCCTGGATCCTCCAAAGGTCATGTTTTTATGTACGATGAATATACTCTTGTAAAGTTTACAGCCTTTGAAACCTGAGCTAGTTACATGTATTGAAAATAATTTAAAACTCTAAATTCAACACAAACAATATCAAGATCTGGAAAAAGAAGTAAAAATAACCTCATATGCCCAGCATTGGATGCCAAAGCTCAGAACCCATTGATAATATTGGTAAACATGTCTTTCTTATTTGTTTTGAAATTAGGCAACTGCTTTTCCTACAGAAGTCAAAGATTTGACCAAGAGAATCCGTACTGTTCTTATGGCCACTGCCCAAATGAAGGAGCATGAGAAAGACCCTGAAATGCTAATTGATCTCCAGTATAGTCTAGCCAAGTCCTATGCAAGCACTCCAGAGCTCAGAAAAACCTGGCTTGATAGCATGGCGAAGATTCATGTAAAAAATGGAGATTTTTCAGAGGTGACTACTTCAGATTTTGTTCTAAACATGACGCTTCCAAACCCCTTGGGTACATTCTGACAGCTTTCCTCTGTCATCCTTTTTCAGGCTGCAATGTGTTATGTCCATGTAGCAGCTCTGGTTGCAGAGTTTCTTCATCGAAAAAGTAAGATATTCCTGTTCTTAGAAATGGGGGAATTTCAGTGAACACAATAGCTTTTATCTTTGTAGCTTACAAGTCTGAATTGAGCTCTGAAAAATATATCCACCTTTGGCCTCATGAAATGGTAAGCAGAAGTTGTTACATAGAAGACTGGATTGTTCATTTTGCCTTCTGTTTCCATTAGAAGCTACGAGAATAGGTTAAATAGTACAGGACCAGGCCTGATGCCCACTGTTTATTTTCCAAGACTGTCTCCCTGGAAGACTGCCACAAATTAAATTCTTCTCAGGGCTCATGAGCAGCGCAGGATAATACAGATCACTTGTTTTCCCCTCAGCGTCACCAACAACTGTCCACAGCTTCTATCTCCCCGGCTACTTCAGTGCAGTGGTATTTGGATATTAAAAGGGAGTCATACCCTTGAAGGGCATGAGGATCCAACAGCTCTGGATTCCTAAGTCAACACTCCTAATTCAGGAAGCTGCCTGAAAACTTAGTATCAGTGACTACTGTAACTATGCAAATAGTAAACAGCTGAGTTACCTGTAAAAATCAATTGGCAGTGCAGATTGTAATCAAGAAATCTACCCCTCTCTCACACAGTGTCCATGTTACTTTTTTAAAGGCAGTCAATAACATTAAGGCAAAATGAAACCAACCTGTGGGAATCATATCACTCTGGCTTTGACTATGGGAACGAAAATCATGCTTTTTTTTCTTTATTTACAGAATTACAACAGTTAACTGTTTCCTTCATTTTATATCCAACACTCAGTGATTACCTCATACACGACACCCATGTGGACAATCTCTCTCTAAAAAGATACTCCCCAAATATCACAATTAAACTATAGATTCATCTTAATTATGTTTTATTTATTTTTATTTTGTTTATCTGAGAGACACACATACCCTCCTTCTCTTCTTCCTCCTCCTCTCCCTCCCACCTACTGGTTCACTCCCCAAATGCCTACAACAGCCAGGGGCCAAAGCCAGGTCTTCCATGTGGATAGGGAAAAACAATTACTTCAGCCATCATCTGCTGCCTCCAGGGTTCACACCAGTAGAAAGCTAGAGTCGGGAGCACAGGCAGGACTCTCCAGGCATTCCAATGTAGGATACAGGCATCACAAGCAGCATCCTCACTGGTAAGCCAAATGCCTGCCCTTGTGACATGCTTCAACAAGCGAAAATAGGGTTTTTAACTCGTCAGTTTAAGGAGCTGGCACTGTCGTGTAGTAGGTTAAGCGGTGCCAGCATCCTATCTGTGTGTCGTTTTGAGTCCTGGCTGCTCCACTTCCGATCAGCTCCCTGCTAATCTCAAAGTGGTTGGTGTTTTTTTAAAGACTTTATCCTTCACAAAAATCAAAGAGCCCTTCACTAAGGAAAAAATGTTTTGCACTTTAAACAAAAAATTTTAAATTTAAAAGTAGTTTGTAAATTTATTTATAGGGCCCATCTATTTTTTAAAAAGGTTTATTTATTATTTATTTTAAAGGCAGAGTTACAGAGAGGCAGAAGCAGAGAGACAAAGAGAAAGGTCTTCCATCCGCTGGTTCACTCCCCAAATGGCCGCAACGGCTGGAGCTGTGCTGACCCAAAGCCAGGAGCCTGGAGCTTCTTCCGGGTCTCCCACGGGGTGCAGGGGCCCGGGGATTGTGCCATCCTCCACTGCTTTCCCAGGCCATAGCAGAGAGCTGGATCGGAAGTGGAGCAGCCGGGACTAGAACCAGCGCCTATATGGGATACCGGCATTGAAGATGGTGGCTTTACCCGTTATGCCACAGCGCCAACCCCCAGGATTTAAAAAAAAAATAATAATTCTCTCTTTTGATTGGTTGCCTAAGCAGGCAAGAGCTTGAGGGCCCCTGCCCCAGGAGCAGCACCAGTGAGGGACCTTTTCTATGTCCTTTTCTTCACTGTTTCAGGCAAAGACCTGAAGGAGGGAGAAAGGTAGGCAGTGCTCCCTGCTCCACCCTCTGACTTCTTCTGAATCTGAGTTCTGGCTTTTTTTTTTTTTTTTAACCAGAGAGACTTGACAGGTTCTCATTCTCTTGCCTTTGCTTAAGTCACCTCTAAGTGGTGATGGGTACTGCGTGTTATTCCACCCACTCCCCCACCAAACGTAAACTCAAAAATAAGTCAGAATTTCCTCATTTCTTGCTTCATCTGGGAACCTCAAAGTTTCTAAGCCATGTTGTCTGGGGGCTAGATTTTTATATACTTCACATTCTTCTCTCTTTATTCCTTAGAGAGGGGACAACTCTTTTCCCCAGGGAAGACAAGAGTCAAGTGGCTGCATTCTTTTACCACCACAAAGCATCCTAGGTTCAGCACAGCTTCAGGCCTGCAGAAAGCACCCACCCCATTCCTTATAGGGTAATGTTCTTTTCTATCAACAGTCGACAGCGGTCTGTTCCTCCAAGCCCTTCCCTGCTCTATCCTCAAGGTAGTGGTTGCCACCTGGCCAGTTTCCATCTTGCTTTCCCTAAAGTAGCAGTCAGAAATATGCAAGGGCAAGAACCCAAGTCAAATACCAGAACAACTGATAGCAAAGTCTCCAGGAATAGCTTATACAAGGCCATATCGGTTGGTGCAGACTCTCATCAAGCTGATGCCCCCCTTCTGCTGAGAGATATACACTAGCCAAGTCCAGGCTCAGCACTTGTTTCCCTGCAAATCTTTCTAGAACTAAAGGAATTTGGAATTTTCCCCAAGTACTTTAAGACCCCGATAAACAAAAAGGTTCTGAGGTCATTGGATATTGGCGAGTGTTGATAACTTAAGCATAAAAAGGGAGAGGTATATTCTTCTCTAGGTGTAGATACGTCATCAGGCGCATAAATTGAGAACGCATTTAGCAAGAACAGTAGACTCAGAAGCTAATAATCTACAGCAGATGTGGACAACACATCCCAAGAGTGAGTGTTGCCTTCTTGGTTGCTGAAAACAAATAATAATTTGCCTTACTTTACTTAACAATATTCACCAGAAGACTCTCTCCCAAGATGCATTTAACCTCATCTGATCTCAGGCTTAGAGATATATGCCTTTCTTTGTCCTTCCATAAAATCGTGGTACTGTAGAGAAACCCCAGATTTAGAACTAACTTAATAATCCCTTCTGAACAAGACAGAAGTTTTCTGCAGTCCTGCAGCTAACTGCCTAAGGCCTCCAGAGATTGATCTACACCTCTTCACTCAGGTCTCTGGCCTTCTTTACTGCCTATCTCTTGATTTCCTAGCAGTGATAAAGTAGAATGTTTTCCTCTAAATTTCAAAAATTTCCCCTAAGGCACTGCTCTTTAAAGAGTGTCACCAGACCAGTTGCTGTAACTGGTTTGCAACAAGATAAGGAGTATTATCCTGAATGTAAATCAGCCTTATCACCGTTAGTAAAATGTTTGCAATTGAAAGACTATTGTAGAAGGAAATAAGGAATTGATTTATATCTTGGTTCAAGTACCTTATCTTGTAGTCCAGTGCTTTAAATAGAACCCTCTAGAGGTCCCTAGAGGGCTGTAACAGCACATTTCATACATTCTTCAGAAATAAAGCCTGTTATATTCTATCTTCAGAACTTGTATTACCCAACTCCTCTGAGCAAAAATGACCCTAATATCCAGTGAGTCAAAGTAAATATCACTTACGTTTCTGCCTCTCTTTCTTCCTTTGCAAATGTTTTTCCCCTCTTAAAAAGCACTTCACAATAATCCCATCTTTGCCCCACCAGACTTCATTTCTCTCTCATAGAAATGTGGTGCTCACTCGGTAACTCATGTTCTACTAGGCATTTTGCCCAGCAGATGTATGTCTACTTAGATTTCGACAAGGACACTTGGCAAGATCCAAGCGTTGATACATGACCTTTTTTCTACCAGAGTTCTGAGGAATCCCTTCAACATGTGATCTGGCCTTCTTAAACCTCCTTTTTTTCCTTCTGTGATCTCTAACCACAAGAAGATGGCCAGCTAGTTAGTTGTGAGAAAAGTTATTATTTCTAATTGGCACTATTAGAGAGTTTGGGGGACAGTAGATTTCAACTGCTACTTGTTCCCATTGTAGCCAGCCACTATCAAAAGGAAACCTTTTCATGTAGTGACAGATATTGTTATAAGGAGGCTGAATTTTCCTTGAACTCTAAAAGTGACAGCCCACATAGATGATAAAGATAACTACCACAGAATTGTTTGGACCTGTTCCCCTGTCCAAAATCTATAGGACAACCATAAGGGCTTCTATCCCTGGCCTCCTGCTTGGCGATACCAACATAGTCCATAGTCCTATGACTATTGTTCTCAGCTTGAGTTGACTTTCTACTTCCTAGAGGACCAGGTTGCAACAATTATTTTATTCTATCTTGAGAAAGTTTGTTTATCAGTAAGCTTATTTCGTAATAATAATCCACTGAATACTTTTTTTTTAACTTTTATCTTTTTGGGGCCAGTGTTGCATCACAGTGGGTTAAGCCGCTGCCTACAATGCCAGAATTCCATATGAACACCTCTTGTGGCTCAGCTCCCTGCTCATACACCTGGGAAGGCAGCAGAACATGGTCCAAATACTTGGGCCCCTGCCACCCATGTGGGAACCATGGATGGAGCTCCTGGCTCCTGCCTGGCCCAGCTCTGGCTGTTGCCACCATTTGGGGAATGAACCAGAGGATAAAGATTCTCCCTCTCCTCCTCCCTCCCTATCTACCTTTCTCTCCCCCTACCCCATAAGTGTGTCTTTCAAATACATAAATCTTTAAAAATGTTTAATGTTTTTTTTATTTGGAAGGTGGATACAGAGACAGACAAAGATCTTTCCATCTATTGATTCAGTTTCCAAATGCCTGCAATAGTGGCAGGCTGAAGCTAGGAGCCTGGAACTCAATCCAGGTCTTCCATGTGGGTGGCAGGGCTGAAATGCTTAAGCCATCACCTTCTGCCTTCCAGAGTGCACATTAGCAGGAATCTGGAAGCAGTAGCAGAGCCAGGACTCAAACCCAGGCACACTGACAGGGGATGCAGGTGCCCCAAGCAGCATCTGTCTTTTTTTTTTTTAAGATTTATTTTATTTATTTGAAAGCATTACACAGAGAGAGGAGAGGCACAGAGAGAGAGAGGTCTTCCATCTGCTGGTTCACTCCCCAGTTGGCCTCAACAGCTGGAGCTGTGCTTATCTGAAGCCAGGAGCTTCTTCCCAGTATCCCACGCGGGTGCAGGGGCCCAAGGACTTGGGCCATCTTCTACCGCTTTCCCAGGCCATAGCAGAGAGCTGGATCGGAAGAGGAGCAGCCGAGACTCAAACCAGCGCCCATATGGGATGTCGGCACTGCAGGTGGTGGCTTTACCTGCTACACCACATCGCCAGCCAATAGCATCTGTCTTAATTGCCGCACCAAACACCTGTCTCCACTGAGTACTTCTTATATTGCTAGACTCTGTACTAAACACTTTACATATTATTTAATTCTCAACATGTAGCTATTATTATCCTTCCCAACTGCTGGCTCATTCCCCAAGAGCTCACAGGAGCTGGGAATTCAGTCAGAGTCTCCCACATGAGTGGCACAAACCCAATCACTTCTGCATTAGCGGAAGCTGCAGTCAGGAGGTAGAGCCAGGGATTGAAATCAGGTACTCCAAGGTGGGACACAGATGTCCTAGCCAGCGTCCTAACTACTAAACCCACCCCAGCAGACAGACTTTTTTACAGTCCCAGGGAGATAAATATATCCAAAATCGCATAGAAATTACTAGAGTTGGGTCATTCTAATTCCAAAGGCTACAATTCTTCAATGCCCCCATGCTGTTTTTCCAAGGATGCTTTATTCCTACTATTTGTTTTATTTCCCACCTCTCTCACAAGAGGTTAAGCCTCTTAAAACAGTTCATTCTTTCCTCAGTTCCCAGTGAAATTAAGCACTGGATATGGTTACAAAAAATCATTCATTGGTTACCTGATAAGTGCTTGCCTCCTTTTTTAGATGACAAACGACAGATGTACACAGGATCCGAGTTTCAATAAAAATTTGTAGATCACTGTAGGGGAACATATACACTAGCAATTGAAGACGATGCATAGCCAAAGATTGAGACTTAGTTGTGGGCCAGCATGGCGCGGGCAGTTAAAACCATACCCTCTGACACAGCTTCCCATATCAGATTATTGGTTTGAAGCCCAGCTATTCTGCTTCCCACCCAGCTCCCTGTTAATGTGCCTGGGAAGGCAGCAGAAGATGGCCCAAGTGCTTGGGCCCCTGCCTCCCATGTGAGAGACCCAGATAGAGTTCCAGGCTCTAAGCTTTGGCCTGGCACAGACCTGGCTGCTGCAGGTATTTAAGGACTGAAGATCCATCTCTGTGTCTTTCTCTCTCATTCTGTCACTCTACCATTTAAGTAAATAGATCTTTTTTTAAAAAGACAATGTGTATGTAACTTGATCTCACTTTTTAGTTAAAAAAGCTGAGAGAATATGTAGGGGAGGGACTGACATTGTGGCATAGCATGTTAAGCTGCTGCCTGCAATACCAGCTTCCTATATGGTCACCAGTTCATGTCCCAGCTGCTCCACTTCTGATCCAGCTCCCTTCTAATGCACCTGGCAAAAGCAGCAGAAGATGGCCCAAGTGTTTGGGCCCCTGCCACCCATGTGGGAAACCCGGATAAAGCTCTTGGCTCCTGGCTTTGCCTTAGCTCAGCCCTGGCTGTTGCTGCCATTGAGGGAGTGATTCAGGAGATGGAAGCATGCCTGCCCATTCCCACCCCCCATGACTGTGACTTCCAAATAAATAAACAAATAAAACTTTTTTTAAAAAATAATATGTAAGAGATAGAAATAATTTGTAAAATCATTTTTGTAACTGAAAATGGTACTTATGACCTTGATCCTTACTAGAACATCTGTGTTTATTAAAAAAAGTTAATTCCTTGAAAGTTCTTTGTTATTTACCAAGCATTTTATAAATTAATCCTGCTGCTTTTTATTCACACAGAATTATTCCCTAATGGATGTTCAGCCTTCAAGAAAATTACTCCCAATATAGACGAAGAAGGAGCAATGAAGGAAGATGCTGGGATGATGGATGTTCATTATAGTGAAGTAAGATTCCAGGGCCTGCATTGCCACTTATATAAGTTTTACTTCTTAACATTATTTATAATTTTTTTTAAAAAAAATACAGCTCACTTAATTTTCAGGATAACTAAATCTTAATGAAATTTCCCAGGGCAGAGGAGTCTCTTTTTAGCATGTAGAGCCCTGTCTCTGGAACTGTTTGCATTGTCCATTTTTTTTAAAGCATTTATCTATTTGAAAGGCAGAAGGAAAGGCAGAAATCTTCTATCCACTGTTTTCATTCCTCAAATGGCCACAACAGCTGGTGCTGGTCCAGGTAGAAGCAGGAGCCCAGAACTCTATCCTGGTCTCCCACATGGTCGTAGTACTTGGGCCATCAGCTGCTGCCTCCCAGGCGCATTAGCAGGGAACTGGATAGGAAGTGGAGCAGCCAGGACTCTGAACTGGCCCTCTAATATGGACTGCCAGTATCATAAGTGGTCGCTTAACTCACCATGCCACAACAGCAGCCCCTGAGAGGTGTATTTGAGGAACAGTAAGTGGATCCTATTGGCAAAACCAGTGGGTTCATATAGAGAAGAGTAGTAATCAAGGCCAGATTTTAAGAAACTGAATGCTTGAGATTTATTCAGTAGAATATTAAATCGCTGTCAAAGGTTTTTGAGCAGGATAACAAGAAGATTAAAGCAAGGAAGAGGAAAGGCTAACTTCGTGATATAGTGGTAAATATATTGGAAGTGGATAGAAAGGGGCTGGAGGCAGAGGCTAGAGGTTGGGCTGCCCTAACTGTGCAGATGTGAGGCAGTTAGGGTGTAAACCAGGATTGTGAAAGATTGAGGAAACACTGTGAGGAAAGAAGGCAGACTTACTGGCTAAGGTTTCACATTTGGATATTAAAGAAAACTCATAAATGCATAGTTTTGTGGGAAAGACTATAAATTTTGTTTTCTCAAAATGGAAATAACCGTCATGCCATTAGAAATGCAAAACTGAATCTAAGGGGAGAGATCAGAGTTGGAAATGCACATCTGGAAGTCATATTCTTGTGAGAACTGAAACAGGGTAAGTATAGGTCATAATGTACCAAGTGAAAACCAGAGATCCAAGGACTGAGCCATGGAAAAAAGTTGAGCTGAGAGTGGGAACATGAATAAGACACAGAAAAGCACAGCTGGAGGGGTTGTAGTCCCCCAAATTACGGTTTTTGTAAGTCAAGTGCTGTCATTGACCTACTTGGCAGTGAAGTTTCAGGTTGGCAAGCTGGTTATTACCAACTATTGAACCTGAAGCAGTAGACATTTAAAGCATGTTTGCTGTATTAATTGATTACAACAGAATCAAGATATTTGAATTTTCATCCCAGCCCAATTTTTTTGTTGTGAATCCATGGGCAAGTTAATTTCCTTTTCTCAGAGGTTTACCGGTTGATATCAGGAAGACTCTGGAGATTTAATGAGAGATAAGTGAACTTACAGCCTTGCCTTTTACACAGCACCTTCAACTTATTCATAAAAATTGCCTGAGTCTGCCCTTCCTGTTCTCAAGGAGAATAGCAACTGTTCTTATTACTCAGGACTATGTCAACATATTTGTTGGAATTGTTTGGTGTTCTACATTAGTAATTTACACATATTATTATTTGATGTATACAGATAGCATCATGTTTGACCAAATGGCATTTTTATATTTCAGTTTACCTAATAAGACTTCATGCTCATTCCCTAGATTATGAAAAACAAACCTGACACTGATTTATAAGCACTATTAAAATGAAAAATACAGACTGGTATTTGTTTAGCACTTGTATTTAAATACATGAATTAAACCAGTAATAGTGAAATCTAATTTGTTTCTAAAAATATATTTCTAACTTGATTTGAAATAGCTAAGACATAATTAACAATAAAATGTATGAACTGTACTTTTTTTTAATATTTATCTATTTATTTGAAAGTCAGAGTGACAGAGAGATCTTTCATCTGCTGGTTCACTCCCCAAATGGCTGCAATGGCCAAGGCTGGGCCAAGCTGAAGCCAGGTACCAGGAACTTCTTCCAGGTCTCCCATGTGGGTGCAGGGGCCCAAGCACTTGGGCCATCCTCCACTGCCTTCCTAGGCATTAGCAGGGAGCTGGATTGGAAGTGGAGCAGCTAGGACTTGAACTGGCACCCATATAGGATGCTGGCACCACAGACAGCAGCTTAATCTGCTGTGCCACAGTGCACAGAACTGTATATCTGTTCAGTTTGATGAATTTTGCTAATTGTATACAGCCATGTAACCTGTGGCCAGAAGCAAGATATAGAACACATCCATTACTCTGGGAAAAGTTCCTTTGGGCCTATTTCCAGTCATTTCCTCCACCCTCAGCATGTTATTTCTATCACCATAGTTTGGATGTCATAAAAATAGAATCAGGAACAGATGTTTAGCCTTGCAGTCAAGGCACCTGAGTCCCACATTGTAGTGCCCGGGTTTGATTCTATGCACTGACTCCTGACTCCAGCCTCCTCCTAATACAGATCCGTGGAGGTGGTAGTGATAGCTCAAGTCATTGAGCTGCTGCAACCCACATGGGAGACCTGGATTCAGTTACCAATTTCTATTCCCTGAGAACTTTCTCTCTGCCACTCAAATAAGTAAAAAAAAAAAAAAAAAAAAAAACACAACGCACAGTATGTACCCTTTGATATATGGTTTCTTTTGCTTAACCTAATGTTTTTGAAATTCTTCCATTGTGAACTGTATCATAAGTTTTTTCTTTTACATTATTAACCAATACTCCATTGTTTTGATACATGATTTTACAATCAATTCTGCTGTTGATGGATTTTGGATTGTTTCTAGTTTGAGGCCTTTATGAATTAAGGCTGTTTTAAACATTCTTATCTATGATCTTTGGTTGACACATGCTTTCATTTCTCTTGGGTAAATACCTAGGAATTCAAATACTAGATCTTAGGGAAGATACAGATTTAACTTTATAGGAAATTGTCAAAGAGTTTCTCAAAGTGATTGAATCCCTTTGTACTCCTACCTGCAGTGGATAAAAGTTTCAGGTGCTCAACATCCTCACTAACATCTGATACTGTTAGTCTTTTTAAGGAAATTTTAGCCATTCTATTAGGCATGAATAAGTATCTCATTGTGGTTTTATTTACATTTCCCTAGTGACTAATGCTATTTAGCACTTTTCATATGTTTTTCAGTATCTTGTGTATCATCCTTTGTGAAATATTTAAGTCATTTTTCCATTTTTTGAAATTGTACTGTTCACTTTATTGGTTTTAGAGAGTGCTTTCTATGTTCAGGTACGTGCACTGCAAATTTATTTACCAGTTATTGGCTTGTTTATCGGTTTTCTTAATTGTGTCTTGTTGAACAGAGAGTTTTGGTTTTGGTGGAGTCTAATTTATCATTTTTAAATGGTTCTTTTTTTGTATTTATTCAAAAAAATCTTTACCTACCTCAAGATTGTGACAGTATTTTTCTGTGTTTTCTTCTTTGTTTCTGAGTTTTTTTTTAGTATATAATATACCTAATTAAGCATGCAATGATACAGAGATCAAGGTCAGTTTTTGTATAGATAGGTATTTAGGTGGTCCACACCATTTGGAGAAAGTAGGGCTTCCTTTTGCCCCATTGACTTTACTTTGGTACCTTGGTCGTATTTTAAATTCATCAAAATGTATGTAGGCTATTTCTGGACTGTACCAGTGATTTATTTGTCTACCTTTTTGCCAGTATCACACCATCTTGATTACTGTAGCTTTATAATAAGCTTTGGAATCAGGTAGTGTTATCCTCCAGCTTTATTCTTTTTCAAAGTTATTTTGACTATTTTGTATCCCTTACATTTCCTTATAAAATTTAGAATCATATTTTCTGTTTCCTCAAAATAGTCTGTTGGAAGTTCTTTAAGGACTTTTGTTAAATTATTATATTGCTACTTGAAGGATGCAGAGCTTAATAATACTGAGTTTTCCAGTCAGTAAACACTTATTTAAATCATCCCTAAATTCTTCCTGAAATATTTTGTAGTTTTCAGAGAAGTCTTCTATCAGATTTATTGGTAGATGTTTGGTGTTTTGGAACTGTTGTAATTAATTGCTTGTTTTTTCTATTCTTTCAATATATTGTTGCTGGTGTATAGAAATATAAATGATTTTGTATGGTGACCTTATATCCTGCAACCTTGTTAAATCCACTTAACTACTAAGTTTTTTCAATGGTACTTCAAAAAGTGTGTGAAAACTGAAATTAAAAGATTTTATCTCTTTCTGTCACTTGAAAAAAAATTTGCAAATAAGTTTATTTTAGTTCAAAAACACTTGGAATCAGGCCGGCGCCACGGCTCACTAGGCTAATCCTCCGCCTTGCGGCGCCAGCACACCAGGTTCTAGTCCTGGTTGGGGCGCCGGATTCTGTCCCGGTTGCCCCTCTTCCAGGCCAGCTCTCTGCTGTGGCCAGGGAGTGCAGTGGAGGATGGCCCAAGTGCTTGGGCCCTGCACCCCATGGGAAACCAGGATGAGTACCTGGCTCCTGCCATCGGATCGGCGTGGTGCGCTGGTTGCAGCGCGCCGGCTGCGCCGGCCATTGGAGGGTGAACCAATGGCAAAGGAAGACCTTTCTCTCTGTCTCTCTCACTGTCCACTCCTGCCTGTCAAAAAAAAAAAAAGAAAGAAAAAAGAAAAACACTTGGAATCAAGGTACACAGGGGTCCTCACAAATTCCATGGAAAATGCAGTATTATGAATAAACTATACATGGATTTCAAAAGTTTTGCAGCAAAATAAACTTACCTTTTAGTTCCATTTTCCACACATTTTTGAAGTACCCTTGTGTATTCCTCGGGGTTTTCTACATACACAATCATGCATCCTACATAGAAAGACAGCTTTACACTTTGTTATCTGTATGCCTTTTTCTTGCATTACTGCACTGGCATACTGTTGACCAGGAGTGGTGAGCTCAGACATTTCTAGATTTGTTCCCAATCTTAGGATAAAAGTCTTTAGCCTTTAGGTTTTTAGTAGATCCCTGTTAACAGATTTCAAGGTCTCTTCTATTCCTTATTTCCTGAATTCCTTTTTTAATTTCATGAAGATGTGTTGAGATTTTTTTCAAGTTGATAGAGATAGCATTTTCTTCTTATATTCAATTTATGTTAATTTTTAACTAATTATAAATCAACTTTACATTCCAGGATAAACCCTATTGGTTTTTTTATTGCCTTTTTTTCTAAAGAGATTTATTTATTTATTTATTTATTTGAAAGGCAGAGTTACAGAGAGGCAGAGGTAGAGAGAGAGAGTGAGAAAGTCTTCCATCTGCTGGTTCACTCCCCGAATGGCCACAATGGCTGGAGCTGGGCCAATCTGAAGCCAAGAGCTTCCTCCAGGTCTCCCATGCGAGTGCAGGGGCCCAAGGACTTGGGCTATGTGCTGCTTTCCCAGGCCATAGCAGACAGCTGGATTGGAAGTGGAGGAGCCAGAACTCAAACTGCCACCCATATGGGATGTGGGCATTGCAGGCTGTGATTTTACCTGCTACTCCACAGTGCCGGCCCCTGTAATTGTTTTTTAAAATTTATTTATTTATTTATTTGAGAGTCAGGAAGAGAAGAGCAGAGAGAGAGGGAGAGGGATAGAGACACAGAACAAACTCCATTCCATTGGTTCACTCCCCAAATGCTGCAATAATAAGGACTGGGCAGGCTGAAACCAGGAGCCAGGAACTCAATCCAGGTGTCCCACCTAGGTGGAAGGAATCCAATTGCTTGAACCATCACCACTGCCTCTCAGGATCTGCTTTAGCAAGAAGCTCTAGTCAGGTATTGAACTGAGATACTCTGATATCAGAGTTTTTAATTAGGCCACTAAATGTTAATATTCAGATACTCTATCCTGGAAGCAACGTTTATTGAACAACTGTTACCACTATACTAGTTGTTGAAGAAACCAATATAAATAAGATAATGTCCCTACTCTTGAAGAGTCACAGCATATTTGAAAGTCTGATACATAATGTAGAAATAATATGCAAATATAGTGATATTTACCTGAAAATTGGAGGATTAGGACAATGGTATCTAGTGTCTTGCCTACCCTGTGTTGAACAAAAGAATGATTTTAGAAAAGGTGATACCTAAACTGTTATATAGATTTACCAAAGGACATGAATTAAAAGAGGGTATAGCAAGAACAAAAGCACAAAACTAAGACACACCGTGGTATCTCAGGGGAACTACTGGTAATTCACTGTTGTTGGAACATAAATACAAGACTCGGCATTATGAATGATGAGATTATACAGGTATTGGTCAGATCAGTGTATGCCTTCGGTTCCGGATGAAGGAACTTATCCTTTGCTCCATGAGTGATGGGGAGCCATTGCCAGATATTAAGAAGGAACAAGTGACATGTTCAAGTTTGTATTTTAGTAAGAACCCTGTGGCAGGTGTGTCAAAGATGTATTTGGAAAGTGCCAAGGCTGTAGACAAGAAGATCAGTTAAAAAAAAATCAACAAAGTCTTGAACCTTACCAATGACTGTAGAAATGGACAGGAAGCGTCAGATTTGGGAAATATTTAGGAAGTAATATTGATAAGACTTGGTGGTGAAGTCATTAGAAGATATGAGAAAAATGAGAACATTATTAACTTACTAGGTGTCTTTGTCCATTTGGGCTGCTGTAACAAAGTACTGTGGACTAGGTAGCTGAAATTTATTTGGCAAAATCCTGGAAGCTTGGAGGTCAAAGGTCAAGGTACCAGCAGATTTGGGCCCATTTCTTAGTTCTCACTGTGTCTTCACATTGTAGAAGGAGTGAGTGAACTAGCACCCCAACCTCCTAATAACCATCATATTTAGGAGTTAGGATTTTCATGTAGGAATTTGGTGGAGGCACAAACATTAAGGCCATAGCATCCCACTGCCATAACAAAAACCTACAAGCTGGGTGGCATAGAACAGTAGAAATTTATTCTCTCATAGTTCTAGAGCCTAGAAACCGGAATTCAAGGTCAGCAAGGCCATACTCCCTCTGAGACTCCAGGTAGAAACCTTCCTTGTCTTGTGGTAGCTCTTGATCCTTGCTGCTACATCATTCCACTGAGCTTTTGTAGTCACATGATATTTTCCCTGTATTTGTCTTTTTATAAGTATGACCCAACTTACTCCAGCATGCTTTATCTTAACTAATTACATCTGCCATGACCCTATTTTCAAATAAATTTACATTCTGAGATGCTAGGGATTTGGAGTTCAACTTAACTTTCTTTTTATTTCAACCCATAACAGCATGAAGTCAAAACTACCCTTAGTTTTCTAGCTAAGGTTTTATGGGGTTTTGCTTCTGGCTACATATGAAACACAATGAAATAGCTAGAAAAAGATTAGATTGTCTAAAGGACCCACAAGAAAAGCAATTAAACCTCTATTTCCTTCCCAGGCCATTGTAGAGAGCTGGATTGGAAGTGGAACAGCTGGGACTTAAACTGGCATCCATGTGGGATGCTGGCACTGTAGGTGGCAGTTTTACCCACTACACCACAGCACTGGCCCCAGAAAAAGTCATTTTTAGTGATCAGTTATTTAGGTCTGAAATGCATGTCCTTAAGATGGAAACACGCTGTTTAAGGTTTGGCTAGCACAGTTAATTGGCTTCATGTTTTTATTGTTGCTGAAAACATGAAATGATGATTCACAAAATAGTTTTATAGAAGCTGTTATCATTCGAGCAGGGTGGAAGATCCCTATCATTCTCACTAATTTTAGAACCAATAGTCAGGAAAGGAGATCTTTTCCAAAATTGCATCATTTTAATAAACACCTAAATTACTAACATAATGGCTTGAAAACATTGTCATAATTTTTTAAAACCAATGTTTTGTATAAATGTACTTTGAATGTAATAGTGAAATAGACATAGGCTTAATGGAATTGATTCTGCTAGACATTTGGACATCCTCAATTTGGATGATGTATTCCCTTTTAAAGATACTCCTTATTGATGTGTTACCATCCAGAAGTACACTTAACATCTTCATTATGCGAGTACACAAATAATGGGCATTATAGTCAATGTTAATTTAATATTTTAAGAAATGAAAATATCTCCATTATTTGACCTAGAAAACAGGCACACAAGTATACTCCTGTGCATTTAATAGAACTTAGTACCTTCTGTTTGTATTGTAATAAGTTGAAGTGGTTCCAAATGTATCTGTCCAAAATCCTAAAACTATTTAATTCTTGTTTGGATTGTTCTCTGAATGCAGGAAGTTTTGCTGGAGTTACTAGAACAATGTGTGGATGGCTTATGGAAGGCAGAACGTTATGAAGTAATTTCTGAGATTTCCAAGTTGATCATTCCCATTTATGAGAAACGTCGTGAGTTTGAGGTAGGCGATTTAAACAGTTTCATCCTTGACATATATAGTGTGCTTTGTTCCTGGTAAAAACAGTAATATATGTTACTATTACTGTGTGTCCTTTGAAGAATATAAAGTTCATTATAGTATGCCATTTTTATTTCCTCCTGCAATATAGATATCGAGGGGTCAGTATTGTGGCACAGGGGGTTAAGTTGCCACTTATGACAAAGTTACAATCCTTAAAAATGCTATTAAATATTAAGATTAAAATCCTAACTTACATTCCTACCTATTTCCCAAATGCAATTAAGGGTAAAAGATCCAAAATATAAATTGAAATTAAAATTAGACCAGTGCTTGTCAAAATATTTTCATCTAGCCATCTCCCCTTCTCTCAGGGCAGAAAATAATCAGGTTGTTTTCACTAAGCCTTTGGAAAACTAAAAAGCTATCAAATTTCCATGTTGCAGGGAAGACAGATAGACATGATTATACTCTTTGCACTTTGGTGAGGAGATTAAGAAGAGTACTGACAGATGACTATGGGGGAGGTAATAAGACCCTAGTAGTAGCCCTATTATAGGAGTTTTCTTCATTTTGATCTGCCAGATAAACTGTTGAAAAACAGCAGTATCATGAGCAGCTGTTGCATCAGTACTGAGCAGGAATTATTTCCATATTCATGTCTCTGAGTCCGTATCATAATTCCTACTGCTACTTGGCTGAAATCGGTTTAGGATTCCAGCCATTTTTTAAAAATTAAAAGCAAAACTATTTGTTTTTTAAAGATTCATTCATTTGAAAGTTACACAGAGACTGGGAGGGACAGAAAGAGCTTCCATTTACTGGTTCACTCCCCGGATGGTGGCAGTAGCTGGGGCTGGGCCAGGCCAAAGTCGGGAGCCACATCTGGGTCTCCCATGTGCATGGCAGGGGCCTAAAGACTTCAGCCATCTTCTGCCACTTTTCCAAGCACATTAGCAGCAAGCTGGATCAGAAGTAGAAAAGTTGGATCACAAACCAGAATCCACATGGGATACTGGCGTCACAGGCCGTGGCATTATCCACTACGCCACAGCACTAGCCCCAGATGGGTAGTATTCTACTCTCCAATCCAAACTGACTCTGGTCAAACTCACTTTTAAAAAATTATTTTATTTTTAAATTTTTTATTAACATGTGATACTTGTACATTTTTAAGGGGTACAGTGCATGTAGTATTTTAATGCATATATATATATTTATATATATAGCATAAACAAACTAGGCAACCGGCCTTTCCATCTCCTTATTTTTGTGTTTGGAGCCTACCAGCTCCTCTTCTCCAGTTCTTATAGAGTATATAATACATTTTTATGAACTGTAGTGGACCCCTGTGCTGTGCAACACTAGAACTTGTTACTTCTATGTGACTGTGTCAAATTCATGTTTTATTCCCAGGTTCTAGGTATTCCTCTGTTTGCCATCCTTTTAGTAAATTTGGAACATGCCTGAACAGTATTATATTAATAAGCTAGAGTTACATAATTAAGTCTAGGGACTGGCATTGTAGCATGGTGGGTTAGGCCACCACTTGGGAAGTCAGCATCGCATATGAAAGCACCGGTTAAGTCGTGGCTGCTCTGCTTCTAATCCAGCAGATGGCCCAAGCGATTTGAACCTTGCCACCCACGTGAGATCTGGAAGGAGTTCCTGGCCCCTGGTTTTGGCCTGGCCCATCTCCACCATTGCAGCCATTTCAGGAGTGAGCCAGAGTATGGATATCTCTCTTTGTCTCTCTCCTTCTGCCTTTCAAATAAATAAATATTTAAAAAATAATTCTAGGTCTTGGTCACATAGATGGCATAGAATAGCTGTCTAGACAAAAGAAGATTTGCCATTACCCTTTCTATAAAAACATTACATCCTAAGTACCTTTTAACATCCTGAGGGCCTTTCAAACTAAAAGCACCATTTTCTGACTCTTGTGAAGATATCAAACTGTTAGAAACCCAGAGAACATTCTGCTACTCGACTGACTAGCTGGGAACAAAGAAAAATATTATCTATGCTTTAAAGGAAATTATATTTTCTCTATTGAATGGGCTGAAAAGTATCAGAGATAGCCACGCTAAGGAAGACTTCCCTTGAATTGAGGTTAAAAAACTCTAAGAGACGGGGCCGGCACCATGGTGCACTAGGTTAATCCTCCGCCTATGGCGCCGGCATCCCATATGGGTGCTGGGTTCTAGTCCCAGCGGCTCCTCTTCCAGTCCAGCTCTCTGCTATGGCCGGGGGAGGGGGGGCAGTGGAGGATGGCCCAAGTGCTTGGGTGCCTGCACCCGCGTGGAAGACCGGGAAGAAGCACCTGGCTCCTGGCTTCGGATCGGCATAATTCTGGCCATAGTGGCCATTTGGAGAGTGAACCAACGGGAGGAAGACCTCTCTCTCTCTCTCTCACTAACTCCATCTGTCAAATAAAAAAAATACTCTAAGAGACAACATGGGGGGAAAATGTAGAAAAGAAACTTCTATGGTTCTCCCCCCCACCTTTTTCAGGGCAAAATTTATGTGGTACATAATATTTTATTTTAATGTACATACTACAGTGACATTTAATGTATTTACAGTGTTGTATGCCGACCACCTCTCTGGTTTTAAAACATTTTCACCACCCCAAAAATATACCCCATACCATTAAGTAATCACTCCTGATCCTAATCCCAGCCTCTAATAACCACTAATCTGCTTTCTGCCTCCATGGGTTTGCTTATTCTAGAGTTATCATAAAAGAATATATGACCTTTCATATTCTGGTTTCTTTCACCTAGCATAAAAATTTCGAGGTCTATCCAAGTTGTAACATGTATTAGAAATTCATTCCTTTCTATAGCTGAGTAACATTCCATTTTATGGACACACTGCAATTTGTTTATCCCTTAGTCCATTGAGAAACATTTCATTTATTTCCATCTTTGGGCTATTATGAATAGTGCTGTTATAAACACTCATATACAGGTTTCTGTGGGGACATGCATTTTCATTTCTCTTGTATATACCTAGAAGTGGAACTGCTGGGTCACATGGTTTTTCACAGCAGCTACACCATTTTATATTCCCATCAGGAATAGAGTTCCTATTTCTCCACTTCGTCAGCAGCATTTGTCTTTTCTCTGTTGCTGTGCTTTTTGTTTTTATTTTTAAAAGGTTTATATTTTGAAAGGCAGAGTGACAGAGAGAGAGGGAGAGACAGATCTTCCATCTTTTGGTTCACTCCCCAGATGGGACTGGGGCAGGCGAAAGCCTGGATCCAGAAACTGTTCTGGTCTCCCATGTGGGTGGCAGCAGTCCAAGTACTTAGGCCATCATCCACTGTCTTCCCAGGTGCATTGGCAAGGAGCTGGATCAGAAGCAGGGAAGCCAGACTTGAAGCAGTGTGCTGCTATGGGATACTGGCATTTCAAGTTTTCCCTTAACCCGTTTCACCATAATGTAGTCCTCCTCCCACCTTTTAATTAGAGATATCTATTGAGGGTGAATTGTTTTTTCATTGTGGTTTTGACTTGCATTTCTTTAATGACCAGTGATGCTGAACATCTTACTGTGTACATATTGGCCATATGTTTATCTTCTCTGAAGGAATGTCTGTTCAACTCCATTCCTCTTTTTTAAAAGTTTTTTTTTTTTTTAATTTATTTATTTATTTGAAAGGTACTGTTACAGAGAGCCAGAGAGGGAAGGAGAGGGAAATCTTCAATCCACTGGTTTACTCCCCAAATGGCCGCAACTGCCAGTGCCACACTGATCCGAAGCCAAGAGCTTCTTCCAGGTCTCCCACGGGACTGCAGGAATCCAAGGACTTGGGCCATCTTCTACTGCTCTCCCAGGCCATAGCAGAGAGCTGGATTGGAAGTGGAGCAGCCAGGTCTTGAACCGGCACCCATATGGGATGCCCGCACTCAGATGGTGGCTTTACCTGCCAGGCCACAGCACTGGCCCCATTGCTCCTTTAAAAACTTGGGTTGTCTTTTTTGTGTGGAGTTGTTAAGACTTCTCTATATTCTGGTGGTTGAACACTGATCAGATCTGTAACTTGCAAATATTTCCTCCCGTTCAATAGCGTGTCTTTTCACAACCTTAGTACTGTTTTTTGTACAATGTGTCCTTTTTCTGGGTGTGCAGAAGAATATAGTTTTCTAAAGTGTGAACTTGTAGAAAGCAGTCCCCACTGAGACATTATTGCTTATTCCACCCCAAATGCTTTTGCATGGATTGATTGTTCTCTTAACTGTCTTCTCACCTCTCAAGCAAAGCATTCTGCTGCTCTTTTAGTTAAAATAATTCAGACATGGAAAATAGTGGTTAATGATACAGTATTTTTTAAAGATTTATTTTTATTTATTTGAAAGGCAGTGATAAGGACAGATATTTTCCATCCACTGGTTCACCTCCCTGGTGGCTGCAACAGCCAGGGCTGGATCAGGCAAAAGCCCTAGGAACTCCATCCAGGTCTCCCTTGAGGGTGGCAGGGGCCTAGGTACTTTGGCCATCCTCAGCTGCTTTCCCAGGCACATTAGCAGGGAGCTGGATCAGAAGCAGAGCAGCCAGGACTTGAACGGGCACTCCAGCATCACCTGCTGTGGCACAGCACAAGAGTCTATAATGCAGTATTTTAAAGGAATAAATTGCCATTGAGATATGAATAAAGCAAAGCATAAGAAATTCAGTGTTCTTTTATCACTTTTAAGTTCTGTTACACCTAAAGTTGTTGAGAACTTGTGTCTAATTGTGACAATGAGGGAGGGGGATGTGAATAGCTCCTTCAAAACCATTCTGAAAAGGAAATACTGGTGTTCCTTACTCTTACATAATTATCTTGAAGAAATTTAGTGATTAACCAACAGACAGACCTGATTTGTATATTCTCATTTTTCAGAAACTTACTCAAGTATATAGAACTCTTCATGGAGCTTATACAAAAATCCTGGAGGTTATGCATACTAAGAAAAGACTTTTAGGCACTTTCTTCAGAGTTGCCTTTTATGGCCAAGTAAGTATACTCTAGTTTTTCTTTTTAAATATTCCCCTATGAACTTACTATAGCAGCAGTCATACTGGTTCTAAGGCACCTCCTTTGGAAATTTAAAATTCACTTGGTTCTCATCTAAATCTGGGGTATAACATACAATGTTTGGATTTCTCCTTCAGCTTCATTTTCTTTTAAGCTTATTAAAGGATACATTAAATATCTAGTAGTGAATGTTTTCAAAGAAAAAAGTTAAGTATGCAGGGAAGGAGAAGAATCTAGTATGGAAATCAGCCTACCAATAATATGTTCACATGATTGTGAATTTTGAAAATTCTCCTTCATTTGAAGTTAAAAGGGTGAATATATGTGTGTGGCTTTTTTTAATACTATTTCAAATACATCAGTAGTTATTGAGTAAGTTTTTTTCTAAGTGCTGTGTCTGCTTATGCTATTTATAAATTATTATTTAATTTTATAATAGGCTTTTTTTGAAGAAGAGGATGGGAAGGAGTACATCTATAAAGAGCCAAAGCTCACTGGCCTCTCAGAGATTTCCTTGAGACTTGTTAAACTATATGGTGAAAAATTTGGTACAGAGACTGTCAAAATAATTCAAGATTCAGACAAGGTAATGTATGTATTGCATTTTGAAATCATTATGTGTCAGTTCCTGGCATGGTCCATTGCTCCTGACTTTTTCTATTTTTAACTGGTGGAGAAGAGGAATGGAAATGGAGCCTTCCAGAAAGTCAAAGGACAGAAGCTTTGGAGTCAGACCAGGGTTCAGTTCTCCATTCTTTGCCACTTGCTAGCTGTGTGACCATGGGGAATTTACCGATTTCCTCTGTGCTTCATTTCTTGCATTAGTAAAATGAATATAATCATAGTACCCTCCTCATAGAGTTGTTCTATGGATTAAATGAGTTAGCACATGGAAAATGAATAAAGTTCCTGGTATATAAATAACATTCACTAATAATAATAGAAAGCATGCTGAACAAAGGTTGCTTATTATTATAAATACTGTTCTACGTCATGATTCCCAAAGTTTGTAATTAAAATCTTCTTGGGATAAACATTTTATTCTCTTTTTTTTTTTTTGACAGGCAGAGTTAGACAGTGAGAGAGAGACAGAGAAAGGTCTTCCTTCCGTTGGTTCACCCCCCAAATGGCTGCTGCGCTGATCCGAAGCCAGGAGCCAGGTGCTTCCTCCTGGTCTCCCATGCAGGTGCAGGGCCCAAGCACCTGGGCCATCCTCCACTGCACTCCCTGGCCACAGCAGAGAGCTGGCCTGGAAGAGGAGCAACCGGGACAGAATCAGGCACCCCAACGGGGACTAGAACCCCGGGGTGCCGGCACCTCAGGCTGAGGATTAGCCTAGTGAGCCGCGGTGATGGCCGGGATACACATTTTATTCTAAGATATCCTGAGTTCAGTAATCGTGTATAGTCACACTGGCAATGGAGTAGGTTTAGGAGGGACATCTTGGGCCTTGCTCTGGGGTATCCATTCCAGTAGACCCTACCAAGGGAGGATGAGAAAAGTTCTAGCAAGAGTTCTTTGCTAGGAAATACACCGTTTCCTACAGAGTTTTGGGAAAGCACAGTAGGAATGCCTGTCTTTCATTGCCTGGGTGCGCCAGGGATGGGAGCTGTAGCCAAAGAACTCTTTACTGAGGGATTATGATGTGTACAGGCATGATTTCCAGAGTGAAAAACCCCTACAGCAATAAAGACAGTATCTACCATGAAAACACATTTACTAGTAAGTTCAAAATTAACATCTGGCAAAACCAGTCTACCTGTTTCCTTACCTGCTTCACTCTTTTGTGTTGTTTTATTGAATTAAGACATTAGAAGGTTTCTCTTCTTTGTAGCCAAATAGCATTTGGCTTGTCCTCACACTGTTGATTCCTATAGAAATGTAAAGCCAGGCTTTCTTTCTTTTTTTAAAGATTTATTTATCTATTTGAAAGGCAGAGTTACAGAAAGGCAGAGAGGTCTTCCATCTGCTGGTTCACTCCCCAGATGACAGCCACAGTGGTGCCCATCTGAAGAAGGAGCTTCTTCTGGGTCTCCCACGTGGGTGCAGGGACCCAAGGACTTGGACCATCCTCCACTGCTTTCCCATAGCAGAGAGCTGGATCAGAAGTGGAGCATCTGGGACTCGAACCGGCGACCATATGGGATGCCGGCACTGCAGGCGGCTGCTTTACACGCTACGCCACAGCGCTGGCTCCAAAGCCAGACTTTCTTAATGTGAAGCAGTTTGGTACTTTATTTTGCTTTTGAATATCTGGCCAAAGAGTACTAGTGACAAACCACTATCAGGTGGCTAAACTCCTGATATTATCTGCTAGACACCATATTTTAGTTCTCTCTCAAAGGCAACAGATATAAGTAGTTTTAAATATTTTTTCCTAATATGTGAAAATAGAAATTAAAACTGTTACCGGAGAATTGGCAGGGTTCTTGTCTTCACACAAGAAAGAATTCAGGAGTGAGACAGAGTAGTGGAAAGTAGAAGTAGCAAAGTTTATTAGGGTAGGGACATCTGCAAGAACAGATGGGCACCTCCCCGGACAGGACCTGAGAGAGAGTGCAGTCACTTGGATGGGGGGAAGGAGCAAGGTTACATGGTTGAGATGGGTCTTTGTCTTCACACATCTCCTCCTGAAACAAAGGATTTTATGGATGTAAATATTAAGGAGCTCCTATCTGAGTTTTCCCCTGAAGGTATCAGACCTGAGGAAAGTTAGCTGGGGCCTTCCTCTGTTTAGAGGACCGGTGGGCAGGACCCCCTGGAGAATTGGGATCCCAGCAGGGTATTTGAAATGCAGATACTGGGCCACATGTGGGAGATTGCGGAAGATTGTCAGGCAGAAGGGGTGGGGACCCCCACCTGGTAGGTTATCAGGTAAAGGGGGCAGGGCAGGATGCCAATACTGGTGCTGCCCCTGAAACATTATCAGGATGACTTTGAGAGGCAGATGCATATGCTGGACATAGAAGTCTTCTCTTTAGGCCTGTTACACACACATAAGCTCATATCTAACTTCCTACCTAACAAAACACCCTTTTACCCAGCTTTAAAAATCTGCTAAAGGTTGGGGGGGGGGGTGGCATTGTGATACAGTGGGTTAAGCCACCTGCTACAATGCCTGTGAGCCATATGGATGCAGGTTCATGTCCTGGCTGCTCCTTACAATCCAGCTCCCAACTGATGGCCTGGGAAAGCAGCAGAAGATGGCCCAAGTACCTGGGTCCTGCCACCCACTTGGGAGACCTGGAAGAAGCTCCAGGCTTGGGTCTGGCCCTTGCTTCCTTGTAGGGAGTGAACCAGTGAATGAAGCTCGCTCTCTAACTCTGTCTTTCAAATAAATATTTAAAAAATAAAATCTGCTTAAGGGCACAAGCGATTTAAAGAGGTGTATTGTAAGGCCAGTACCATTTTACTAACAGTATGGTAGGATCTTCCAATATTTTAAGTGTACATGTTCTTGGACACAACAATTTCACATTTTATCTTGTGGATGTATACACATAAATATGTACTTTTAAAAAAATTATTTGAAAGAGTTAGGGAGAGACAAACAGATCTTCTACCTACTGGTTCTCTCCCTGGATGGCCAGATCACTGAAGAGGATGCTGGGCATTGTCTGAAGTTGGAGAGACTACTAGAGGGAGGGTTTGAGAGTCCATAGAATTGTTATGGGGAGAGGTGACCTGACCTGGGTTCTTTGTGTTACGTGAAAGAAGAATTTGCATGTGGATAAAGCAAGATTTATTTAAATCGGAAACCTCCAGCCACAGCAGCCCAGAGTTGGTATCCAAGAGAGGCAGCATGATTTTGGAGGGAAAAACAAAAACAAAAACAAAAACAGAAGAGCAGCATCAGTTAGAGAGCTGAGACAAAACCCATCAACTGGCTGGATTTGTAATCCTGGCTGCCCAGTCTGGTTTGCTTGGGATAAGACAAAAACGCCATCAGAAGGGTGGGATCAATGACTTCTTTCTGTTTTCTTGGTATACTGGGAACTCACAAGGGTGGAATCACTACTTCCTTGCTATTCTCAAGATAACACTGGAAACTCCAAAAGATTGGGGTTGGCTCTTTTGTCTTACTAAAGACAGCTTTTGGGGAGCAGCAAGCAGTGGGATTGGGCACTTTCATCTTCCTAAAGGTAGCTTGGGGGGGGGGGGGAGCAAGCATTTCCACACCCTGCCTATTAATCCATCTACTCCCCACAGAAACAGGCTCCAACAAGGGCAGTTCTGGGATTTACCTCCAACAGTATAAGCTTCTTAACATGGCATTAAGACTACTCGTGAAACGGTCCATATCTCTAGCTCTACTATTATGTCTGTGAAGTAGAATCATTGTATTGCTTTTTTGGTCCCTTTCCTCCATAGGGTAGGATTAAAATAATGCACTTAAGAGTACCTACTCTTAAAATATTAAAACAGTTTTTGGATGTCCAAATTGGCAGAATTTTCTGTAGGATTATTGGGCAATGTATACAAAAATTCGTAAAGCCATGTCAATCTTTTGGTTTAAAATAAACTCTTAGAAAAGAAAATATGGTTTTAAATGTAAGGATGTTCATGGAAACATTTTAACAATAGCAAAAAGTTGGAAAACAACCAAAATGTCTATTAATAAAGGAATGGCCCAATAAATTCTGTATCCATACAAATATTAAAACTCATGTTAATGATGGGTGGGCATTGTGGCACAGCAGGTTAAACCCCTGCTTGGGACACCCACATCCCATATTGGAGTGCCAGCTTGAATCCTGGCTACTAGGCTTCTGATCCAGCTCCTTGCTAAGGCACCTGGAAAGCAGATAAGGGCATAACTTTCTGCCACCCAGATGGAGTTTTGGCTCCTGTCTTCAGCCTAGCCCAGCCTCAGCTATTGCTGGCATTTTGGGACCGAACCAGTTCTCTCAGTCTCCCTCTCCCCCTCTCAAATAAATAAGTAAATCTTTTTAAAAAGTCATGTTGATGAGTATAATATAGAACTGTGATACCTTTTTATTGAGGTAGAAGTCACATGACCCACAGTTAACTAATTTTTGAAACTGTGTTTATTTGGAAGGTCAAGAGAGAGACAGAGATCTCTTTTCTACTGGTTCACTCCTAGAATGCCCACAAGAGCTGGGCCTTGGCTAGGCCAAAGCCAGGAGCAGAACTCAATCCATGTCTCCCACACGGGTGGCAAAGACCCTAGTACTTGAGTCATCACCTGCTGTGTTTCACAGTGTTTCACAGTGCTCATTAGCAGGAAGCTGGATTAGCAGCAGAGGAGCTGGGATGGGAACTCAGGCACTCCAGTATGGGATGTGGGTGTGAGAAGTGGCATCTGAATAGCTACACCAGATGCTTGCCCCAATACAATGAACTATTTTAATAGTATGTTTATAATTTTAAAAATACATATGCATAGAAAAAGATTAGCAGGAACTATATGAAGATATAAACAGGGATTGCCGAGTGGTAGAACTGCAGTCATGTTATACTCTCCTTTTACATTTCTGTGATCCAAATAGATTTTTATAACTTTCTTATCCTTAGAAAAAGAACAAATACAATTATCAATGATGGTGCTTTTTATTTGGTCTCAAAAGAGTTAGTAGCAGGTTATCTATACTTCCTTTTCCCTTCCATTGAATTAAAATAAAAGCACCTTTCTTTTAGGTAAATGCCAAAGAGCTTGATCCAAAATATGCTCATATCCAAGTCACTTATGTGAAGCCCTACTTCGATGACAAAGAACTCACAGAAAGAAAAACCGAGTTTGAAAGAAACCATAATATTAACAGATTTGTTTTTGAGGCTCCTTATACTCTATCAGGCAAAAAGCAAGGCTGTGTAGAAGAACAGTGTAAGCGCCGTACAATCTTGACGAGTAAGTAGGACTCTGCATGCTAACTTCATGTTTGTTTTGATCCTTTTTGATATACACATGTAACAGCTGACCAGCAGGAACATGTAATTGACATTTTAATCATTTGTGGTTCCCCTGCTGAGTCACAAGTTTGTACAAACATGTCCATATTATAAGCCATCATTTTCCCATATGTCATTCATGATTGCTCAGAGATGTCTCCTAAAGAGAATTTCTCCTCAATCCTGAAGCTGTAGATACTTGAATACATAGATACATAGATACAAGAAGCCCTTGGCATCTTCCACAGAAAGCTTGGAAATAATTAATTACAATGGATGTTTTTCTTTAATTTGTTTGAACAAATGATTTTTTTAAAGATAGTAATTCAATCTCAACACTTTAATAGCTTCAAACTCATTTCCATACGTGAAGAAGAGGATTCCTATAAACTGTGAACAGCAGATTAATTTAAAACCAATTGATGTTGCTACTGATGAAATAAAAGATAAAACTGCAGAGCTACAAAAACTTTGCTCCTCTGCTGATGTGGACATGATCCAGCTCCAACTTAAATTGCAGGGCTGTGTTTCTGTACAGGTAGGATGGTTGCTCCATATGGATGAAATGTTTCTTGATGTTTCTCTTGCTTTCCTAAAGGCACAGAACAAGCATTCATTATAATTGTGTAATTACGCTGTTATGAATGCAATGACCTTTGTATTATTTTAGATTAATTTCATTTAGAAATGTTTGCTTATTATAAATGCTCTATTGTCCGAGTATGTTAACATAAATCCCTGACTACTGCCAAACCCTGTATTTACATATCAGAAATCATTAACTAACTTATTAAATATCCTTTTCTTGATTGTTAACTTTAAGGATTTTTCACATAAACTTTTCATAACCATAATAAATGTATTTCTTAGATATGGATTTCTTATGCAGTTTTTTTTTAACCAGAAGTACAAATGCAGAAACTACTTTTGATTGCATTCTGACAATGCTCTCATTTTTCTTTTTGTAATTTAGGTCAATGCTGGTCCATTAGCATATGCAAGGGCTTTCTTAAATGACAATCAAGCCAGCAAGTATCCACCTAAAAAAGTGAATGAGTTGAAAGACATGTTTAGGTAAGTGTTTTATACTTTTCAGGTCTCTATTTTCTTCTTAAACCAGCAGCAACAAATTATTCATCAAATCCTCCCCCCAAAACTGACATTCTCTGTGCTCTTTTATAATGCCTAATGACTTTCTAAAGATCTGTAAGTTGGAAATGTATGTTCTGTTTCACGCTGCAGGACTTTAACAATGCTCTAATGCCCCAAGAGATTAAACATGCTAAACATGACTCTGTTGCTGTAGTATTATAAGTAATAGAAACACAAGCCTACATTCACTAACCTGATTTCCTTCTTTGTCCCATTGACCTTCTGTTTCAGCATTTCAGATTGTTCAGGATAATAAAAGTGGGGCTGCAAGGGTTGTATAGGCTTGTTCCTACCCTGTGTCCTTACTTTTTACTTGGATTCTGCTAGTCAGAGTTACACAGAGAGAGGAGAGGCAGAGAGAGAGGTCTTCCATTCGCTAGTTCACTCCCCAAATGGCTGCAATGGCTGGAGCTGAACCAATCAGGAGCCAGGAGCTTTTTCTAGTCTCCCACGCAGGTGCAGGGGCCCAAGGAATTGGGCGATCTACTACTGCTTTCCCAAGGCCATAGAAGAGAGCTGGATCGGAAGTGGAGCAGCTGGGACTCGAACCAGTGCCAATATAGAATGCTGGCACTGCAGGTGGCTGCTTTACCCACTATGCCACAGTACCAGCTCCAGCCTAGTCTTGTCTAAAGTGAGCAGCTCTGTAAGCTCAGGCAAATCTAATTGTCTTACATTAGGAAAAAAAATCTGTGGGTCCGGCATTGTGGTACAGTGAGTTAAGCCTCTGCCTGCAACACTGGCATCCCATATGAGCAGGTGTGAGTCTCGGCTGCTCCACTTCTGATCCAGCTCCCTGCTAATGGCCTGGGAAGTTAGTTGCAGATGACCCAAGTGCTTGGACCCCTGCATCCATGTAGAAGATCCAGAAGAAGGTCCTGGGCCAGCTCCGGCCATTGTGGCCATTTGGAGAGTGAACTAGTGGATGAAGATGTCTCTGTGTCTTTCCCTCTGTCTCTCTGTAACTTTGCCTTTCAAATAAAAAAAGAATAGAAAAATCTGTAGTATATATGAGGAATTTACATTCAGAACAAAAGAGGAGAAAGATGATAGCCTAATCAGGTATTCTAGGTTGCAGAGTAACCAGTAGTCATTCATTCACCAATATTTACTAATGCCTGGCATGTATAAAAGACTCTACATAGTTACTATGACAGGAATATAAAACATGGCAGCAAAGTACTTTGTCCCCTAAGATCTACATTCTGATTGTGGACATTAAACACAAACACATTAAATAATGGAAAAATACTTTTATGGTAGGTCATCAACTCTGTCCCTACTCTTACTAGCTCAAGGAAGATACGTCACACCTATAGCACTGAGCACTGTACTGGGCATATAGGAAGCCCTAAATAAATGATTTTTGAATGAATGACTGGTTATCTGAAAGTACCAATTAATGTTAGTATAAATTTAACTGTTATTTTATCGAGTAAATGATTAAGGAAGTAGATTTCCTAGAGGGTATGTATTTTGAGCCAAGTTTTAAAGGAGGTGAGAAACCAGAGGACAAAGGTGTTATTCCACACTTAGGAGGTGATGTTAACAAATGCACAGTGATCAAATATGAGATTCTCTTCCTTCTAAACAAACCATGGTAAAATGTGTCATCAAACTGGTTATCAGTGAGACTTCCTAAGAATAAATAACAAAACCTCTATCTTTCATGTTCAACCATAGGAAATTCATCCAAGCATGTAGCATTGCACTTGAACTAAATGAGCGGCTAATTAAAGAGGATCAAATTGAATACCACGAAGGACTAAAGTCAAATTTCAGAGACATGGTAAAAGAATTGTCTGACATTATCCATGAGCAGGCAAGTATTAGGGTGGTTGAGAATGAAAACATAATGGGGGTACCTAAAGTATTGCTTAGCAAAACCTATTAATTTAAAAAAGACTTATCTTAAAATTACTCCATCTGTATTTAAAATTTGTTCAAGTTATCTTTAACCATTTGAATGTAATAGTTACCTAAAGCTGTAACTGAAGCAATTACCAATAAGAAAATCTGAATTGATCCACTTGGACTCTTCAGAAGAGTCCTAAAAAGTGCAACGACTGGGTCGGAAGTCAGGTCCCCAAGTGAGTATCCCTAAGTTCTCTGTAACAAACTAGAAACTACCATTTAGATGAGATTCTGGGTGATTTCCGACTTCTGTGAGTTGTCTTCATGCCCATTCAGCCTGCACACCTCTGTTTTTATAAAAACTTCTTAGCATTTGAATCTATGACTTAGTTTTAGTGGCACTTGTAGTTGACTTCTTTAAACAAAGCCTGGTTCAGCTGGAGCTGGGCCGATCCAGAGCCAGGAGCTTCTTTCAGGTCTTCCGCGTGGGTGCAAGGATCCAAGGACTTGGGCCATCTTCTACTGCTTTCCCAGGCCATAGCAGAGAGCTGGATGGGAAGTGGAGCAGCCGGGACCTGAACCGGCGCCCATATGGGATGCCAGCACTGCAGGTGGTGGCTTTACCTGCCATGCCACGGTGCAGGCCCCTCACTTAAGCATTTCAACAGCTTCAATGTGCTTGTAAAGGTAGGGCATCTCAGTCTGGTCCCTGAGTTGACTGAGTCCATGAAGCTTATCTATAGACATTATTTCCTCCCAAGCGAAAATATCCAATAAGACAAGATTTGCTTCAGAAACACTTTAAATTCTCAATTTTTAAGAAATCACTTAAACAAGTACAAACTATGACACTTTAAGAGTACACATTGTTAAGGCTGTTTCTGGAAAGGAGAACTATATTTGTCCTCGTGTCTGTATTTCCATGCATACTGCCTGTGGGGACTGTCCAACACAGGGTGTACTTACAAATAGGCCTGGTGCTTAGTATCCAAAGAAATGTGGTGCAATGATGGGCAAAAAGCAGAAAGAAAATTCTAGGACAACAAAAGCCAGTCTGCATTTCTTTTGTGTGCTTTTTTCTTAGAATGAGCTGTGGGAGATTTAGTTACAGTTATCCTAAAATTGAGTAGCCAGGCATCTAGTTTTCAAGCACTGTCATCTTCTCTGTCTGGAAAATCGGGGTCAGCCAGGCTTTCATCATCCCATCTGTCTGACCAGTTACCCCAATCTGCTAGCCACCCACGCTCCATGGCTTAGGAACCTTGTTGGCTTGAGGAAACTAGAATTGTGCTCTGTGTCTTTTTGCCATGTTTAAGTCTATTCACCTGCTTTTAGTAATGAGGCAAATCTTTCCAAGGCATCCCTTGACTGCTCAATTATCAGAGTCCCTTTTTCCTGTCCTTGCCAAGGCAGCCAGGTGATCAGACTTAGGAAGGCAGAGACCCTTCCATTTTATTGTCTGCATTTCAAGCTTAACTCGTGAGTGCAATAGGGGTATACCTCTCTTCGTCATCACTGTTCTGAGGTGTATCAGGGGTTTTCAAAGAAGTTCATGGGGAATACATATTATGAAAGACACACTAAAATTTTTAAGTAGCCTTGTACTATTATCAAATAGACTACATGTTGGTTCCTAGAAACTAACTGGTTGAAATATTTCTGTTCCTCCTCATAATGTGTAGAAAGGAGAGCGCAAGTTCCTCCTTCACAGAAGATAAAGAACTGCATGTGCTGTTTTAAGCCAGTGCATACTATAGTACTGTCATTTCATTTGCATGCACCTCCATGACCTAGTCTTGAACTCTGAGTTATTCAAATTGAAAGCAAATTACTCATTTTACTATTAAAACTGTCATCATCTACTGCTTTCCCAGGCTATAGCAGAAAGCTGGATCTGAAGTGGAGCAGCTAGGACTCAAACCAGCGCCCATATGGAATGCTGGCACTGCAGGCAACAGCTTTACCTGCTATGCCACAGTGCCGGCCCCAATGTCATGAGTTTTATAAAAATGAAATGGCTCTACTATAGACTTTATTTAACCTTTATGACTTGTAGCAACACAGATGATATGATTGAGCACTGCCACCATAGATTACTTTATAGGCCTATAAGTGAAGAACAAAATGTTGAACGTTTGAGACTTAAGGTAGGACTTAATAGTAAAGAGTTAGATGTAATGTGTACACTCTTCTTTTCTTGTGGCTAATCTAAGCATAAGATCCACATGACTTTCGCTTTTGATTACACAAAATGGGTAATTTTAAAAAATATAATATGAATATAAAGGCTTATAGGAAATTATGCTTAATGGCATTAAGGAAATGACTTTTATATTTATGAGTTTCCTCGTTTCCAAAGTTCTTGTATATCAATTAGCTTATATAATTATAGTATGTCTTCAGAAATACACTTTTATGACCTGTATCTGCATTTAGTATTATTTCCTACTCTCCAGAGGAGGAGATATGGGTATCTGCATATTTGAAACCTTCCAGTTGATTCTGAGAAGTACTGTTAGATGATTCATTAAAAAAAAATTTAAAAACAGATGATCCATAAATTCCTATCAGAGTCTCCTGTTTAGAGCTCTTGTTATAACCATCTATTTTAAAAAAAGGTTGCAAGTTTGCATTATCTCACTTTTTATTGAATTTCACATTTTATGATTTTTTTTCTGAAGGAGTAACCAGATCTTTTCTGCTTTTTCTTAATATGCTGCCTTTGTAAAACAGCTTTGAAGACTTAAGTCGGTAATGTTATTCTTTGCTCTTTCTGCTTTCTGTCATTTTAAATAGCTAAGAGTCAGTGATAAATTGAAATATGCCTGTAATTTCACATAGACGTTCTTTTTTGGCAGTAGCTATTTTGCTTCGTGCTAACCATGTGGATTTCTTTTGTTCTAGATATTACAGGAAGACACAATGCATTCTCCCTGGATGAGTAACACGTTACATGTATTTTGTGCAATTAGTGGTACATCAAGTGACAGAGGTTATGGTTCCCCAAGATTCACTGAAGTATGAGAAAAAGCAGATGTAAATGACAATGAGATGGACCTTTCTCAGGAATATTTGGAGCTGTGCAAATGTTAGAATTTAAAGATTTGATAGACATGAAGTGGTTCCTCCTGACACCAAAATTTTCATGCTTTCCAACAGGGTGCTTACTACTTGTAAATATTTAAGCAACTTGAAAGTGCCTGGAAAATTGCACCACTGTGCTTGGTTTGTACTTTTTTTTTTTTTTAGGTAAATCTATATGCTGAAAAGTAGAGCTCAAAAACATTAATTCAATGTGCTTAATTATTGCTTAAAATAATAATGGTACTATGTAAAATTGTATAATGAAACACAATAAAAGGTAAAACTTATTTGTAATTAGAAGTGAAGGAAATAGTAATTTGAACTTTGCAATTTTCTTGACAAGCAGCTCTATCCATTATACTAATCCTCGGAGAAGAAAATTGATTAAAAAATTTCCAAAAAACATGGATATTTCAAGTTGGGGGCGATGATTTGAATTCTTATTTTTAGTGCTCAAGGCTGGGCTAAAGAGGCCAAAAGCAAGACAGATATACATAATACTAAGCTTAACACAAAAAAGTACCAAGCTTACTGTTCCTTGTAGTTTTGATCTGATGACACTAGGTAGGTTGAACTGGTCTCTTTTCCACATAGATGAGGAATTTCTACTGAACATAGCAGGTGGCATTTATTGCCAGAGCAAGAAATTGTCAGGGATTCTTCATAAAGCGAAACGAACCTTTCTAAAAATTTGCAGTCAAGACATCCCATGCAACATCAAATCTTTAGTGGCAGTATGAGGTGGGAATTTTGTAAAGATGATTTTCTTCAACTTTTATTTATCTTGTCACTTATAAGATTAACAAGCACTCTGATAATTCTTGATGGTTATAGCATGTCTTGGGGTACATATACATTACCACCACAGATTTAGTACCTGTGACTAGGGAGTACATTTTTCTATGAAGAAATCTTGCATTTCCTAAATGATTCTGGAGAAACCAAGGTATGAAGAACTTTTTTTTAGCTGGTATTACCCATATAATTGTTGTTGCCTTCCATGTAAACTTCAAGTTCTTGATTTATTCTCCATGTGTAGTTAAGCCTATTTTACAGGTGAAAAACAGAAATAGAAATGAACTGCATGGAACCTTAGTTCTTTTGTATATTTTGTGATCAACTAAATTTTACAGATTATGCCCCAGGTTTGGCCATTTTTCAATTTTTTTCTTTTTAAAAATGTACTTGAAAGGCAGAGAGAGCAAGCGAGCCAGCCAGCCAGCTAGCAAGCTAGAGCTCCTCTCTGCTTATTCACTCTCAAAATACCCACAACAGCCCCATGGGGAGAAGAATCCAGGAGCCAGGAATACAATCCAAGAATCCCATCTGAGTGGTAGCAGCCCAATTACTTGATCCATCATCTGTTGCCTCTCAGGGTCTGCAGTGGCAAAGAAACTAGAGTCAGGTGTTGGAGCCTGGTATCATGCCAGGCAGTCTGATATGAGACATCCTAACTGGTGTCTTAACCACTGGGCCAGATGCTGACCCCAGCCATTTTTCTTTACATGTCATTTTATTCAATGAAAGTTAACTGTGGGCCAGCGCCGTGGCTCTCTAGGTTAATCGTCTGCCTGCGGCGCTGGCATCCCATATGGGCACCGGGTTCTGTCCCAGTTGCTCCTCTTCCAGTCCAGCTTTCTGCTGTGGCCCCGGGAAGGCAGTGGAGGATGGCCCAAGTGCTTGGGCCCTGTATCCGCATGGAAGACCAGGAGAAGCACCTGGATCCTGGCTTTGGATCAGCGTAGCTCCAGCCGTAGCGGCCATTTGGGGGTGAACCAACGGAAGAAAGACCTTTCTATCGCTCTCTCTCCCTGTCTAACTCTATCTGTCAGATAAAAAAAAAAAAAAAAAAGAAAATCGTGTATTTTAATGGGAGATTCAGAATTATGTCAGAGTGAGTCTGTAAGTATTCCACAATATCTTGGAGTAACCTATAAAGTGATTTTATTTGGCATGCATGTGCAATGAGTGCTGCCACCTGAGACAGGCATTTTGGAGAAGCTGCAACATTCTTTTGTTACTAGTCCCTGTCACATCCCTCAATCTGAGTAAATTTCTTAGGTCTAATAAATGGCCCTGGCCCCCGGGAGCTTGCACTGCAGTTGAGGAGGCAAAGTACACACAAGATTAAGTAGTACAGGAATTAACGTAAGATAGGAAAAGCTATCTATGAGTACTACCAAATGAATGACACTGTCCAGAACTGTCCTCACATTCAAGGAGGAGTGGTCACTGTGAAGTGTGACTATCAAGGAAGGTTTCATGAACAAAAGCTTTGAACAGGGTTTCAAAGGAGGGAGGGTATTCTGAGCAGGATGAACATCATGAGCAAAGGTGCAAGGAACAAGTAGATCAGGGATGGTAGATAATAAATCTGGACAGGAAAGGTAAACCTAGATTTTTAGATTTTTGAAGTCCTCAAATACCAGGCTAAGGTTGTTTGCAACTGACTTGGTAAGCATGGGGATGCCAGTCAAGATTTTCAGAGATTATATTTCTAAAAATAACATTTAATCAAGTAACCTTTTATATTGCTGCCAGATATATTTGAGGTAGAGATGGGAATAAGGAAACCAATTAGAAAGCCATTTCAATAATCTGGTTATGAGTCCATAGAGCCCTAGACTCTAGTAATGTGAACAAGAATAGAGAAGGGCAAGGGCAGGAGACATTACATAGAAAGACTGGACATGACGTACTGGATGGCTAACGGGAAAAAGGAAAAGCAAAGATAATTATGTGTACTGTGGCCAATGAATTTTCCATGTTATGGCTCAGTTTTACTAGATTTATTTCCCTGACTTTTAGATTAAGGGCAGCAAGCTATAGAGAATAAGATGGAACAGGCTAGAGAAAGCCAGGCTTTTCTGTTTCAGAACATTGTGCATTAAGTATTATTTCATGAAGTGATTTGACCTCTACAAATTAATTCACATGAAAATACATTTGTTACACTGATTGTTTTGTAGCTAGGCTTGAGTCCAATTTCCCCTAGAAGCTGTTCTTTTCATAGTCTTGGAATGTGTTGAGATGTGAATAAGTGGCCTCTGGGACTGTTTATTACTACAATGAAAATAAGTCATTTCAGTTGTCACCAATGGCATCATGTCTATAGATGGGATTGTTATTGTTACTATATTAATGACTTGGCTCCCTTTAAAAATGTGTGCGTGTGTGTATGTGTTTATGTTTAATGAAGTGGAGGAGTAGGCATTTGGCATAGACATTTAGAGGCTGTTTGGGATGCCCATAGCAGAGTACCCAGGTTCAAGTCTTGGCCCTAATTTCAAGCTTCCTGTTAACATGCAACCTGAGAGGCCACAAATGATGGCTTAAGTACTTGGGTCCCTGCCACCCATGTGAGAGACCTCCATAGAGTTCTGGGCTCCTGGCTTTGGCCTGGCCCAGTCGCGGCTGTTGTGGGCATTTGAGGAATAAACCAGCTGATGGAAGATCTTCCTGTTCGGCTCTGTCTGGCTCTCTGCCTTTTAAATAAAATGAAAATAAATAGGGGCTGGTGCTGTGGCGCAGCAGGTTAAAGCCCCAGACTGCAATGCCAGCATCCCATATAGGTGACGGTTCAAGTCCCGGCTGCTCCTCTTCCAATCCAGCTCTCTGCTTTGGCCTGGGAAAACAGTAGAGGATGGCCCAAGTCCTTGGGCCCCTGCATCCATGTGGGAGACCCAGAAGAAACTCCTGGCTCCTAGCTTTGGATCAGTGCAGCTCTGGCCATTGTGGTCATCTGGGGAGTGAACCAGTGGATGCTAGACCTCTATCTGGCTCTACCACTCTCTGTAACTCTTTCAAATAAAATAAATTTTTAAAAATAAAAATGAAATAGAAAGCAGCATTGGTAGCAACAGCCTTAGAACCTTGGCCAACATATAATCATGGAACTAGAGATGACTCACTGGTTAATTAATAAATTCAACAGGTCAGTGTCAGAACACTGACTTATAATTATTAGTCTTTATCTGATATCATGAACCTTAGTAATGTACTGGATTAAAAGGAATTCCCAAACTCTTAAAATATATAACAACTAGATATCAACTAGATATATATTTCATGCTTCTGACCCACAAAATGTTGGGATACTTCAGTTTCAGTCTCATTCAAACAGTACACTACGTGAACTATCGAAAGAGAAAGAAAAAATAAAAGTTGGTTAATGACAGGGAGTGGATTTGGAGAACAGGGCTATGCCCTTATCCTGGGAGTTGATCAGTAACAGCACTTTTTCTACTCCTTAAAAATACAATGGCCATTTGCTCAGAAACACGTATGTGTATGTTTATCCAATTTCCTAATTGAAGTTCTGGCTAAAATCTTCAGATAGTTTGTATGACATGTTAAAACTTTCTAGGGGCTGGCGCTGTGGCGCTGTAGGTTAATCCTTTGCTGTGGTGCCAGCATCCCATATAGGTGCAAGTTGTAGTTTTGGCTGCTCCTCTTCCGATGCAGCTCTCTGCTATGGCCTGGGGAAGCAGTAGAAGATGGTGCAAAGGCTTGGGCCCCTGCACCTGCATGGGAGACCGAGAAGAAGCTCCTGGCTACTGGCTTCAGATCGGCTCATCTCAGCCATTGTGGCCATTTGGGGAGTGAGCCAGTGGATGGAAGACCTTTCTCTCTGTCTCTCCCTCTGTCTGGAACTCTACCTCTCAAATAAATAAAATAATAATAATAAAGCACTTTTAAAACACTTTTTCTACCATGCTCTTTTTTGCTTTTCCTCTTTAAGATATTATTCACATCCTATAAAATGCACTCATTTAAATTTTTAGTTCAAAGTTGTCCAAGTATCACTGCAATTTTAGAACACTGTAAAATGTTTATTAATATATTTTCATTGGTGCCAGTGCTGTGGTGCAGCAGGTTAATGCCCTGGCCTGAAGCGCTGGCATCCCATCTGGGCACTGGTTCTAGTCCCGGCTGCTCCACTTCCGATCCAGTTCTCTGACATGGCCTGGGAAAGCAGAAGAACATGGCCCAAGTCCTTGAGGCCCTGCACCCGCATGGGAGACCTGGAGAAGGCTCCTGGCTTCGGATTGGTGCAGCTCCAGCTGTTGCAGCCACCTGGGGAGTGAACCAATGGATGGAAGAACTCTCTGTCTCTACCTCTCTTTGTGTCTCTTTCAAATAAATAAAATCTTTAAAAAATATATATTTCTTTTATTTGAAAGCAACAGGGAAAGGGAAAGGGGGCGGGGGGAGCCTTCTATCTACTGATTCACACACACACACACACACACACCCCAAGTGACTACAATGGATAGGGCTGGGCCAGGCTGAAGCCAGGAGCCTGGAACTCCATCCTGGTCTCCCATGTGGGTGGTAGAGACCCAAGCACTTGAGACATAATCTGCTGTCTGCATTAACAGGAAGCCGGGTTGGTAGCAGAGGTGCCAGGACCAAAACTGACATTCCAATATGGGATGCAGGCATCCTAAAGCGGCTGCCTAATCCATTGTGCCACAATGCCCACCTTAGAATATTTTTAATCACCCCCAAACAAGACCCCATGTGTATTAGCAGTTACTTCTCAATCCCCACCAGTCACCCCTCAATCCTTGAAAACCATTAATCTACTTCCTGCTTCTACAGATTGGCCTATTACATTCAGGTCATATAAACAGAATCTTAGAATATATGACCTTTTGTGTCTGGCTTCTTTCACATAGCATTGTTTCCAAGGTCCATCCCTGTTGTGGCATGTATGGGCACTTCATTATTTTTTTTCTATCTTTTTTTTTTAAATTTAAAGATTGCTTCCAGGTCTCCCACATGGGTACAGGGGCCCAAGAACCTGGGCCATCTTCCACTGCTCTCCCAGGCATATTAGCAAAGAGCTGAATTGGAAGTGGGGCAGCAGCCAAGACTTGAACCGGCACCTATATGGGATGCTAGCCCTTCAGGTGGCAGCTTCACCTGTATACCACAGCACCAGCATCCACTTCATTACTGTTTATAGATGAGTGATATTTCTTTGTATAGATGTACCATATTTTATCCATTCATCAGTTGATGGACATTTGGATTATTTCTACATTTAAAAGCTTTATTTACTTAAGAGGCAGAGAAAGAACTCACATCCCCTGTTCACTCTCCAAGTAACCACAACGCCCAGGATGGGCCTGGCCCAGGCCAGTTAGGAGCTAGGAACTCAATACAGATCTCCCATCTGGGCAGTGGGTTCCAAGCTCACAGGTTCCAAGTAACCCAGTTACTGGGGCCAGTGCCTCCCAGGGTCTGCATTAGCAGGAAGCTAGAGTCAGCAGCCAGAGCCAAGAATTGAACCTAGGTACTCCAGCGTGGTATACTATCCTTTTCACCGACTAGGCTAAACACCTGCCCCTATTTCCACTTTTTGGCCATTATGAATAATGTTGCAGGGAACACTCGTGTACAAGTTTTTGTGTGGGCATGTTTTCAGTTCTCTTGGGTACATAGATAGGAACTGGATCATTTGGCAACTGTTTCATCTTTTGAAGAACTGCCAGAGTGTTTTCCGCAGCAGCTGTACCACTTTACAGTGCCAGCAGCAATGTACGAGGTTTCCAGTTTCTCAGAATTCTTCACAACACTTACTTCACCTCTTGGATGATTGCTATCCTAGTGGGGCTGAAGTACTATCTGTGGTATTCACTTGCACTCCCTGATGGCTAATACCGTTAAGAATTCTCTCAAGTTCTTATTGGCTGTTTTTATACCTTCTTCAGAGAATGTACATTGAAATCCTCAGCCTGTTTTGACTTTTGTTTCTTTTTGTTGTTGAACTGCAACAGTTCTTTATAAATTCTATGTGCAGAATCCCTTCTCAGATACAGTTGTGTGTCACTTAATGACAGGGATACATTTTGGGAAATGCATTGTTACGTGATTCCATCACTGTGCAAACATTAGAGTATACTCAGACAACTGCAATGACTACAACATTATTAGGTGATATATAATCTGATGGGACAACCATCATAGATGTGGGCCATCATTTACCAAAATGTTACTAAGTAGCAAATGACTGTGACTTGATTCTGTTCTGTGTCTTGCCTTCTTACTTTCATGATAGTGTCCTTTGAAGCACAAAAGGTTTTAGTTTCAATGAAATCCAACTTATCTGTTTTCGTGTTTTATCTAAGAAGACCTTACCTAATCCAAGCTTACAGAGATTTCCAAGAGTTTTATAACTCTTTGTTTTTGGTCTTTGAACCATTTCTAGGTAATTTTGTATGTGGTATGAAGTAGAAGTCCACATTTTTCATTTTGCATGTGGATAACCAATTTTCCCTATACTTTTTTTTTCCTTTTTAAGATTTATTTATTTGAAAGTCAGAGTTGCAGAGAGAGAGAGGAGAGACAGAGGTCTTCCACCTGTTGGTTCTCTCCCCAAAAGGCCTCAGTGACTGAGGCTGAGCCAGACAGAAGCCAGGAGCCTCTTCTGGATCTCCCACATGGGTGCAGGGGCCCAAGCACTTGGGCCATCTTCCAGTGCTTTACAAGAGTATTCAAAGGAAGCTGGGTCGGAAGTGGAGCAGCCAGGACTCAAACTGGTACCCATATGGAATGGTGGTTTAATCCACTGCCGCAGCGCCAGCCCCTGTGCACCATATTTTCAGACTATTCTTTCTCCAGTTCAATCACCCCAGCACCCTTACCAACAAATGACTGGGGCCACCGATTGATGTGGCAGTTAAGATGCCATTCGGGGATGTCCACATTGCTATATGTGACTAGGTTAGAGTCCTGGCTTCTCCCCTGATTCTAACTTCCTGCTAAAGTGCACCCTGGCAAGCAGCAGGTGATGGCTCAAGTGGTTGGGCCCCTACCACCATGTGGGAGACTTGGATTAAATTCTCAGTTCCTAGCTTTGACCTGGCCTAGCCCTGGCCCTGTTGTGGGCATTTGGAGAGACAGCAGATGAGGTAGAGATACAGAGACATAATTGTATGAGTTCAATTTTAGTTCAGTTCCATTGATTTGTATGTCAATGAACACATTCTTAATTTATGCAGTTTGTAGTAAGTTTTTAAATTAGGATTATGAGTCCCCCAAGTATTTTTTTTCCAAGATAATTTTGGATATCCTGGGCTTTCCTATTTCCATATGAATTTTAGGATAAGGTTGTCAATTTCTGTAAAAGAAGACAGTTGGGATTTTGGTAGGATTTTCTGTGAATCTGCAACTCATTTGGAGAGTATTGCTTTCTTATTAATACTAAGTTTTCCAGTCCATGAACACAGAATTTTTTACTTCTATTTAGGAAAAAAATTTTTTTGAACAATGTTTTGTAGTATTCAGCATACGTGTCTTACATTACTTTTGTTAAATTTATTCCTGAGTATTTTATTCTTTTTGATGTTACAAATTGATAATGTTTTCTTAACTGTCGCTCCCCGTCTTCGTGGAGGAACGACACAGGACCCTGCGCTGTTCTTTCGTCTGCTCGGCCCTCCCCGGGTTTGCTGCTGGTTCTTCCCGGGTTGGCTACTGTCCCTTCCACCTCCGTGGAAGGGCGGTTCCCCCTGGCCACATTCCCCACTTCCGCAGGGGAGCGGCACACCGCCGGCCGGCTCTCTCGGGGGCTGCACAGGTGTTCCCCTTAGATGTTCCTGGTGCATGCCGTCTCTCTCCTCCTTTATAGTCCTCCTCCGCCAATCCTAACTCGGCTGCCCACACGCCGAGTATGCTGCTCTCCTCCAATCAGGAGCAGGTCCTGCAGCTTGTCAAGTTGGTGAGAGGCAGCTGGGTAGAAGCTGTTGCCTCCTCTCCCAGCGCCATATTGTGGGAGAGCAGATGCATAGAATAAGTCTTAATTCCAGTAACTTAGTCTAGTCCGGGTTGCTCCCCACACTTAACTTCATTTTTCATTGCTTGTTTATAGATGTTCTTATATTCTGAAAACATGCCAAAATCATTTATAAGCTTTGATAGGTTTTTTGTGAAATCTTTTTGTATATATATATACACACATATATTTATATGATAATGTCATTGGCAGATAGTTTTATGTCTTCCTTTCCAATTTTATGCTTTTTGTTTCATTTTCTTACCTAGTATTAGGTTGCAACTTCTTGTACAGTGTTACATATCACTAGTGAAAACAGACATCCTTGTCTTACTGCTCATCTTTGGGAGAAACCTTTTCAGTTTTTTTAACTTTCAATATTGTGTTAGCTGTAGGATCTTAGGTGTTTTTTTTTTTTAATCAAGTTCAGTAAATTTCCTCCAACACAATTTACAACTGCTTTCTGATTCAGTTCTCCCTACACGTCATCTAAGGATCAATTCTTCACGTGCTCCCTATATAACATATAGGGAAATGGGTGCACAAATGGCTAAAAAGGTACTCAAGGTACACCTCAAACTAGAGATGAGGCCAAGGTGTCTTGACTTATAAAGTCCAAAATTTTCAACTATCCTATGGTTTCCTGTGGCAACTTCCTGAAACTTTCTAAAGAGATTTTAAAAAGGTTCATACTTGTTTTTACTAAAAAAGGAAGCTCCATAACAGTAGAGTCTGTGGCTGAGCTTTTAACCCCTGATTCCCCGGAACCTTACACAGTGTACATGCTTGAAAGTTTTCAGGGAAATCAAGTCAGCTGAGATAAACAGATGCCTCTAGAGCCTCCTTCATGCACAAGGCAGTGTGAACGGATATCCTATTCCTCAGAGGGATTGTGGCTGAGGGAGGTAAGAAAGACATGAAAAGATAATACAGGGGCAGGCTTTGTGGTGCAGTAGCTTAAGCTGCCACTTGTGTTGCCCACATCCCATACTGGAGTGCCTGGGATCAAATCCCATATCTGCTTCCTATCCAGCACCTTGCTAATGCACCCAGGAGGTGGCAGATGATGGCCTGCATTCCTGCCAGCCACATGGGAGATCAGATGGCATTCCTGGCTCCAGGTTTCAGCCTGGCCCAGCCTTTGCTGTTGCAGGCATTTGGGGAGTGAACCTGTGGATGGAAGATCTATCACTCTGCCTTTCAAATTAAATAAATAAATCCTTTTTTGAAAAAAAAAAAAAGATACAAAGAAGTATGATAATAGCAAATCAGTGGTAATCACAAGTGCTTGAAAAGGCAGAGCCTTTCTAGATATAGACCAAAAAAAAAAAAAAAAAAAGGAGCGGGGTGCTTTATGGAGGAGATGGCATGAACAGACTT